TTCGATACGGTTGAGCTGAGTCGATCGCTGTCAGAATGGGTCACCTGCTGATGCGAGGATGGATCCTCGCCTCGTTATTGATGCAAACCAGCATCGCCATGACAGTCGTTGTTGAGCCAGCAGCTGCGACTTCTACCACTACTTCCTCTGCTATCGCACATACGCATCATCACTGGTCCTATAGCTCAAGGTCCTTGCCCAGTCGCAGGCCATGCACACCCAGTTATTCGTCGTCTGTTCCTTCTTCGAAGGCAGCAACTCCTACTCCATCAATCATCGTGGTACCCTCGTCGAGTGCAGTCCCCTCACCCACTACCTCGCCTGTAAGGGAATCGCCAACTCCCAGTTCAAGACCGGTACCCAGTCGTTCAGCAGCTCCCCGCCCGCATTGGAGCTATGTATCCCGGCCTTTACCTCAGCGAAGCCAGTGTTCGGCTTCGTCCAGAGCAATTCCGAGCTCTTCACTCCCTGTCCCCAGACTATCTGGAATCACATCCAGCGCAGTTCCCGCGCTAACCCCTGTTGGAGCCGCATTTCCTCAGTCGAACATTTTCACATCCTCGTCAGCTGCAACATTCGCCGAGTCTTCCACACTGCAGTTAACTACGTCAGCGGTCCTCTCTACTCGTACAGCCACAATTACTGCATGCCCATCTGCAGTCCCAGATTGTCCTCCACGCTCGAGAACAACCCTTGTCACCACAGTATGCCCAGTTACCGAGGCTGCTCGTGCGACTCGGACGGATTCTGCCTCGCCGACAGCAACCGACACTGCTGTCAACAATGGTCATGGCAGCGGTGGCGCGGAGCTTACAACTTCCACGGTTTTCAGCACTCGCACTGCTACCATAACTGCGTGTCCTTCCTCGGTAACAAACTGCCCGCTCAGGTCGAAAACGACCTATGTGACCACCGAGACCTTGGTAGTCTCAACCACTGTTTGCCCCGTAGCCGACATCACTGGTAGCAGCGGCGCTATAATCACTACCCAGACTGCATCTCATCCTTCGGCTACCGTGGCTGTCGTTGACAACTGGAGCAGCATGGGTGGATATGACATTACTACTTCTACGATCTTGAGCACCCGTGTAATCACTGTTACTGCATGTCCCTCTTCCGTGACCAACTGCCCCCTGAGATCAAAGACGACTTATGCAAGCACTGAGACACTGGTTGTCGCGACGACTGTGTACCCAGTCCCGAAGGTCACTAATACCAAAGCAAAGACTCCTCTTCCATCTGTCACAAGAGCATCGGAAGAGGGACCATCACTCACCACCTCCACCATCCTGAGCACCCGCATTGCCACAGTTGCCAGCTGCACTGGGGATGACTGTCGCAGTTCATCGTCTGACTCTTATGTCACGACTGAGACCCTCGTTGTAGGAACGACCGTTTACACAGTATATCCAGAATATGTATCCGTCCCAACCGAAGGTGTTGATGCTATGGCTGCTCCTACGACCGCTGCCACGCTCCTCCAGACTGCCAACTCAGCGGGTAGCTCCCCCAAGGTTGTTTCATCTGGATCGCAGCCCACATCTGCAAGTGAGACTAGCACTCAGGGTACAGGCTCAAGTGCAGGCTCAAGTGCGGAGTCAAGTGAAGGATCGGATGCCGGCTCTGCTGCAGACTCCAGCGCAGTGTCCGGTGCGGGCTCAGGTGCAGCCGCAGACACAACCTACACCACCACGATTATCGTCGAATCATGCTCCAATGACGGAACCTGCACCGAGTATGGCAGTACCATCACAATGGCCCAGACCTCCAATCTTGCTCAGCCCACTGTGCCTCCCTCCCCGTATTCGTACACCTCGTACTTGGGCTCAGGATTGGGTTGGAACCACAGTACTCCTGTCTCTTCAGCACATGTCTGGCCCCAGAGCAGTCACCAAGCTGGCATGAGCACGGCTATGGTTACTAGCACAAGAAGCGCAAGTGCCGTTAATGCATTGTACACTGGGTCTGCTTCTGCAGGTTCCCAGTGGTCGATGCTGCAGGTGGTCGGAATGGCGGTAGCAATTCTGACGGCTGTTCTTGTCTAGTTACGTGTGGGGTTATAGTATAACTTTGAATGTTGTATGTCGTCTGATTACAATGTATACTATTGTGCTATGTTCAATTGAAGGTCCTCCAGGCTTATTTGACTTTTGCGGTGGGAGCATGGCCTAATGGGTATGGCCATTAATTATTCCCTAGTAAACTTGAGCCCGCAAGTATTGATCAACGGGCAGCCACATGGGCCAGGACACAACTACTGTGATCATCCTTAATTTTCTTTGCAGATAAGACTTTTTATACGTACATACAAGCAACTAACAAGCCCAATATACCATATTTGTGTGGATTAGTCAGAATCAAAGCAAACCAGATCAGCATAGCCAGTTGGGTTCCTCTTACCAATGTTGATCGGAATGGCTGTGGCACTATCCCCATACAAACTGGTAGCAAGGATGGAGTGTCGGAGTTTCTTGCCCCCGGGGCCGATTGACTCGATTTAGCAAGCCCTCACTGTGCCAACTCTGTAGTACCTAATAGCAGCGCCTGTGTTGCACCAGAACGGCTAAGAAGGTTATAGTGGGATACTCATAGGGCCCAACTTATCTGTTGTAGAAAAATATCATCTTACATGCGGCAGGTACTCTCGTAATGCTGTACATTAAAGTAATTGATACTGAGCATTCCTTGCCATTACTATAATTTAATTAAAAGGTCCTTGGATATGTGCGCCGACGGATTGGAAATCTGGCGACATACTGCTGGCCATGGGTACGGACGGCTAACATGTTTGCTGCAATTTATGATATGGAGTTTGCCAGCGCCGTATGACGAGACCTGCATCGAAGCCTCAATTATAGGACTATCCTGTCACCTGCAGTTTGCCACAAAAGTCAATGAGATTTCACTGGCGCCAATGTCAAGCCAGGACATTAGTTTGGAATCTGCGGCATATTCTGCGTAGTCCCTCGGAAAATCCATGTGTTCGTACCAGAAATTCCCTGAACACTACATAGGGAGTGCAAATATTCCACAAGACAGATGCGATGATTCAACGATGATAGTAATGGTTCTTTATTCGATTCTTGATAGCGAATTGGCTTTTTGTGGATTTAGATTGCGCGTTCATCTACCCATTTTCAGATTGTAGCGCCAAATATATTTACCCAGGTCAGTAAATGCGTATGCAGCATTAATAGCTATGGGCCAAATTGTTGGGGGCGCATATTAAGGTGGGGCAGTAGTCAAAAGTTATATCTTCACTGACTGACTCAGGACATGTAATGCAGCCGCCAAAGCGCAGCAACTTTCATGATAAGTTGAAGTGACCAGCCAATTGGACGCCTTTCGCATACTTAAGCCTGTACGGAGTTGCAGATTTGTTTGTTAAAGCATATATTATGCGACGAAGAATTCCTTGAATTCTTAGCGAGCTAACAGCCAAGGTACGCTCGAGAGATAACATCATTCATATATCTGCCCTGTACGTCCTGCAGCTATTCCGGTTACAAGATCCAGGTCTTCATCATCTAGTCGAATGACTTATATGGAGCCTTTCTCATTTCTTAACACGGCTATCATCATGGAGCCCCTCCAGCATCATCTTCCGCAAACTTCGCTGGCTTTTCTCGCCTTACTGGCCGTCCCGATAACGGCGCTGGTATGGGATCGCATATTGAACCCACTTCCGACAACAAAGCGGGCTTGGCTTGTTGGCAAGAAGCAACCATCTCGGATCACTTCACTGGAGTGCCCCTACAGCTACATCCGCCAAATCTACGGTAAACACCACTGGGCCCCATTTGTCGACAAGCTGGCGCCCAGCCTCAAGTTGGAGGACCCGCCGAAGTACCAGCTGGTCCTTGAGATTATGGACGGCATCCATCTCTGTTTAATACTGGTTGATGATGTAAGTGCAGCACCCCACTGAACATATGGAGTAGAGAGCTAATAACCCCATAAGATCTCGGACGGGAGTAACTTTCGCAAGGGACATCCCGCCGCGCACAAGATATACGGCCCTTCAGAGACTGCGAACCGTGCCTACTATCGCGTGACACAACTTTTAAACCGGACCGTCCACGAATTTCCTCGTCTTGCGCCCTTTCTGATGCAGTGCCTGGAGGAGATCCTGGAAGGCCAAGATATGTCCCTTGTATGGCGAAGGGATGGTCTTGCCAGCTTTCCAGTGGGTCCAAAGGAACGGGATGCAGCATATCGGCAAATGGCGTCGCTGAAAACGGGCGCATTGTTTCGTTTGCTCGGTCAGCTGGTACTAGAGAATAAGTCCATGGATGCTACCATGACTACGGTGGCGTATGTGCAAAGACATCCGAGCATTGGGGATTATGGCTGATTGACGTCTACACAGGTGGTGCTCACAGCTGCAGAATGACTGCAAGAACGTTTATTCGACCGATTATGCGAAAGCCAAAGGTGCACTGGCAGAAGACCTGCGCAACGGCGAGCTTTCCTTCCCCATAGTGGTGGCATTGGATGCTCCCGAGGGTCATCTGATAGCGCGCGCCTTGGAATACGGCTCACCCCATAATATCCGTAATGCTCTACGAGTAATTCAAAGAGAAGATGTGCGTAGCGCCTGCTTGTGGGATTTGAAGAAATCAAGTGCCTCCGTACAGGATTGGCTGGAAGTTTGGGGTCGGAAGGAAAAAATGGATGTCAAGAGTGTGAAGCCGTAAGCGGGAATGTAGATAGGCGAATACTTTGCTTAGTGATGGAAACTGTTGCAATACTCCTTATTTAAGAGAATTTAATCTCTCTATCCTATAGGATTCTCATTACTGACTGCGATAAGCTTTGCACTGAGGCACAGGGATAAGGTCTGTACGACAGTGTAAGATGGTACCGTATAACTACGCCGCATCTTGCATTAGCAGCGCTTTCACGATAGGTATTCTGCTATTTTGCCGATAAGCTGGCCACAATGACCATTCTCGAGTTATAAGGAGAATTGGCTAGGAAGCTGAACGGAGAAACTTTATCGAGCCAATCTCTATGACTCGGGCGACCTAAGCGACCTGGTCTTGTTTGAAACCAACGCATAGCATCCCGGATGTAGAAGAGTCTTTGGCAAACACAAGGTTAACACGCGGACACGGAGCAACTCACCAGTACCAGTAGCAAGGCTATTTGATGAATGTTCTCTGAGATTGCTTGCTGACTAGACGTGCTTCCAAGAGCTTGTCGACGTCACTAATTTGCTGATGACAAGTGCCCAGTAAAGCTACGCCAAGTGACAGCAAAACATGTAGCAGAAGCCAAAACAGTTCTATAAGGTGAGACTAATAGAAGGCGTACTCTTATATACCTGAGAGATATCAATGCTTCTCCCTCGAAAGCACACGTTTAGTTCCTTCTTAGTAGCCTTCTTTTCCATCAACCTCGATCCGTACAGTGCTCTTGACCTACAAGAGACGAAAAAATGCTCGGATTTCCAATGTTCAGCCCAGAGACACCTGACGCCTGGAAGATGAATACCCCCTACTTTCCTTTTGTTTCCTCGGGTGTCTTCTCTGCATCGATACCATCATCACCCACCAATATAGAAGCTGCGAGTACTTCACAGTCTGAAACAAGCTTTCTGGACAAGGAAAAGGTCTGAAGCTTCCTGTCCATGGTCAGTCTTCGTCTGATGTGAGATAACAGATTGTTCGAGGACCACTTGACTACCTTCTTAAATCACCTGGGAAGGATATTCGTCGCAAATTCATCCACGCATTCAACGAGTGGCTGCGCATCCCAGAAGAGAAATTGAATATCATTACAGAGATTGTTGGATTGCTCCACACAGCTTCCCTACTGTATATTCCTTTTCATTTCCCACATGATCGAAGTTCTTAATGTCTCGGAAACTAGCTGATCTTTTGAAGAATCGATGACATTCAGGACAATTCCAAACTTCGACGCGGCCTCCCAGTGGCCCACAGCATCTTCGGCATTGCCCAGACCATCAACTCTGCTAATTATGCGTACTTTTTGGCGCAGGAGCGGCTCCGCGAACTGAATCATCCCGAAGCGTACGAAATATACACCGAAGAACTGCTCCGTCTGCACCGCGGTCAAGGTATGGACTTGTACTGGCGGGATTCTCTGACCTGTCCCACAGAGGAGGACTATATCGAGATGATCGCAAATAAGACGGGTGGCCTTTTCCGACTGGCTATCAAGCTTATGCAGTTGGAAACTGAAACAAAAAGGCAAGTGTTACATATCTGTCACAATACTGTAAAGCTCCTTGTCACACAGCAGACTGACTCTATGCAGCTATGTCATCGAGCTAGCAGATTTGTTGGGGGTGATCTTTCAGATTCGAGATGATTACCAAAATTTGCAGAGCGGACTATACACGAAGAACAAGGGATTCTGTGAGGATTTGACGGAGGGCAAATTTTCCTTCCTGATCATCCACAGTATCCACAGTAACCCGAATAATCATCATCTGCTGAATATATTGCGGCAACGGAGCGAAGACGATTCGGTGAAGAAGTATGCTGTGGAGTATATCGACTCGACAGGGAGTTTCGAATATTGTCGGGAACGGCTCGCTTCCTTGTTGGAAGAGGCGGATCATATGGTCAAAGAGCTAGAGAGTCAGGTTGGACATTCGAAGGGGATCTACGAAATATTGAGCTTTTTGTCGTAATTGCTAGATGTGGGGGGCCTGTGCTTCATTGCTAGGTATCTTGCTGAAACAAATAGTGTTGTTGTCTTGTCGTCACTTGCGTCTAGAAATGAAGTGCGTTTGATACTCACATTTTTTGTTTCAAAAAATCAGAGATATTATACGGATAGATATTACAGTCTTTCAGTATGAACAAGATATCATAAACTGGCATGGTGAGATTTCAAAGCCCGTTGAACTTCACCCACCCGTGACTTGTGACCGTCTTTCGGTTACACTGGCTTACATGTATTAGCTCACAGTATGGGGTCAGAGGTGCAGGAGGAAATGGAATGTTGGGCGACAAGGAGAAGCTGAATACTACACATGCATTTCAAGTTTGATGGGCTGTGCTTATCATTATTGTCCCAAGGCTGGTTGGCTCCCAGGAGAATTTAGCCGACAGATGCACGCTGAGTCTGTCTGCAGGTGCCGCGTTGATACCCAGTCTGCTTGGTCTTCAGCGAGAACAACAATGTCAATGGGTCTTATGGAGTGTATTGAAGCTCCAATATTTGATTCGTAAGGCATTCATTCATGTATCATCACATGTCGATGAGGAATCAATCACGGTTCAATGGCCAGGATACATTGCCGCCGCTACTGTCTACTAGGACAATGTAGAGGACAATTCCCCCTTAATTCAATAGATGGTGTATTTTGAATCGATTTGCGGAGTGCTACCCAATCTCTGTCACGTCGGCAGTGACCATTCAAGGCTCAAATTGTAGCCACAGGGCCTCAACCATGAACTGGATAGTTTCATCGGGATTTGCTGAGAGGCCGACCGCCACCCTGTTGGCCTGAGGCAGAATAGATTACATAATGTCTCAAGCACCGGCACCCAACTCAAAATAGGATGAAGAGGAATGAAGTTACTCTTGCTTCCTTTCCATGATGTCTATTGGGTAGGAGAATGCGATAATGGTTAGCCCGCAGACCCTTATTATCCGAAACTCTGAAGAGAAACTTTGCTTAGAATAGCTGCAGCTGCCAGCATGGAATGTGGCGAAGAGTTCATCGATCCATCTCTGCTGTGCCACTCGACGCTCGACGGGCATGATTTGGACTCCAGGCATTTTAATCTTTCCAATCCGCAGCCTTATGATCTGAATCTCCAGCAAGTACCAGCGGTCCTGCCCAACGCCCAGCAACGGGCTGTGCCAAGCGAGCTATTTGAGGATGCGACCACCAACAACACTACTGCCCCGCGGGGCCAACTTCCACGGCGTAGAAGTCGGTACTTAACGAGGCATTCGGGGACACAAGCATACTCTGTGATGATACCAAAAGCAAGCAGCTTCAGTCCTATGGAGCGCTGGCGGAATTCGCCCCCTGAGGAAGAAGGTTGCCTAATCCCCGATATCATCGATGCTCTCAGAGACAACCCAAGCCAAGGGGTCCAAACCAACTTGCAAAACCCCGGCGACGACTACAGTGCGTTCCATGGGTATCGGAGAGCTGCTTCAATTACTAGCGGGGAGTCTAGTGCATCCTCGCGAAGCACCCAGAAATCCGGGCGTTCAAGCTCATCGGCCCAGAATCCATTGGCGGTACAGGGGCGTCACGGCAACATCAGGGCGGGCAAGACTACGAGACGAAAGACGAAGATTACTTCGACCACTGCTCAGCGTCGATACTGCTGCACATTCTGCTGCGACCGGTTCAAAAGCAAGTATGACTGGGCACGACATGAGAAATCGCTCCACGTCACCTTGGAAGCATGGCACTGCGCGCCTTATGGCACTACCATTATGTCCTCTAATGAACCTTCTATGACTAGATGTGCCTTCTGTGGGCTTACTAACCCCGACTCCGACCATCTGGAGGAACACGCCGCCACAGCTTGCGAGGACGAGTCCAGCAGTCGACGTTCCTTCCGCCGTAAAGATCACTTAGTGCAGCATCTACGGCTCGTACACAATGTCGACTCCCCGCCACAACTCGACAGTTGGAGGATCGGACAGTCCGCCATCACCTCGCGGTGCGGCTTCTGCAGTCAAGCGCTGATGACCTGGAAAGAGCGTGTGGACCATCTAGCCGAACACTTTCGGACAGGCTCGACAATGGCAGAGTGGCGCGGCGACCATGACTTCCCGCCTGATTTCGCCGCCCTAGTAGCCAATGCATTGCCCCCTTACCTCATCGGCTCAGAATCTCAGAGCATGATTCCATTTTCAGCGACAAATTGCGATGTGGAAGATCATTTGGCGCAGATTTACTCCCGAGCTAATTGGGACGCGAAAGACCAGAAAGAGGCCAGCACTATTACAGCCCCTTCGGCTCCAAGTGTAGCCTTGCCCTTGCGGGCTCTTGCACCGGGTGTTGCCCCCGAGCGGCTCAGCTCGTTCACCCAAGTGCTAACGCTGCATCTCAGCCGGTTTGCACAGGAACAGATGAAAAAGGGCGTGATTCCGAGTGACGAGATGTTCCAGCAGGAATCCAGACGAGTACTGTATGACTCAGATGATTCATGGAACCAGACGATTGCAGATAATCCGGAGTGGCTGGCTACTTTTAAGGATCTGCATTTCGATAAAGAGAAGGGTGTTCATGATTCTGGCGAAAACTTTGCCTCATGAACCGAATGAATACAACGTGTACTTAGGGTCCCATGTCTCCCTTTCTTTCCTTCACTCTCGGGTGATGTACTTATACCCCCAGCGTAGTATACCCTGAGCAGTCTGTGCTTCCTAATCTCAGGGCTGCTGATGCTGCTGCCAACCGGAGATGCAACAGCCGATCTGTATCTCCGGGAGCGATCGTCACTGTGGTCAAAATATGGGATGTAGGTACCGGATGAGCGGGTTAGAGAGCGTTTCGGCTATCCTTTGAACGAAGAGATGGACCTATGGTGAGATAGTATGGCGCTATGAGAGTTGGTGAGACCGGAAATTTGTGTAAGCCGAAGGATTGTCTTCAGGATGTCTCGAATGTGTGGTGAAGGGGAGAGCCAAAGGCTAGCGGGGACACGTTCGGCGGGTTTGGGGGTGGGAGCGTTGGAACAAAATCGTGTAAACTGTAAACTTTGCTGGTTAGCCATGTTCTCATACATTGTATGTAAAGTAATCATTCAATGTTCGGATAATAGCTAGGTGTGGGTGTGATGAAGGTGAGGATTAGACTGGAAAAGCTGGAAGAAACTTCATCTTGCCACAGGGCGTAGGGCGTAAGGCGTACATGAAGCGACACTTCGATAAAACCGATGATTCTCAATCACAGCAAGGTGTTCAACACAGACAGAGCTCGATAACAATGCAAAAACCAATATACAAACAGTTTGCACGGTGCTACTCTACAAGCATGCCACTGCAATCCCATACCACTCGTCCGACGATCCACGTCCTCGGTCTCGGCAGCATTGGCACATTCACGGCTCACGGCCTAAAAGACATCCCGAACCCTCCAGCTGTCACCTTACTCCTCCATCGAGAATCACTCTACCAAGAATACATACGGAATAATCGCCAGATAACTCTAAAACCAGTGACCGGTGACACGATGCACCACAGCGACTACAACCTCGAGATCTACAAACAAGGCGCCTGGCATACCCCGGCCGACTCTCCAGCAGACCACCAGATCGACAATCTAGTTGTAACAGTTAAAGCAACGCAAACGGTATCTGCCCTCCGTGCCCTCAGATCCCGACTCTCTCGAGCCTCGACTGTTCTCTTCCTACAAAATGGATGTGGTATGATCGACGAGGTCAACGAACACCTGTTCCCAGACCCCGCAACCAGACCAAACTACCTTGCCGGAGTCATTTCGCACGGAGTAACGCTTGCGTCTCCCTTTAATGCGATACACACTGGCGCATCCGCAATATCTTTGGGATTGGTTCCTCGCCCGCATTCACAGTCCTCCCCAAACACCCGAGAGACCGGTAACCAGCTACAAAACAGAGGCGGATCCGAATACATGCTGCACAACATGCCAGTCTCCCCCAGACTATCCGCCAAATCGTATTCTTTTTCGGATGTGTTCCAGATCCAGCTGGAAAAGTTAGCTGTGAACGCATTTTGTAACCCAGCCTGTGCGCTCCACGACTCGAAGAACAGCATTCTTTTCGAATTTCCCAAACTACGTCGGGCGATCCTCACAGAGATATCAAGTATTGTGCTGCGCTTGCCAGAGTTAAGAGGTGTGGATGGAGTAGAGCAACGATTTGCGGTTGACAGGCTAGAAGAAACGGTGAATGGTATCTTGGAGCGGACGAGAGAGACCACTTGCTCGATGGTTGTTGATTTGCGGAATAGGCGTGAGACGGAGATTCACTTCATCAATGGGTACTGGGTTCGACGAGGGAAGGAGGTTGGTGTGTCTACTGCAATTAATGAGGAGTTGATGGATAAGGTGTTGAGGAGGAGTGCTGCTTTGCGCTCTGAGTAACTTGGGAGCCATGTTTTTCGGATGCTCAGATGTGAATACACACCAATGATGGCTGAAATGTGGATATAAGAAGCCCGTGTAGGGGATTTTGAGTCCAATGTGTCTACTGAGAAGTCTACAATTCACTAATGTCTCTGTCAAATTGACATGTAAGTACAAAATTGCGTTACATTATACAGGCAACACGTTGTGCTGAAGCATAGACTGCACTGCATCCTTCACACTCTCCTCCAAGCCAATATACTGCCACTGACTGCCCTTTCCCTTGGAGAGCACGTCTAAGCTAACTCGCATATCCCACCCGGTAGGATGCACCCCCTCAGGCAGTACCCTATCCGGTATACCGACCGGAACCTTTTCGCGTAGTTCTGAAAAATGCTTTCGGATGATATTGACTACTAGCTGCGGTGTAATAAGCCCCGAGATCAGCAGGATACGCTGCCCTCCGGCAGCGGGATTAGAAAGTGCATCCACATGGCTCCTTGCCACGTCGCGCACGTCGACAAAGTGATAGAATGGAAACCGTACGTCCTCAACCTTGGAATTAGTCCCGTCGATGAAGCTCGCAATGGCAAAATGATTAGTTTCATTGATCGACCCCTTCCCGGTGATTGGATGGATCATGGGTCCAGTGATAATATCGGGATTAATAACTGTGAGGTCAAAGTTGGGATTATTTGCCTGCATAAATTCCCAGGCTTTGCGCTCGGCTTGGGTCTTAGAAACGTTATAGCCCAGCACTGTGTCATTACGCTCGATTGCCTGTTGCGCAGTTACCTAGACTTCCATTAGCGTGTGTCTTGCCGGTTTCAGGTTCTTGAACGACGAACTGGATTCCAACTTTTCTCGGTGTATGGGCGTCCTTCTCGACTCATGTCTTCGAAGGAATCCAGGACTGAGACCGCGCTGCCTAAAAGGATGAAGCGTTTGAGCGCGCTTCCACCGTGTTGGTGAGCGCTTTCCAGAATTTGAGTCGTGCTGGAGGTGTATTTTAGTGGTTATAACACGGTTGCGAAGACACTATTGGCTTACCCCTTGACAGCCGGTTCAATCATTTCTTTCTGGATATCCTTAATGTCAAACTTCAATGGGGATGCCGTATGAATGACATAATCGAAGGCAATTTTGTTCTCTTCGAACAAGGTGTTAAACGGTTTTTGGGAGGTGAAATCCGACACGATCGCAAATTCAATCTTCCCTTTCCAATCAGGGTGAGCCTTAACCACTTCGTCCGCTTTTGCTTGAGATCGCACTGTCGCGGTCACCGTGTAGCCACGCTGAGCCTGTCAGATCCTGCACGTCTCGTTAGAGAGTAGTCACCTACATCCAGCAAGATAGAGAGGATATGCGATGCGACAAAACCGTTTGCCCCGGTTAAAAGAACATGCTGGCCGTGTCCTGACGATGACATGTTCTCAATGTTGTAACTATAGATGGTCGTGTCAAAAGGCCTCTGGGCCTGTCAATCAAGAAATCCTCTTGGAGACTGCAAAGTCCGATTTAATTTCTTGAGAGCCGATGTCACGCCACTTAAAGGTTACGAGATACTCCATGTAAGAGGTACGTGTACGCAAACGTCATATCTGAACGGGATCTGAACCTTAACCTCGATTTATAATCTATCGCGTCAAGTAAAAGTAAAAGTCCCCTCCCTCAACAGCCTTTCCCTCCATCACCCCCGCCACCAAGTTGTCATCCACATACCGGAAATGGTCAAAAATTGGTCTGTCGTCATAGATCATTACAGTTGACAGCACACCCCGAAACACCATTTCCCGGACCTAATACGCAACATTAGCTGAATTTGGACTTCCATGCGATGACAGGCATAATGTCCTTGCATACCGTTGCGTGCCCCCACTGCCCCCAGCTAGCTCTCCTTCCTTCGCGAAGGACAATAACGGGGTCGACATCATCCAAGGTGTTAAAGTCCTTGCCGATCCAGCCGATGCGTTGAAGCGTTGGACCAACAGAGTGTCCCGTGTCGAAAAACCCGCCGTTCCAGCTGCCCAAGAGTTGTTCGGGCTTTAGAGGAGGCAGTTGGTCAAAGAGATTGCTGAGCGTTGCGGGAGCAACCTTCCCCTTGGTTTGCACGAGAGTGCGGTATTGCTCTGCCGCACTTGATGGTAGCTGAGTCAATATTTTGTCTCCCTCTTGTTCGGCTGAGTGTTCCTTACGATGTCATTTTTCCAAGTGTGATGTCTTAGTGGATGGTGTGACAGTGTGCAGTTTCGACGCCGATACACTCTACTCGTTTCAGCGCATTAGCAAGATATTTATATTCACGTCTAGACACGAAGGCTGCAATTATTAATGGTAGAGCAAAATATACGGGAATTGGATGAACAAAGTTGGTGTCGAATAGTAATTACGAACTAGTCTCGCTGCAGAAGCTTCTTGATCTCATGTCATTCATTCATCTTGCATGGGACTGTTTTCAGAGTCAGCCTTCGACCCACGGACAGCCCGCCCATTTTCCGCAGAACTGCGCCCTACGGTGGATCGCTCCACATCTCGGGATCTTCGGAGAGTTCTGGGCTTTGCTCATCGGAGGCTTTTTGAATGTTACTCCGTACTACGATTACTGGATGATCGTGAGGTTTCTCTATTGCTTACTTACTAATTGATGTTTCATACAGCAACGGCCCTGGAAGTGTGCCTTGTCGAAGAGAACTGGCTTCATGATGTTGCCGCCTTGCCACCGTCCTGATCGCATGTAAACGTGTGATGATGGCAAATCCGGTGCAGCAACAGTGGAAACCAATGTTGATTATCAGGATACATGGTTTTTGGGACATGTCTCTGTGACTACTCTAAGGATTAGCCATGACATATGATCGGTTTTGGTCTGTTTAGTGACGCTTTGACAGCAACTTATGCATGTTGAAGCGCAGTACTTTATTATTTTATACATGTGATACTACTGGTAGCTTCATTCCAGGTAACTGCAGCCTGGAGTGTAAACGAGCATAATCTTGATCCTGTCATTTGATGCTAGCAATCCTGTAAACCGAGTTGAAGCCAGTATATGTAAAAGTGCTAATATGTATCGAGGAAAATGAAGGCCTCTTGTCTATAGTCTATCAATTTATCCGAAAATATAACGATCGCAACTGTCTATTCAAAAATGGAAGCCTTCATCGAGTTAGGCTGGATGTACTCCGAAGCATTTCGGAAACTGGTGAACCCCCAACGGATCTGCGCCGCCATAGCAATCTCAACATCCAGATCCTTCGCAAAGTGCCACGCAAGTCCTGTATCCCGCTGGAAAGCACGCCCAACCAATATAACATCCAAGTTGCTTTCTGTCAGGATCTGCTCGGCCAGGTTGCCATTGTTGATCATGCCCACAGCAGCGACGAGCAACTTGTCGCCCACAGCCTTCTTCACATCAGCTGCAAATGGAACCTGGAACGCAGGACCCGATTTGATCTTTTGCCCAGAGGCGATGCCACCACTGCTGATGTCGATCAAATCCACCATGCCTTGTGCAGCGAGTGCTCCCGCCAATTTCACTGTGTCCACGCCCTTCCAGCCTGGCTCGTCGGTGGGAACCCAGTCGGTAGCGGAAACACGGAGGAACACAGGGATGTGGGGGCCCACTGTCTCGCGGCTAAGTTGAGCGATTTCGAGCACTAATCGAATGCGGTTCTCAAAGCTCCCGCCGTACTCATCAGTACGTTGGTTCGAAGACGGGCTCAAGAAGGAAGAAAGAAGATAACCGTGGGCAGCGTGGATCTCGATAAAATCAGCACCAGCAGCCAAGGCGCGCTTTGTTGCGGCCACCCACGCCTCCTTCAGCTGGTCGATCTCCTCCCTCGTCATAGCCTTCGGCGTAATGCCATCGTTGGAAAAGGAGATGGCGCTGGGAGCCTTGACATTGTCCACCCAGCCGCCCACTGCGTTGGTCGCGACACCACCACCCAACCAAGGAGGAAGAGTCGAAGCCTTGCGTCCAGCATGGCCCAGCTGAACTCCGATCTTCTGTCCTTGACTGTGGGCGAACTCGATGACTTGTCTGATGGGTTCAATTTGGGAGTCCTTCCAGAGACCAACGCAGCCAGGAGTGATGCGCCCCTCAGGCGCAACGCCAGTGGCTTCAATGATCATCATGCCGGGGCCGCGCTGGGCGATACCACCATAGTGGGCGATATGCCATGGGGTCATATGTCCATCATCGGCACTATATTGGCACATTGGGGCCAGCTGTCGGAGCTGTTAGTATCAAGGATTACACTTGGATGGCTGAAAGTACTCACGCCCAGGCGATTCTGGAAAGTCTGGCCCCTGATCGTCAAAGGCTGGAAGAGGTTAGGGATAGGCCGTCCGCTCGTTTGAGGGTTGCGTGCTGTGCCGGCCGGAGGGAATTGCGCTGGGGTGTAGAAGGACACTCCTTCGGCAGGCTTGACAGTGATATCGGGCCACTGAGTCATGATTTCACTCGTTGGAACAGGATATGAGATTCTATTGTATAGATGATGCAATGTGATGGTCTCCCCAGTTTGCTCTGCTACATGACGCCCATCTTATAACCTTGACAAGCTCATACTCGAACTTTCCACATCCCCTCGAACTGTATACATGATTTGTAAGTTCGGAAGCAATTGAAGATTACTAATGCGGCGCGAAAAGTTCAAGCCTAGCTCATGTTGGGCGCGAAGGGCGCACCAAATCCCGGCTTCTCGGTTCCACAGAAGCATTAAACTTAATCGGTCGGGATCCAAGCTTGCCCCAGCTCGGGCTTTGCCGCTGAAGAGTTGTGGGCCGTTATAAATCTTCTCTTGCCGTTATGCGCAGTTCTGCGCATTTCTTGCGATATACGCGGGGCTCACCAGTATACCCAGCTGGACTGGTCAAGCAAAGTACGGTAGCTTCAATGGTGGAACTGGGAATAACAAACGTAGCCACCATAGTTTAATCCCGCGCCCTGTTGAGTGAAAATGTAATATCTGGGACGATGAGATCACTTCACAGTCAGAGCCTCTCCAGACCCCGCTTGCGGTACGTCATAGAGAAGGTGCGCAATGAAGCTTCAATATGTCCAGCGCATGTGTAGAAAGTATATAGTCTGTTGGAGCACATATCTCTTCACCGCCGGCTACTGGACACGATATATAGTTCTTGGTCTAGCCGTTAGCACGTCGACATAGTTCACGAAAGTTGTCGCAAAATACCTTTGTCGCCTTCACGACCTACTTACTACATCGTATATCCAAACACTATCAATATCTCAACATGCCCTCAGCAATTGTTACTGGAGCTACCGGTAACATACCCCATTTCATTAACCACAGGGAAATACTAACTGAGGCGGTTCAGGCATCACCGGTAGCGCGATTGTCCATCATCTTTGCAAAGACTCCAGCTACGACAAGATCCTCTCCCTTTCCAGAAAAAATCCCGGCTACGACAGTCCCAAGATTCAGCATGCCACTCTAGACCTACAAAGCTCAGTTGAAGAAATGGCAAAGGAACTGCAGAGCATCGAGGCCGAATACGTATTCTTCTGCGCCTACCTGGCACGCGACGATCCCGCCGAAGCCACTCGCGTCAATGCCGTGATGCTCAGCAATTTTATTCAGGCTCTCGAGAAAACCGGAGCCATCAAGCGCCTCAAACGCTTCGTCCTGACCGCCGGGTTCAAGCATTACGGAGTGCATCTGGGGCATTGCAAACAGCCCCTACAAGAAGATGACCTGTTACTGGAAAAGAACACCAGTGGGATCTCATGGCCTCCAATCTTCTACTATGAGCAGGAGCGAATCCTCTCCGAAGCCGCAGGTAGGGGAGGCTGGGAATGGGTGGTCACCCTACCGGAGGATGTGCTAGGCTACGCGCGTGGTAACTTCATGAACGAAGCCACTGCACTGGGGCTCTACTGCGCTGTCAGCAAAGTTCTGCCAGGTTCCCAACTACCCTATCCCGGGTGCAAGGCAAATTACTTTGCATTCAATTGTTGGACATCGGCAAATCTGCACGCCAAGTTCTGTCTATGGGCTGCGACAGCGCCCAGAGCAGGAAATAACGTTTTCAATGTGATGAATGGGGATACAGAGAGCTTTCAGAATCTGTGGCCTCGGCTGGCAGAGAGATTTGGCTGCAGGATCCCCAATCCTATGTTTCCCGGCGGGGGTGTGCCTGACTCTGCTGGGTTCGGGCCTTACGAGGCCACGACAGTGAGCATGCCAAATCCGCATCCGCTGAAGGTGTACGAAGATGTTATCGGGGTTCAAGCCGAAGGGACACCTACGTTATTCTTGCAGGTTGATCCGGAAAAATGGGCGAAAAGAAACGATGTTAATGAGGCCTGGAGCAAATTGAGAAATAAATATCAGCTTGACCAGAAGGCGTGGGAGCATGCGACTTGGGACTTTTTGACTTTTGTCCTGGGACGGGATTGGAGCTGTGTAGGTACTATGAGTAAGGCTCGCAAGTTAGGGTGGACGGGCTATGCTGACACCTGGGATGAATTGGTGGAGACCTTTGAAGTCCTTGAGCAGGAGGGTGTTCTTCCAGCTGCGGATAGACTGAAGCGTGATTTTTGAGGCGTGTAACGAGTATCAGTAATCTACTTTGATTGGTAGCTATCTTCCTTCTACTAAGACGCGCTCATATGTTCCGAGATGGACGAAAGCCACACTGGTTGAATAAACCCTTATCAACGATCCGATAGTACACCGCCAGCAGGTGATGCTTTCGGTGTCTTGGGCTCGTCGATTGGCATCGGCTCAGGCAAGATAATTGTGTGGAGTATAGAGACATACATTGTGAAGGTGGAAGGACGGTATCTAGTCACTTACTATGCCCACATTACTAAACATTAAGACAGATTATGGAGTACAGATGGACTATTCTAAAAGGCTAGAACAGAAAGAGTCACTGAAACCCGTCGATGGGGTATCTGTCCCTCACTACCAAGATGGCAGAGAGACTACCTCCGTTGATCCTGTTGGAAGAATAGCTGGTCATTAATCTGTGCTATATCACATAGACAATAGAGGAAGCTATAGACAGGGTGAGGCCCTTGATACATTTAAGGCTAAAGTGGATAAATGGAAGGATACCACGGCTACCTAGGCGAGGATGTCTTATTCCTCCAGCTGGTTCTTGGTTGACCCTTCAAAAAATCCATTTCAACGATCACGGACTGTTGACCCCCAATGCTGCAGTGGGGACCCATTGTACTTTTCTCGGTAGTTGTTCGCACCTTGAATTGCCGTGGTTACATGCACTAAATGTTGCAGGATGCTAAGCGAGGACCTTAATGAACCACTAGTCCGATGTTCAGCCAATGCCAAGTTGGTTATTAATAAAGCCAAACAGACTAGCCAGCCCGCTCTATTTCTCCAACCGCGTGCCGCAAGGACCTTAAATGGCTATTATAATTATGGGGCGGGGTATCTGAGACATGTACTTCATTTCAAGAGTGCTTGTGCTTCACATCGGCGCATCAGGGTCTAGACTAACAAAGTAAAGTACTAATGCTACGGCCCCACCTGTGGGGTGCAATGGCATAGAGTACTCCACTGGGATTAAGGACAAGTAGAGCTACACTAGAGGTGGATGCTTCAGTTTTACTGAATGTGCGCACACTTGGAAATGAAACGATTGTAATGGCCAAAAGTGGAAGAAGTACAGGAAAAAAAAATACAACCCTTTGCTATGGGCAGATATGGCAGAGTCAAAGTTGCAGCAGGCAACAGAGCGTCCCCTACCTCATAAGGCTATGCCTTCCCGGAAATCCGATCGGAGTGGTTGCCGGATCTAGAGAGCATTTGCGATAGCAGTGTATGCAGGCTTCGGGTTGTAGTTGCTGTCGAACAGCAGAGGAGTGGAGCTGGAGCGCCAGGAATCCTGATTGAAATTAGCTCATGTTTTAAGGCAAGACATCATCCGGACTGCAGGGGTAATTACCGGGTCAGCAACTCCCCAAACGGTGATACCGATACACTTGGGCTGGTTCAGGCAGGCTTCGACGACCTGTAGATTTGGAGAATTGGTATCAGTTAATCACACTATGTACTTGGCTTGTCGCGACTTACCTCCACGTAGTCGGTCGAGCTGGCGCCAGCGATGTCAAGCTCGGTGACAGCAATCTCCTTGGTGCCGGCACCTGCGAGAGCATTGAGAGCTGTAAGGGACTATCAGCTATCGTCAACCAGAATAAAGGGGAGGGGGTACTTATCCAGAAATTCCAGCACCTCCACCAGCGCTCAAGTGGGTTTGGGAACCTTTTGAAGAAAGATAGAAATAATAGCCGGGAACATCTGATCACAAGGGGCTTACCGATTCCATCGATAGGGATGCCAGCTGCGATCCACTTCTTGACATGGCTAACCATGCCGGTCAATTTAGGGTAGGAGGCGGAATCCAGGCTTTTCAAATTTAGTATCCAATTGGTAACAGGAGAGAGGCAAATATGACTTACTTGTAATCATTGATGTAGAGCTTTGCATTGGGATCTGCAGCCCGAGCAGTCTCGAAGGCGATCCGCACGTAGTCCTCGCCGATGACCTTGTAAAAGACGCTGTCGCGTAGGGAGCCGTCTTCGTTGAAGATTTCATTGACAACATCCTTAAGACGATTAATAATAACACTTTTGAGAAGTTGATGGGTGACAGCCTACCCAGGCATAAATCTTGCCCTTATAGTGTTGCATCACTGTGGTGATGTGATTCTTCATGACTTCGATCAGTGTATTCTTGTCCGTGATGGATTGGACCCAGGAGGGGAGCTGCGAGTGCCACACTGGTTGAGTTTAGCTTCACTGTCTTGGTATGCTTCCCACGCTAGTACGTCAAAAACTCACCGAGAGTATGTCCGCGGATCAGCTTGTTGTTAGACTGGGCAAAGTTGACCTAAGTTATGTAAGCCTCGAGCACGACTATAGTGAAGGGTTGAGAAGTGCTGTACGTACCAGGTAGTCCGATCCTGAGAAAGAGAACTGTCCACGGCTGGCTATACTTCTGATTTAGTCTGAGTCGCAATGATAATGATGAGGGGATTGTACTTACGTTCAGTAGCATCCCACTTCATGCTGTTCTCTGGAGTCAACGCGCCAAAATCGGCCTTGATAATGGCCGGAGTCTTCGAGTTCTTGGTCAAGGTGTACTGATCACCAATGTTTCCAAGATATTTCTTCCCGTGAGCCTTGAATTTGGTATCAATACTCACTGAAGCCTGACGGGGTTCAATGGGCTCAGAAAGTACCTGGCTAGCGAAAAGCATCGCCAGTGCAGCTACCTTGATCTGAACCATGTTGGGCAAGAAACGATATACCTTCTTGGAAGAGTCGAAAGAGGATGATGGTGGACTAAAAGAATCACGATAGATTTTTACAAAGAGAGAGAGGGATTGAAGTATTTATATACCATGAGACTCAACATTTCTAGGCAAAGAGGATGTGAAACTGGAACACTCCAAGCCGCGGAACCAAACATCCCGCTCCAGAATGCGTCGATAGGATAGGATTGACTCCATCTGCCTCATCTAGCTCTCTACCGAATTTCCCAGAATGGGAGGATGATACATGGACCCTGATTAGCCTGAACGGATGATCAAGGGCGTTTAGGCAGGCTATCCGGCGCTCTTGACATGTTCGGTTAGAGTAGGCTATATTCTCAGCCGACACGCCGAGAAGCAATCGTATGTTAATTTCAGGAGTGGAGCACTTGTTGCACGGTCGTCCAAATGACCTGCCAATGTTCGTCCATCAGGGTCCAGGGCCTGCCTCGGTTCCACAAATACTTAGCCCTGTAAGAATAGCAGTCGGGTACAGCCGATGATTCGTTCCTTAATCGATGCTGCAGGGAGCCTGCGGATGATCTGATGGGATTCTGCAGGAATTCTCTGGGGTATGCCAAAAAAGTATACCGACCTGTAAAAGTCCAACCAGTTCGAAATTACTAACAATATGTTTTTGATCAGGATATCTTTGGCATCTATGGTGAGAGCCATATCATCATCTCTTCTTCCGGCAGCTGTCAACTGCCTGCCGAAAGTACTGGAAGCCATTGTGTTTTAAGGTGAAACAAGATCAGGGCGGCTATGTGTCAGGGTAGAACCAGTTTGCTTAGCGCCATCAGGGTCCACGTCTAGACTTTCGATGCCCGGAGTTATTCGCCTTCCCACAGCAGTCATTTCCCCGAATCTAAACCGATGGACGGATATTGTGGTGTAATGATAGAACAACACGGTGTAGTGTAGTTTTAAGTGCCGTGCTAGACACGGCAACGTTCCGGTGGGCGATTGTTTCTGGCTAATGTACTCCGTAGTTTAGGCAACAGGCCGATCATCTTCCCCCATAGGAAAGGACCCTGAATAGTGCGTCAAAAAGAGCTTGAGCAAAGGAGGACTGCACTTTCCAAGCCGAAGTGGGGGGGGGATAACCAAGCAGCCCACTTTTATCCGAAACCTTTCAGGTGTCATCTAATTTGGATAAATCCGGATTGTTCTTCGGCATATGTGGATGTCACCATGAGCCATAAATACAAATATCTGGACAAGCTGTTGCCCTTTGTTCAAGTTATTCGTTCTCTGTGGACCACGATCCCAACCATTGATCTCTTTTGTTTGTTCCTCAGCGGATAAAGTCATACGAAAATGAAATTCCTCAAAGCCAAGGGTAGCTTGCTGTCGTCTGGCATATACCTCATTGCATTGGCCCCCTTTGTCAACGCAAAATGCGCTCTTCCGTCGACATATAGTTGGACTTCGACCGATGCTCTCGCCACCCCAAAGTCCGGATGGACTGCACTCAAGGACTTCACCGATGTCGTCTCTAACGGCAAACATATTGTCTATGCGTCCACTACCGACACACAGGGAAATTACGGCTCCATGGGCTTTGGCGCCTTTTCGGACTGGTCGGACATGGCATCCGCTAGTCAAACGGCCACAAGCTTCAGCGCCGTAGCTCCAACCTTGTTCTACTTCCAGCCAAAGAGTATCTGGGTTCTGGCCTACCAATGGGGCTCCAGCACTTTCACCTACCGCACCTCTCAAGATCCCACCAATGTCAACGGCTGGTCATCCGAGCAAGCTCTTTTCACGGGCAAAATCAGCGGCTCAAGTACCGGTGCCATTGATCAGACTGTGATTGGTGATGATACGAATATGTATCTTTTCTTTGCCGGCGACAATGGCAAGATCTACCGATCCAGCATGTCTATCAATGACTTCCCCGGAAGCTTCGGCAGCCAGTACGAGGAGATCCTCAGCGGCGCGACCAACGATTTGTTCGAGGCGGTCCAAGTGTACACCGTCGACGGCGGCGAGGGTGACAGCAAGTACCTCATGATCGTCGAGGCGATCGGTTCCACCGGACATCGTTATTTCCGCTCCTTCACGGCCAGCAGTCTCGGCGGAGAGTGGACAGCCCAGGCGGCAAGTGAAGATCAACCCTTCGCGGGCAAAGCCAACAGTGGCGCCACCTGGACCGACGACATCAGTCATGGTGACTTGGTTCGCAACAACCCTGATCAAACCATGACGGTCGATCCTTGCAACCTCCAGCTTCTCTACCAGGGCCATGACCCCAACAGCAATAGTGACTACAACCTCTTGCCCTGGAAGCCAGGAGTTCTTACCTTGAAGCAGTGAAAGGCTTATCATTTGGTTGCAGACCGGGGTTTTCTTCCCCTTCCTTGAGTAGTATTGTTGGTGGAAGACAGCGGGATGGGGAGTGAATACTATCTTGGGCTCAATTGAGGTGGAATCCTGTCAGACTGTGTACATAGGCTACATGCGAATGATTTGGTTTATTCACAAATAGTATTAACAGATAGTGTAGTATACACCTCTGTATTCACAAGGGTGATTAGGCCCCTGTCTACTAGTAGAAGGATTGTGGGCCTCGGAGGGAATGACTGGCACGTGATTGGATCACATCCATTCATCGGCCAGTCGCGTTCCACCCGCCGAACCAAGTCCTCCCCAAGAAACCAAAACAACCACCCCATAACATTGGCCGGATGATGGCTACTACTATCCTGACCACAACAACAGGTCGCAATGTCCTCTCAAGAGTTACAGGAGCTACGAGAGTTACGTCAGCGTCTTGAAGAGGAGCGCCTGTTGCGGGAGCGGGCGGAACGAATTCAGTTGGAAGAACAGAGGCGCCGTGAGCAAGCCGAGCGGGCACAGAATCAAGCGGAGCTGCAACTGCGGCTCCAGACCCAACAAACCACGCTTCCCGAATTCCTCGACGCCTGCCATGTGCATCTATTCCTTGGGCTGAGCATCCAGCAAGATAAAGACTCCTCTACCAAGGGAGATCCAGCAAATGCCGACCGTAAACTTCGCCCGGAGAAGATTCGGGAGTGGACCAGCTTTCCAGCCGAGCAGGCATTGGTATGGGAGGACCTGATGGATGCTGAATTCGTGACGGAGCGTCACTTCACACCTTTGGTGGTTTTAAAGGAGTACGGAAAGGAGACCCGGCAAAGAATGGTAAGCTCAGAGTTGGATTTGGGCTACTTTGAACGACAGACCATGGAGTCGCGCGTCTCCTCAGTCGTCGAACAGCTGCATGCAGATCCTCAACTCCGGCAAACCTTCTGCTTGAATGGAAAAATTACTTTCGAAAACCATGGCAATACTTTGACGGATGATTCAAATCTTGCTGCGGACATGGACTCCCTTACCATAACTCAGAATAATCCCCGTCGCTCTCAGCGTTTGGCAGCAAAATCAAGCAGCGCTGGTCAGTCAGCGGAGCAGGGGATGGGAGTCCAGCGAGCTGCACAGGTACGCAGTCCTCGGCCTCGAGCAGACCAATTCTGTGTCTATAACAATGGACCAGATGAAAAGATTCCAGCCTTCATTGTTGAATACAAGGCGCCTCACAAAGTCTCTTTAGCTCATATCAAGGCCGGCCTCCAAGAAATGAACCTTGATGAAGTCCTTCGCTTCCAGGAGAAAGAACCACCCGAAGATATCTGCCGTCGCACTATAGCGGCAGTCATTACGCAAGCATTCTCCTATATGATCCAGGGCGGGCTAGAGTACGGTTATGTGTGCACCGGCGAAGCATTCATATTCCTCCGTGTGCCTCCGGAAGACCCTGAAACCGTATACTACTACCTATCAGTGCCGGAGGAGGATGTTGGACCGACTACGGGATGGGTGGACGAGTCAAGTGGCGAGAATCGACTACATTTGACCGCAATAGGCCAGGTATTGGCATTCACTCTCCGCGCTTTGCGAGTGCCGGTACGAGATGCCACTTGGAAAAGCTGGGCAACGAGCAGACTGAAGACATGGGAGATGGTTTACGATGTTCTTCTAGGTGAGATCGAGGAGAAGGATATCCCTTCATCTGAATTCAAGCCGCCTACGCGAAGCCGGAAGGAGTACTGTCGTGTATCTCCAGTAAAGACCAGGTCTAGGTCTGCGGCCATTGCGTCCTGTAATCCATCGCGAGACTCGGCATCGGCTAGCTCAGATGACAGCGGAGATGGTTACGACCCCGACACACCGAGTCGACAACCTCAAGAGTCCCGCATACTTCGCCCGCCACCTTCCTCCGCACCAGGGAGACAGGGGCCACAAGGTTCACGCTCGCAAGGCTCATCACGGCAGTATTGCACACAGGAGTGCCTTCAGGGCCTCGTTAAAGGCGGAGATCTAGATCTGAAGTGCCCTAACGTGTCCGACCATGGTGTTGATCGGCATCGACTTAACCGGAAAACCTTGATCCGGAAATTGGACAAGCAGCTCTCCAATGACAAGCTGCATCCTGATTCAAAGTTAGGATGCGAATCCTTGCACGTGCACGGGACGCGTGGCGCACTTTTCAAGATCACTCTCCACTCCCACGGCTATACATTTGTCGGCAAAGGAGTGCCCGTGGAGTTTGTACAACGCGCAAGACACGAGGAGCTTGTATATTCACGTCTTACTCCAATCCAAGGAACGTCGGTACCCATCTTTCTTGGTGGCCTGCCACTTCGTCGTCCGTTCTCTTACGACGGTATTGCCGAAATGGTCCACCTGATGTGCATGGGCTATGCTGGAAAGACCCTCGTCCGACAGCGCGGTCTTGATCCTGACCAGATGCTGCAACAAGCAGCCAACTCGCTGCAAGCTGTTCATGCGTTGGGTGTGCTACATAGTGACCCGATTCCCGGAAACATAGTCTGGGATGAGCGAAACGGCCGCGTGATGTTCATTGACTTTGAGCGCTCAATAATCCAAAATAAACGACGCCTGCCACTGGGCGTCATATCGCCTAACAAAAACAGCAAGCAAGCCCCTCAGTCCTTCGACATTAAGTGGAAACCGAATATGGACTGTTTTGAGCGAGAGCAAAGACGCATGATCAATGGGTTGAGATAGGTCTTTTTGTGAAGCTCATCAGCTACTATTGGGGTTATGAGACGGAGGGCACCATTGAAAATTGTTACGATGTTACGACTTAACTTTGACGACAGAACTCTACATACCCCCCATCAGTTTGGCGTTTGGCTTTCTCTTCTTCTTCTACTTTCCTCTTAATATTCTTCATGTCCCTCCAAACATAAGTAATAATAGGCAATCTATTTTGGAGGCATTCTTAATTATCATTAGGAAAGGACTAATCAGAATCAATGATGCATCGCGTCAATCAATCTGTCCGTGGAACTCACCGAAACTTTTGCAGTCACACGTCTATTGCTTCGCCTAGTACCCACGAATGTAGATGGACCGATAGTAGTCATTGTTCCAAGAATATACATTGTAATATCGCTCGAATTGAGAGCAGATACTGGTATACAACCTTGAATAGATATAACTGCAGTAGTAGTAAGACAGCGAACTGGACATTACTAGCGGGACGTTATATTATTGCATAAGCCGTGGGGTATAATGATACCTATTCCAGAAGAGCTAACAATAACGTGCGAGTCTGCATCTAAGAACAATCTAGCCTTGTACATCCATCAATTATCACTCCCACCGGTCCACTATACAAAACCGCACCTGCGATGCAGCCAAAACAGGAAGGGGAGAAACAGATAGCCCCAAAACCAAAACTCCGACCATGCAATTCTAACCCGAAACATCGCTAACAATAACAGACAGCCACACCGACCGCTCAAACAGCCTCCCAATCCATTGCATCGACAATGAAATCCCAGTCTGCATCCGACTCTCCATGCAATGCAACATCCATCTTGACCGCCCCATCACACGCAACCACATGCTCCTGCGCAATTAAATACGCATCATCGAACCCCTGGAAAATATCCGAGAGGATCTTCTCGATATCATAGCTCGCCAGAGGCATAGCCTTCCCCTTCCGTCTCGCAGCCCACTTATCCTCCCTCTCCAGTTCTTCCTTGGTCAGATCTGCTGTCTTCCAACGATTCCGCAACTCCTTCGCCCGCTGCAATTGTTCATGGACCTCGCCCTGTCCCAGCACAGCATGCAGGGGACTGTTCTCATCCTGCAGCGCTTCCAACACATTTGCATGGTATCGGTGCGTCGAGAGCGGAGCGGAGTCGTACGCGGCGAGATGATTGCGCGCGAAAGCAGAAGACACAGAGATACCGAAGACGCTGAGGAGGTGAACAATTGCGCGCTCGAGGAGGGAGTAGTACTCGTGGAAATCGAGCTTGAACATGATCTCGGCGTGGGAGACGTCGAAGTCGCTGGTGGCAGGGTCGAGAGTGGCGAGGCGGTAGCCGTAGGCTAGGTAGGGCAGTTTCCATTTTAATCGCTCGACGATTTTCATGAAGCGGGAGAGATGGTTGGAGGGGGAGGGGCGCGGGGAGGATTGACGAGAGGGTCGCTGGACGGGGGATGGTGTGCGTTTGGTGCTGGTTGTTGGGGGGAGTTTTGGCCGGGCTGTGGAGGGAGCGGCGGCTTGGGCTTGAAGCTCGCTTGGGCTGGGAGCCCAGCGAGACTTTAGCAGGTCGCTCATGACAGAGGTGGATATTGCATTGCTGGATTGCGACTGACGAGAGGAGGTCAAGTTGCGAGGGAATTGGTTCGAGTTGGAGGTTCAGCTGGAATCAGCTGATCGACCGATAGTCAGTTAGCGATAAGGAGTGTCTTAGTAAGCTGGTCCAATCGGGGTGTGGATATCACTCGATTCTTTCTTGCAGGATGCAGGGATCCGCTCGTCCTGCAGGAACAGTAAAGTCATGTCGAGTACTCTGTAAATTTAGAGATAGGAGGGAGATTTATATAAGTTGTACCAGGTTATTGAGCAACGATAAAGTGAATCCAGTCTTCGGTAGTTGCAGTGGGCAGAGATAGTGACCTGATGTGAATGCCTCAGTGCGCACCTTCAAAGTTCTGTACCTATGGAATAGGGTTTGGGGTTCGCAGAAGTTGCGGGTTCTTCGCTGAAGATATGGTGAATCGCATGTTTTCTGTCTTCTTGGTGAGAACCTATTTGCAAAGTACTAAGGACATTCCCGGTCAATGGAAGAGGATTGATGACAATAGCCGTAACTCCAAAGCCACAAGGGGGGATATCAACGGGCGCGAACCAAGCATACTATGGAGTAAGTAATATAAAGTAAGCTTGTGGCAATTTAGTAGTGATAATAAGCATAAGCAGGCAGATTTTCCGCTTCCCAGACGGCTTCTAGATACATAATAGAATATGGGTCCTCGGAAATGAATCCCACGTGGCTGCATACCACAGTACTCTGAGTGTGCGTTCCCACAGAGGAATAACGAGGGATAGCCTTGAAAAGACAGTGTTCTAGACTTCTCCCGGTGAGAATGAGTTTGGAAGATCTGAATGCAGCTGTAAGTGCATTGCGCCACGGGGAATTTTCGACATGACAGGCCGACATTAGTTTAACGCACCCCCTAACTGATTTTGCTCGTGCACCGTTCAGGGGTGTCACGAAATAAATTGCAAGTCCTTCTAGTATAGTCCTAGTGGCAAGGAAGTGCAGCTAAGCTGACCATACCGACTTCCGCGGGACACATTTATATTAACGGGACACTCCGCGCAGTTATTTTTGGTTGATCGACACAGATTTAATATGACCTAGTTCGGTATGAGATGGGCGGAGATTAGGAAAATTCAATCATAAAGCCAAGGAGAGTGTTTGGTAGATGCTGCTAATTTGCACGATAGAACTCTGATAGCGAGATATTTGGGGGTAATAGTTTGATGTTGTTTCTGATAGATCAACGACCGCGTCACTCCAACCACTGGGATGCTGAATGATGGGACAAAGCGGCAGCTGCTGCAGATCCTCAGGCAGCCAGCGAGGCTCTCCACGTGGAAATTAATCTGTTCTGGGTTAGCGCAAAGATTTGGACTGACACTAAGCCTGGATAAGCAAGCGGTGTCGGAAATCACATCAATTCCAAACAACGAGCCGCTTGGCGCGCTAACTTGAGCTTAAAATGATATTATTTCCCCATTTTTTGGCACGCACAACGCCTCTCAGTGCCCTAAATCCAGGGATTGCAACGTCTGTACGGAACAGGACCGAGGTCCGGCACTTTTTCTTGGAAGTTCTTGGAAGGCGGTCCACGTGCCTTCTTTGAGTTCGCCCACAACCCATGAATAAGTCTCCGTTTCATCACCAAAGTCACTTGCACGTTAGTGCCTGCACTACAGCCAAGCGAGATGGCGCCGAGAACTCAAGACGAGTCAGGACATCTCGCCTTCGTAGCTTCGAACCCAACATCCAGTTGAGATGGGAGTCCCCATCGCTATCCCTCCAAGACTCTAAGCGACATGGAGTCAAGCTGGGCGCGGGAGACGCACAGGGTCATCGCCTGCTCCGAGTCAGGAAAGCGGCATTCCAAATGCCCACTCGCCAGGTGATTGGAGGGAGTAGTGGGCATCGGTAGATGATTCCCAACTGGCGTCTCAGATCCGGCTTCAAGTGGACCGGGTTGTAGTATCTACTCTATTATCTAAGTTCCAACCGGACGGATGCAGTCCTGCGTCCGATCGCCCAGCCAGCCATGCCCCCTCGGATTGGTCCCCTCCTCGTAGAAACGCCCGTGTCTCACTGAACCCACGGTCCTTATGCAAAATGGATCGCGCACACTTCCGCCCAGTTCAAGGCATGTTCATCCACAAAATCAAGCTGCGTCACTTCGGGAAGCAAACCCAACTCGTCCATTTAATCGATACGCTCAGATTTCTCCATCATTACGATCGCTGGACGAACCGGGAGTCTGGACCACACACATACTGGGAAGGGAACTCGGGCCAAGCACGCCCCCGTAGGAAAAAAGCTTGCTCCTGACGAATATCGACTGGTGTTTCGAAATCCACATGGCCTATGTGCCGAGGAAGATTGATTATAAAGGGTGACCAGGAGAAATCCCTTTTCCGTCGAGTGGCTTCCCCGTTTGCCTGTTGCCTCTCTGTCCTGGGATGTTGCTCCTCTGAGTTACATCCCACATCACAATGAAGATACATCAGTGTTTAATCACCATATTGGCGGCGTTGACGGTATCTGTGTTCGCCGCGTCGTCAAATGGCACAGAATTCCCAGAGTGTGCGGTAAGTGGGATTCCCACCCGGGGGTTCCGCTTTCATCATTGACCATGTCCCCAGGTGTCTTGTTTGCACCAAGAATCTCCAAATTGCACCATCACCGACGCATCATGTGTATGTACCGGCGATGCGAGCAAGTCGTCGCTAGTGACTTGCGCACTATCGAACTGCAGTGCACTGGATTACTATAGTGAGCATCCATTTCCGCTGGCACTGACGGTTTAATATACCTAACACCCCCGCAGTCACGCGGCATATGTATGAACTGGAATGCGATCAGCCCATTAAGAAGGGGCCCCCTCTTGTCGATCCTTCGACTCTTGCACCAGCTATCCTCGCCACGATATTCTTCTTTATCCGGATAGCTGCTAAACTCGCAAACCTCGCTGGTGGTTGGGGACTTGACGACCTCACTGTCACGATCGCATGGGTAAGTGCTGCTGCATTGCCTGAGACCAGTGGAGCCTCTAACAGCTAGTAGATACTGGGAGTTGCCTTGTTTGTTGTGAATACATACAGTAAGTCATTATCATCCTTCATTTCGTGGCATCATGACTGACAAAATAGTGATCAAATACGGTTTCGGCATGAATACCTGGGATATCTTACCCTTCCACCACGTCACATTAGTCTTCCAGTACTTCGAAGGTCTGGCGATGATGTACAAGATCCAAATCTCGCTCTGCAAGATATCCGTCCTACTCTTCCTGCTGCGAATCTTCCAGTCCCGTGTTTTCCGCGTATGCGCATATATACTCATCGCCATCAACGCCGCCATCGGCATCACGTTTTCCCTCGTGGATCTGCTTCGCTGCGTGCCAGTCCACCTGGACTGGCATTCCTGGACCGGCGAATACGAGGGCGTGGGAACATGCATCAATTTCATCGCAGCAGTTTTAGTCCACTGTCTTGTCAACATTTTCGTCGACGTCGTCATCGTCCTCCTACCGATCTACGAAGTCAGCAAGTTGCAGCTGCCATGGATGAAGAAGATCAACGTGGCACTGATGTTCATGATGGGTCTTATGTAAGGCTCACCTACTCATTCACCCCCTTCAAGCTTTGCTAACAAAGATCTTCTCAGTTTAACTATTATCGCTATCATTCGTGTGATCGTATTCTGGGAGAACCGCTGGACCACCAACTTGACCGGTACCACCTCACCCACCCTCACAACCTTTTCAAAGTCCACCCCACTAACACATAAATGTATTTACAGCCGGTCTCCAGCCCCTCATTCACTGGTCCGTCATCGAATCCCAGATCGCAATCATGACGACCTGTCTCCCCGCCGCCCGCGCGTTCATAAACCAATACGTCCCAGGTCTTCCCGGCAGCACACAACGACGGACCTACGGCCGAACCAACTCTCTGTACAACAACGGAGGTGCATCCTCAGGGGTCACCAACAGCAAGATTTCCAAGTCAGTGAATATCTCCGTTGACTATACGACACGGTCGGAGAGGGATTCGACCAGCGCTGTGCATTTGGTGGACATGGACGGGAGGTATGAACGGTTTTAAAAAATTCACAAACATTCCTTTTTTCGACACATAGTACCGGTTTATTATTTTCTTATGTTTTTGATATCCCTTGGGTTAGGTTATTTGATGATATTATACATTAGACGATAAAGAGACAGCGAATAGTCAACATTTGACAATATCCAAGAATTCTCTGTAGTTGAACTATTAAACCGATCTACATTTGACCTTATTCACGGTGACAGGCGAGATAATTGGCCATTCATGCTCGTCGACACATTATCCTATGATCGTAAATATTTCCCCATCAGACATATATACACAGCTTGACCACCTATCACCCTCTGACACAGCACCGTTCAATCCTAAGGCAAAGAGAGGAACAGCTCCTTCATCAATGGGTAGTTAGGCGTACCCAAACCACTAGCGGGATCCCATCTATAGTCATCAATTAGCACACCCCTCCTGACAGAACCAAGTACTGAGCACTTACCCCTCAATAGCACTAAACCCATAAGTTCCACACCCAGCATTAGTACCATTAGTGATATCGTTCAGCACTTGCGGATAAGCATAAAGCACGGGATTCACGAATCCCACGGGGCCCTTGCCGATAGCGAAGCGTTCCTCGTTGAGCTAAGTCGGTCAGCCATGTGTCAATAATTAGTAATGGGGGGTGACAAAGCTCACCAAAGTAAGAACCGACGCGAACAAAGGCGACGCCAAACTCGATCCATACCAATGATAATCGTATCCATCCATATAAGCGCGGAAATGCGCTCCATTCGCCGAGACATCCGGATAAGCACGACCAAGCCTATTGTAGAGACCCTTGGTCGTGTTAACATCGACCTCAAACTCCGAGTAATACGGATACGACAGGTTCGCAGACTGGAAGTATTGCTCCACAGCAGCAAACTGATATGCCGGTTGGGGGAAGTAATTCGAGAAGCCACCAGAAGTGCTGAAGTTACTTGCGGTTCCGCCAAGGTTAACGTGCATGACGCTCTCGCTGTCGTTGACGGTCTGGTAGCCGTACAGCATGGTACCTCCAACGGAGGTGACGTAGGGGCAGTTGGAGGGGTACTGGGGGTTGAAGATCTTGCCCTCTGGGCCGAGACAGCCGTTCTCGTCACCGTCGCCGGCGAAAGACGCGACGCCGTAGTCGCCAGACGCGAAGAGGATGGAGTGTCCCTGTAGACCGAGCTTCATGAACTCATTGCATTGGCGCTTGGTGTAGCTGACGGGGAGGTCGGCTTCGGATTGGCCGTAGGAGGCGCTGATTACGTTAGTGGGCTTATAGACGCCGCACTGGAGCTTTCCTGTTGGTGTGTTAGGTTGGATTGTATGGGGAAGAGGTGGTGTAGGTAGGTACCTTTGTAGCCGCCGGGGCGGGTGTCGGGGTATACGGGGTCGATCGACGGGTCATCGCCGGTCTCGCCGTAGGCGCTGTAGGTGCAGTAGGACTAGGGGTGTTAGCTGGGTAAGACTGAGAACGAGGTCTGTACTCACGCCATCGAGAGCGTCGAGGAAGGTGTTGAACAGATTGGTTGTGTCGACCTCGACTGGTTCGTAGAGCTGGTCGTCAACCTGGTAGAGGGTCACCTGCTGAGGGTAGAGCAGGGAGTAGCTTCAAAACGTCAGTAGGGGTCTGATGACAAGGTGCAGAAATGACTCACGCCATGTCAATGTCAATGTCGGATTCACCCGTGTTCAGGGAGCTGTAGGAAGGAACCGAGTAATTGGCGCCATCAATCAGGGCTGGGATGGGATAGGTACCCTGGGGAACCCACGGCGCATACTCCTTATAGAAGAGGTCGAGGTCGGACTTGGCAAAGTAGTCACCCTGCTCGTACAGACCCAGGCTGTTGTTCGGGGTCGCCGTCTTAGCGTCTGGGATCTGATACAAGGCCTTGATACACGAGGGGGTGATGTTGTAACCGCAGCCGCGGAGGTCTTCAGGCAGGAACTTGGCCTTGTTGGGGAGTGGCTGCGGACCTTGGGCAGCAGACTTGGCCTTGGAAGAGTGAGCTAGTTGGGAAGCACGCTTGACTTTGTTGGTCCTCTTCACGACCTGGGTGAGCTTCACTCCAGGGGTAATGTAGTCGATGTGCTTCTGGATGTGTTCGGGGACGTGGTATCTAGATTCCGATTAATAGCTACTCATGGAAGGTGATAGAAGAATCTTCTTACTGGTCGCATCCAACCCTGATCTTAGCACTTCGGTCGCTCTCGTGCTCGTGGAATTCCGTCATGAACAGCCTCTCGGCTTCATGGGCGTAGGCGTCGAACGCGAGCCAGCCCTTGTTGTCGGAGTGCACCACCCGCGACGGATGGATACCAGAGGCGACAAGCCATTCTCTCACTGCCTCAACAGCCTCCTCGGATGGCGAAAAGATGTCGTGCACCTCGTCTGCCGACCAGTACTGGCCGTATTTGGAAGACTTGGGGTCCGATCTGCGCCAATCTCATGTCAGCATGTTTCGAGGTCATCCATTGCGATCCTAAAACTAGGCATATAGCATAAAAAAGGTAGATTTTGACTCACACTTCCATCAGGAAGTCATAGCCCTTGTCCAAGTTGTTCTGGGCAAGGCCAATGCGCATAGGCAGGACCGCATCGCTCTCAACGCGCGCACCCTTCACCCAGTCGGATGCGGGCTTGTGACGTTTCTCGTGCAGGACATGCTTGATGGATGTCGGAATGGCATCGGACAAGGCCGCAATGGCCAGAGCCAGGGCAAGCTGACGGACCAACATGTTGAGGTTGAACCAGCGCGATAGTGACCAGACACAGTGGCTGATGACCGAAAGGTCCCAACAACGGATTTAAATAACAACGCCGCAGAGCTCTGGTAGTGGGCCCCTTGCAGTGAGGGACGATGCGAGAATTAATTGCGACATTCGACCTGCTGTTCTCACCGCCGCTAGCAATATCACATCGATGGTTTGATTGGAGGAGAGGCTGGTTTGCCGTTGCGATGGTGCCTGGATGGACGGTGTCGAGGCGGTCTTGCGATTGCGGGGGTGTCACCGCGTGTCCATTTGCTGATAGGCACTGGTCAGCCCACAGAAAGCTCCTCTGCAGCTTATCGGCCGGTCTCTCCATGGTCTTCCCACGCTATCGAGGAACTAATGCCGTCGCGTCGGTTAGTCCTGGTGTTATCGGGCACTAGCCGGGCGAGGATGGCGGCCATTCGCCAATGACAAATTAGGGCCACCGGGGGAGCATCGGAGAACCGACTGAGCTGCCGTGATAAGCTCTCGCCGGTTACCACCGCGCTTCCGCCGGCCAGCTGATTCTTGTTTCTTATTTTCCGTGGTCCTAATCGCTCACCTTCCTGACTGGGCTGGTGGATTTTCTGGTGCCTGAGAGGCTGCATTTCACACAATGATGATGCCTTTTCGAGGTTCACAGAGCTTGTTGGATGCCTAGCCTCTGCGAAGACGCGGGTCGCCGCGGATAGATTGGCCGTGGCTACAAGACACGCAAGGCCGACAGTATGCATGTTTGAGACATGCGACCCATCTCTCATTCCTGTGTTGCTCACGGCTACGTCGATGGAAGATATCTCTGGAGGTTCAATCCCAGTGCAGTGCAATTGTCAATGAGTATCATAAAGCCTCAATTCTGGACATCGGACACAACGGCCCGTCTTTATAACCAGCCCCATTCGTTACATTGTTTGGAATCAATCCATATCCAGCAATTGCCTGGTAAACACTCCCCGAGGATCCCATTCTCTTTTGAGCTGTCGAAGCTTCTCTAGCCGAGCCTCTCCCCGATACCGACGCTGGATAGGACCCGTCCGAGTCGCGTTCTGGAAATCAATGTACCGTGTTTCGTCCGGCCCCCTCATCAAGGCAACGCACTCATCGTTGTACTCGTCAACCTTGCGCCTGTTCTTCTCATCTGTATGCCAGATAATATTGACTCTTCAACACATTCACTGTTAGCATCGCAACGTCAAATGGAGCCAAGAAAACCTACTGCCAGTAGCGGATATCATGCGACGACATGGCAGACTCCTTCTCGGGCGTCTTAACTGGTCGTGAGTCCCACTGTAGATTGAAAGCTGAGTTATTGGCATCAGGGCACTCATGGATCAATTTCTTCCAGACTTCGATGGCCTGCACAAATCTGTCGTTACAAAATTCATGCAACCCTACGATATCGAATCTCTTGAAGTCGCCTTTCGCGCACAGCGCTTCTCGCTCATCATTGACATTCTGAATGGGTAGCTCTCTTCCCGTTGTGGCGGTGGGCTGAAGATCATACAGAGCTTTGAATGGCACCTCGGGAGCTTCATCACCGGTATAGCGGGCGGAAATCACCAGAGATGGAATGCGCGCGGGTGGCGGGGCAATGATCATCATGAGGCCCGCCGTCGCGTGCTGGGGATCATCCATGATCTGCTTCATAACTCGAGCCACCTCCACCGCCCGATCAAGTGGGAAGATAAAGCCCCCCACCCAGATCAGGCCTTGTTGTTTCCGCAGTAGCGACAAAGGGTGCGCACGAACGGTGAGCTGTGTGACGAGGCCAAAGAATTGGCCAGCTCCTTTTACTGCCCAGAGTAGGTCTGGGTGTGTTTCTTCTGTAACTTCGATCAGCTCCCCCTTTGCTGTGATTACGCGCGCCGCTAGAATCTGATCCGATCCGAAGCCGGTGATGGAATTGGTGATCGAGCCACCGCCACCAAGCAGGTATGGGATGGCACCAACGCTGTTGCCGTTTCCGAGTGCTGTGTGATTGATGTGTCAGGATGGACATTAGACGAGGTCCAGGCAAAGGCAATAGGTAATTAGAACGCCATACCTGTGAAAAGACCCGCTTCTGCTAGACGCACAGACACTTCCTTGGCCAGAACACTGCCAATCACGGTTGCTGTTCTTGCACCCGCATCAACGCGAACATCAGAATACAAGCTGAGATCGATAATGATTCCCTCTGTTCCAATGGTTGACCATGGACTATGACCACCACTTTTGGGCACAAATGGAATGCTTAATTTGAGGGCCCATTGCACCTATGTCCAGGGTCATTGCCATTCCCTGTGTCCGTGTACCTGCAAGGTTCATCTTACCGTCTTCAGACAGCCATCCTCCGTCCGAGGAAGGACAATGGCAGCCGGAACCTTCCGGTCAATATCAGTCCATCGAGCTAGACGTTGCTGAAAGTGTGCGTCTAGGGGGTCGCGCAGGATCTCACAGTCGGCGCCCACGGCGGCCTGGAGAACTGAAAGCTGGGACAGGACGTGATGGGACATGGTCATATCGTGGTTGCACAACCTCCAGAATGAATTGACATGTGTCTCAATTGATGGAGGGGTATGAGGGTCAACAAGGATGTAGATGTAGGACGACCACTCCAGCAGCTTGGTAAGCTTGGGGGCAGGATCCACGTCAGCTCGTCTTGCTAAGCAGTCAGCTTACTGAGAAGTGCCGGAATATTTAACAGCCATGGCGCCTTTATTCCAGCGTCTTTAAGCCAGTGTGAACAAGAATTTAGCGATCGCACTGAAATTGTAGGGTAGCATTGTAGCAAGGGAATGTCGATATCGATCAGAAGGACGTCATAAGGCATCCCGTGAAGTCAGATTACGAGGTTAACGACAACTATGTCAAAGTTTAGGCCATGCAAAGCATCTATTCATCATGTAGGTTAGAGTTAAAGTGTGCATCCATGAGCAGGGGAGTGGGATAATCTGCTGTCAGCAACTGCAGCTTCTCGGCTGACACTAACCGGCCCCCCACCAAGACTGGCTTTGGACGCGGGGTACAGGCGGGGAGAATACGACTTCCACTCTTCCAAGACCTGTTACAAAACATAATGCGCCTGTAATTAAGAGATAACTATTGTAGAAGGTACGTTATTCTGGATCTATATCGTGTATAATCTAAATCTTTGGAAGATGAGAAGGTGCGATTTGGTGGGATGCCGGTCGGCGGCAGGAATGGGTGGGATGTCCCGATTCGGCCTATTGGATGCCTCACGGATGCCTTAGGTTCCAGATTCCTCTCTTCCTCCGAGTGTCTGTCGAATATTTCTTCTAACTCACTGGACGACACTAGTGCATCTTGCAGTGTATGCATGAATCACTGTCATTTCGTAGGCTCGGAGCTCCAATGTTTCTGAGGCTGACACGTTTCCCCATCAGGACGGAGAACTGTTATAAACCAACCTTTGCAACAGGAAGCTGACTGCTTTAGCAGCAGGACGCAGGTACGTACAGAGGGTTTCTTTCACCACTGGGTTATTCAGCCTCTTTTAGGACCTCTACTGCGTATCAAACCCGTTCTCTCATGCGCTCCTCCTTGACGCAATATCCAGGGGGTAACGGTCTTTCACGATCGCATTTTCATAACGAGGCATTATGGTCATTTCAGAAAACATAACGTGGGAAATTGGCCTGAGTTACTTGTGAGAGCCAGATTACCTGGCTGTATATTGACTACCGCGCCTGTTCATTATTGAAAGCAGTTGTTTTCTGTGTCATGCCCCAGTCCCTGGCTTTTTCCCAGCCTACCGTTTACTTGGTAATGCATGCTGGGGTCATTCCTATCCAGCTAGAGTGCTTTGTTCCTCATCTAGTCATCCCTGACTAAGCTCTAAGAACATAGGCATCTTGTCTATTTTCTCTCCAGATTTGCAGAATGATTGAAGTCCAATCCCCTCTGCCTTCGATTGGTGAGGCTGTAACAAGGCAGTCAGGCGAGCACGATATAACCGTCGAACAGAATTTACTCGGAAATGCGAACAATCCCGTACGGTACCTCAGCCCGTTCCTCGCAAGATCCCTGTATCTTCAGAACGTGCACTGCACTGCAGCAATGGCCAGCTCCATCGGTTAATTTCCCCTAATGGCTTACCCGCCAGGGCGGGGCATGCATGCACCCTAAGTAGTTCCAACAAGACAAACAACGTCATTGCACCGAGACAGAATCAGCAGATGCAACCCCGCTCGGAGAACACTCCGCAGTGACTTGATTCTCCTACTTCTTTTACGAATTACCCTATCTCTGAATCAATGCCAGTCTTCGGATGAGCTCTTCGCCCCACAGAAGTCATACCATATTGCGTGCACTGCCTTCAAATAACAAGCTACTGTGAAAAACAAAACCTTAAGCATACTCTAAACAGCCTAACCGGTAAATAGCTATCAAGGGCTTGAATACTCTGTGATCTGCAGTTGATGCTGGAGCAATCCAAGACAGGAGAAACCTTAAGACCCATAGGCGGATAATTTCTCCCCGCGATTATCGCTCAGACACTCCCCTCCAGTCGGTTATATTGGAACGCGTGTTGCGCAAATGAACGCATGTCTGTGTTGCAGTTCCCCGCCTGAAGAACCTGACAATCAAGGCTTATCCACGGACATGTCGGCGAATTGCAGACAACGGCTCTGAAATTGGCTTTGCGCTACTGTTTTCATTGGCCACGCCCTCAGGAACTGGCTTGATCATGCGGTTACCAGCAGGGGTATCGAGGATGTGCATTCACGATGCAGAATCTCGGGAGGGTCGAAGTCAAGCATTTATAAGGGCACTTGCAGAATACCCTGAGGGAACAAATCGAATCAACTTCAAACTGCACCTTGTACAATGCATCTAGGCAACAGCTTGAGTTTGCTCTGCCTCGCAGCACCCGGCCTCGTCGCCTCTATTTCTTCCTCTCCTCTATCCACCTCGGGCCGATGGATCGTCGACACCGACGGAAACAATGTCACCTACGCAGGGGTCAACTGGCCCGGTGCTGAGGTGGCCATGTTGCCAGAAGGTCTGCAGTATCAGTCCATCGAGTATATCGTCGGCAAGATCAAGGATTTGGGTATGAACGTCATCAGGCTTACCTTTGCCATTGAGATGATCGATGACATCTACGAGACTGGAGCGGACGTACCGATTAAGACGTCATTGATTAACGCTCTGGGTGAGACAAATGGAACCAAGATCTACGACGATATCGTCAGTAATAACCCGCAATTTGGGGAGAATACTACACGACTAGAGGTGAGCCATATATTTCAACGCTTAGTGTCTTGTCTTCAAATATTGACGGAGTTTAGGTCTACGATGCAGTAGCCAATGAATGCTACAGTCAGGGCATTTACGTACATCTGGACAACCACGTCTCCAAAGCAAGTTGGTGTTGCTCGACCACCGACGGAAATGCCTGGTTCGGAGACACCTACTTCAACGTGAGCAATTGGCATAGGGGGTGGAAATATATGGCTGAGCACGTAAGCAGCGTAGTTTTTTTTTTTTTTTTTTTTTTTTTTTTTTATCTCCAATCCTCACAGCTAACGTAACTCCAAAACAGGTCAAATCCCTGCCAGCCGTAAAAAGCATCGGTATGCGCAATGAACTCCGCAGCCCAGACGACAACACCACACTCGCAGACGACACCTACAATTGGGAGACATGGTACAGCAACATGGTCGAGAACGCGAACCAAGTGCACTCCGTCAATTCAGACCTACTTCTATTCTTCTCAGGTCTCAACTACGATGTCACACTCTCACCGATCCCGACAGCCTCAGATTTAGGCGACGGCACGGTCTTCAAGAAGAGCGATTTTGATTTCGCCGATAAGATCGTACTAGAGCTTCACAACTATGACTCCTCTGCTACCAGCTGTAGTAGTCTGTCATCTAGCTTGCTGAGCGACGGCTTCGATGCTCTAGAGACGAATGATTCGAGCATTGTAAATGTGCTTCCGGTCGTAATGACCGAGTTCGGATACGCGCAGGATGATACCACCTATACAGAAGTTTATGCCTCGTGCTTGAGGGAATGGTTGCCTAGTGTGCATGCTGGATGGATGATTTGGGTGCTTTCGGGAAGTTATTATGTCCGAGAGGGAATACAGGATTATGATGAGACTTGGGGTAAATTTACCTGTTCTGGTCCTTGAAGTGCAGAGTTATGCAGAGTTCGTGCAAAGCGACTAACTATGATTACTAGGCCTACTCGATCATACGTGGTCTGGATGGCGATCAACCGAGGCAATTGATAATGGCATCATTCCTATGGTCAACGCGAGTCTGGGGTAGGTTTCGGGTACTGACCGACCTCGTCGGTATATTGGAGGTGTCCCTGTGATGGAGGGCTCAAAACTTGGTCCTGCGAGCATCCAGCAATGGCAATCCACTTATTTACCGATTGGCTCTACACAATAGGTAGTTTTCTATATCCCGCCCACAAGGTACTGCACAACAACATGTCCTAGAAATAAAGTAGGTATTTTCGACATCTTATTTTTTAGCCATGAACATACGAAGGCAGCTCAGCCGAAACTATTTCACTAAAACTGACCATGTTAATATCAATAAATGTTACATTATAACCTATTTCCGTAGCGTTGATTCGAGTTTGTAACTTTGAGATAAGCGTGTCATTGGCTTACTGAGCACATTTTTGATTGTCAAGGAATAGTGCTAGTTCCGCAAGGTTACAATGGATGTCAACTTTTGGCCCTTCAAAGGCAAGAAGTATTCGATGAATGTCATAAACCAGAAACAAACTACCTAGATAATACATGTTTGCACATTCCGAAAGACAGGCCTCATCCTAGCCACCATTATAACAGGCATTTATCTCATAAGCTAAGAGTATTAGGCCCAGCAATCGTCAAGCCCTTCACTCATCCATTGCCTATTGCTGACAAATCGCCTGAGAAAGCCTGAGAGTATCTCAGTTGGAGTAGCACTTGACAGACTGGACGCGGTTGGAGGAGATCTTGTCGCTTCCAGGGGACTGGATGTCGCCAGTGCCACCGCCGTTGCAGGCATCGGTTCTAAAGGGGAGAAAAAGGCACAGGTCAGTCAGGGGTCCTGCCATCCATACACAAGGAGAGAACATACTCCCAGAAGCGGCAACGGTATCCCCGGGGGATCGAAACCGAGTGAACATTGTCGTTGACGGCCTTATCTTCCAGGTTGACTAGATGCAAATAATGAATTAGCTATGATGGCGTAAAAGAGAAAAGAACGGAGCTGGCTAGGATGGCCACATACAGCAGTCATGCTGGATCCCAACGGTAATCGTGCTGCAGGTTCCTCCCAAGTTCTGCCCATCGCAGGCCTTGATTTGGATGGAGTTATCTCTCTGCTCGAGAGCGCCGGGAGCGGCAATGGCGCCGGTGACGGCGGTGGCGAGCAGCAGGATGGTAGCAGTGAATTGCATTTTGAATGATTTGAAAAGACGAGATAGTCTTGGAAGATTTGGATAGATAGAGAAGATTGTTCTTAGAGAAGCTGTTTGTTGTTGTTGTTGTTGTTGTTGTTGTTGTTGTTGTTGTTGTTGTTGTTGTTGTTGTTGTTGTTGTTGTTGTTGTTGTTGTTGTTGTTGTTGATGATGAGCAGGATACTCCAGACAAGGACGTTGTACTTATACCTTTCCCTGGGACTTCTATCTCAAGTCTCCAAGCCTAATCCAAATCTACGAAATGTACAAAAACCAACAATATGCCTCTTTGCTGGGGCCATTTTCTTCTTCGTGAGGCTGTACCAACTGCATAAACTGTAGGATAGCTAATGATGGCCCTCTTTCACTGGTCACCTCGTCTGGCCTTCATCATTCGGCCCCAGCCTCTGCACCCCAACCCTTGTCTATGAGGGCTATGCATAACTGAGCTAGCCGCTAAGGATGTAACATGATGATTCCTTTGGCTTTCTTCCCCTGTCATTGACATCTGCCAAGGTACTCCGCCCCCCGGTGATTCTCTTTGTGCAGTGTGGAGGGCCAGGGATTTGACACCGAGGGATAAAGCGCCCCAACAAGCTTACCTCCTCAATGTAGGCGGGTACCTGAGTCTAGAAAATACTGAAACAAATATGTAAGACTGATATCGCAACGCGTTTACCGCATGAGGTAAACGTGCTACTCTCTTATCCGAAAGGGTAAATGTAAAGCTCAGCCCAATCCCACGTTGTGCGCTGACTGCAGACTGCACTTACAGAAGCATTTGGTAGGTCCTACAGCCCGCATACCTAAGCAGGATGTGCTCTTCTTGGCCTAGTTAGTTACTTGTCAGTAGTGCGGACATATCCGCATTGAAAAGTAAGCAAGCCACCTGCAAGCGCTCTATCAGGTACCGGAGTGTCTTTGATCAAACGGGCAATGTCCGTCTTTTACTTGAACCTCCCGAATGCGCAGGCAGTCCCTTATTTCCCAGGGCTTCAAACATGCTCAGAATCCAGTATACGAGATTAATATGTTCCATTGGCTACAGCCGTCATTCACTTGGTTCAGGCTGTAGATTGTAACCCAGGGTCATCAGCACATTATCCACATTCTCGATGAAACAGACTCGGCCATAATCCTGGCTGTCACTACATACCTGACGATGGGATTACATATTTCAAAGGATTCTTCTTAATGAGCCAGTTACCCCGGCCTGTGTCTTTGGCCCCTGTGTCTCGGCCCTTCCTTGGCAATCCTTGGCCAAGCAAGACCAAGTCTGAGCCAAGCACCAATCCTATCTTCTAGGTGTTGTTGGCTCCATGGGAATCCAGAAAATAATCGTACCACCAAATAGCATTGATCCAGCTTATTGTATGTCTAGAGACGGCGAATAGAAGTCCTCCTTGAATAATCCGGGTGGCCTGTGACTTAAGCCGGTGCCGAACAACGGAGCTTTTTGTGCGTCTAGATTTACGATCAAATAGGTTACTTCCTCACCTAGCCCTGCGTGCCGATTGCATTAGGCTCTCCGAGTGCCACGAAGAGCTCTTACTACAGTAGGTGCTCTAGGATGTTCAGATACCTGCGGGCTCTCTCCTAGGCCTGCCCATATTCATCAATTGAATAAGCTTACCTTGCCTTCGTAATAGTTCCGTACCTACACCAGTCTTTCTAGTGCTAAGGAACTGGCCAGCAGCTCTTTAAATCGCTACTTGTGGACAAAGAATGATACGCTCAACTATGACAGAGCTACCTTGAGATTGGCCGTAACTTTTCTGGGAAGGGTTTTGGCGACCTCAGATGGAAATTATTCGAATCCTAAATAATTATGCATTGAGCGTGAATCCACTGGCTGGATATTCCATAAAACTAAGCCTTAGAGATAGCTTAGTCAGTATCATTGGATTCCTTCTTCCTAGATACCGCTTGATAGTGGTTTCACAAACCATGGCAGACAAGTAGCCAATTCACACAACCTTATGTCGATATGATAAAAAAAGCATTATATATATGATAGTAATTATGCTTCATTAATAATTTTGTTAAACTCGGCCAATGTGCAGAGATTCCTGGAACTGACGATATAGTATCTTCAAAAACCTAAGTACTAGCACATATATATATCCGTCGTGCGGTGATGAAGTGCATGTGTGACGTCAACAATAAATTCGACGGAACCCCAGCGTCAGACCTTCAATTGATAATAACTTGAAACCTAGAGATGTTAGATATATATTTTTAGAGCGTCTTTAGTAAGAAAGTAGTTATTGACCTCATTGGCACCGGCTGCCGTGATGTGTTCTACTCAATTAACCTGTGGGTCCATTATCGAACCATAGACAAAAACAAGGGGGGAGAGAATCTCGGATAGAAGGATGTATGGGTGCTTCTTGAAGGGTTAATTTCAAAGATTGACAGTTTTGTGGATGTATGGCAATTCACATAATTAATGCGCTCAACTTCTGTTATGAATGAAGGAAACCAGATCCGCGACTTCTATCACAGTGGGGGCCAGAATCCATTTTGAGCACCAGCTATTCCTCGATTTGAACATGTCAGAAGTTGACCTGCTCCTACTAACGTATCAGTTGTCAACGATCATACAAAAGAAACGGAAATAGGTACAATGAGCTCCGTGATACAAGCACCAGTCTAGGTCAGTAGAAGGTAAATTGTAGGAGACCGGCAGTCTGACAAGATTAGCAACTAGTTCAGATGACATTGCAGTATGTATTCTCTTATATCTGATTGCTAATCATAAATGCCTCACACCAACAGCACGACATACTGGACATTGGTCATTCTGACTGAGCAACCATTTCTCACTCGTGGACATTTCGAGTTCACTCTATGTCCGGAAATCCAAAGCGAAGCACGAAGGATGTGCGTTGAAGCATCATTCAAGACCCGAGCCCTCATTGAAGCGGAAAAAAGGCATTTACGCTTAGACGCGCGCAGTACGGGATTTCATACGCGATGTACAGCGCAGTCCTTGTACTGCTCCAGCACGCAGATCAAGATTGTGATGATTATATTGAAGCTATACGATTTTTCTGGTTTGCATTGCTAGAATATCAAAGGGGATGCGGCCATGGATTGAAAGGACCGTTGAGGTTACTCATATCACTCATGCGTCGGGTTGAAAAGGTGGTACAGCGCATCGATATCGATCACCCAGGTGCTACTGGTTGGTCGTTGGGAAGTGGTGCGTAAAACACCAGATTCTTTGGAGTACCAAACTAATAGTGTTGTAGATATCCCGTTTGATATGGAGTCCAATCCCTGGACGGAGACTTTCGGGCAAGGGGAGACTTGGAGTGGATCCTGGCTCAACACAGAGAATGACGATTTGGTCTTCGCCGACGACACTATATTTGGTTTCTTCACACAAGAATGACCGTCATGTTTTCTCGCAGGTCGTTGGGTTGCGACCGAGTTCTTCCTAGCTAGAACTAAGCTAGCCAGATGATGCCGTCGCCCATTCTGACACGATGTTTCGATGTCTGCCTCATGAACGGAAGTAATGAACAGGTGTACATGTTTGCCATCACGTCATACCTCAGCGTCAGGCAAAATTTAACGCAAGCATCTGATGATTGGGTTTCAGGACAACAACCAACCTACATTGGCCAGCATGATGCGGGAGTACTATCAGGCTCATCGGCCCGCATTGACTTCTATCGCATATGAAAGCCGAGACTGACATGTTCGTATTATTGTTAGATGCCGACGTGCTAACCGCTTGACCAAAAATAGCAAATCGCGCTTATCCGATCGGCAAATGGAAAGATATGTCCCACCATTGGAAAATCTTGGTGAATGTCTGATTGGGTATCTTATATGCCGTTTATGATACTATACTCGCTAGTTATCCTGATCCCCCCAACCCCAAGAACGCCATGAATGTGTCAACGAGAAGTGATGGTGAAAAAAAATTTCAAAAAGACACTCCAAATCATTGAACAACAACAGTAGGCACTTTTGACCAATCGCGACACATTCCCAGGACAGTCCGGCAGAATTTGCCATACTCAACTTTCACGTCGAAAGCTCTCCACGATCCCTGTGCCAGATGCCTGAGGCGTGCGGAAGGGTCAGTGATTGGCTTAGATCCCATATTGCCATATGTGCCACGTCCGGGACTATCGTTGTGTCAGTGCTTTGTTTACACTTTTCATTAACTAGGTGAGGCTGCCAACATACCTGAATCCAGTAATTGGAAGAATAAGCACATCGTCTACCAACTTGCTCTTCCCTCCGTCCTTCAGACCGGACAGTGCATGCCAGCGTAAGCCGGCCACTTCTTCCAGTCGACTCCGCACGACGTCGGTGAAAGCAGCCGGACCGGTCAGCGTGAGCGGATCCAGATTCATAAGCTCCTGTCGAGCAGCTCTCGACTGGAGTGACCCCCCGTAGCGGTCGGAAATATCTCCTATCGTTGCTGACAACCGATCGATGAACTTCTGCAGGATGGGATGGCCCGGGGCCCAGGCGAACGCCCATTGCGTGAGCTGCACGGGTTGCGAGTAACCCATGCGCCAGTACGTATCGGACCCCTCAGGGCAATCAGCCTCGAGGCCGACAATCGCGCGTACCGGAGCGGTAGAGTTATAGGATGTACCGGCTCGTGTATCGTTCCAGGCGTGGAGATCGGTCGGGGTGATCCAGTCGGCAGGTGTGCGAAGCGGTTCAGTGTCGATATCGCCATACTGTTCAAATTAAAAAGTCTGTTCGAATCTGAAGTTGTTCTTGTGCACCTACCACTCCTCCAATCCATTTGGAAATCACGATGCGGAATACATCCGATCGCTCAACATTGCGCGCCAGATGCGCATACTGGCTCTCCAAGTCCGGTTCAAAATGGTGAATAAATTGTTCCATGCCTTCGTCCGTCCACAGAAAGTAGGCCATCTGGCCTTTGGTAGTCTGAAGCCATCGCTCGGCGCTATGACGGATGATTTGGGGCCAGGTGTCGATTCGTGTGTTTTTCCAGGTTTGGTGTACGATCATGGGAATTGTTGAATGAGGCAGGTACCCGTCCGGGGAAGCTTGGGCGGCGCTAAGAGCTAGCTCGGCCGCTTCGACGATATTCTTCGGGGGTGGTTTCGATGCGTTGGTCCATTGTGGCGGGATATACCAGGCTGCAAGATAGAACAATTAGTTCAGTCAGTTAATACTAGAGCATTGTGAATGATCGCCTACCTCCTCCCTCGGTACTCTGTGTGTGGACATGACGGTACAGTAGTGGGTACTGATCCTCAAGATCTAACGGCCTAGTGTCGAACTGGGTACGTTGCTGGCAGATGCAAATCATTAACACCGCGCCGATAAGGGCGACGATGGCCAGACGCCGCAACCGAGTAGGTGCCATACCGTAGGTTTATCGCAACATTTTCATCTTCAGGAAGACAGATGAGACATATGTAGGATGTTGAGGGGAAAAGGGGCTCAGCCCCACGTGACAGTAGCCAGGCGCAGCCAGAAGGAAGAAGCCTTGGAAAGTTCCGAAATACACTTTTTGTGATTTTCAAAAAAACAGTTCACATGTAAACTAGTACAAAGTAGTTGATTACATGTCGAAAAGATCGTGATGTGGCCCACAGTGGGATCCGCCATAGTTAAGTGGCTGCCGCTTCCCCCTCTAGGAAGGCATGAAGCCATACTACATGATTAGATCATTGATCTTCCTCACCTTTTCAATGACCTGCTGGCCGGGAAAAAAAAAGCATTGACTAGGCACCTATTCTAATATTAAATTTTTCATTAACAGTCTACGACCAAAATGCAGCAATAACAGGCCCCTTGGAGATGGCCGCAGTGTGAAGCGCACCCGACAATCCAGCCCCCAAGCACCCACAACACCCGTTGGAGCACAGGACACGAATACGAATCCCTGTCACAGAAGCAGCAGTCCGTAGGTTGCTAGTTTCCGTACCTTTCTCCATTCAATGCTGGCGCAGCATCAAGAAAAAAAAAATTCACTCTGCCGCATTGCTGGTATGTTCCAGCGTTTCCCCTGCGTCAATTTGCCGTTCAGAAGGGTTGTATCCGTGCAGCTCAGGTCAAGGGGTACAAAAAGGCTGAGCAGAGATTCCCCGATCGGGAAGACCATGCGAGGCTACGCTAAACCTTATACAAGACATACTAACCATCTGGGGCATGGCTGGTATCTTTTAATAACCAATTTACAGCCTGATGAAAGGAATCCTGATCGTGAGATGATCTTCACTGCAAGGCTGAGACTTGGCTGTGTTGGAGGACGAAATTATATCCCCTTGAAACGCACAAAACCTGAATCCGTCTCACGTCAGATACAGTTGTAGGATGCGTATCGAGAACAGGGAGGATTAAACTTGCAACTTTCAGTGACAGAAGGCTGAAAAGCACAGGACGGTATTGGGGACGAGGGACCAGCCTTGCCTGGCTTGGCACACCCTTTTTTTTCTGTTGATCATGCCAAGCGGTTGATCCAGGGTCATGATCACGTGATATTATCCTTCATCCCGCTTACATAAATAAACATTCGGTCTATGATTGGCCACTGCGTTTTGACGGAAATTTCCCGGCACGCTAGTGGCACTGTTCGCAAATAGTTCCGAATTCAACAAGCCAAGTGCAATAGTTTCGGCATTTATGCTTATTCTGCCCTCACAACAAAATTTGATTCTGCACAATTGTCACATTCAGTAGGGGTCATCCAGGGGGTGGACAGCAGTTTTCAAAGTGATCACAATCCCCTCCATGCGTACTTAACCGAGGTTAGTATGCTTCATTCAGCCTTGCCATCACTCGTACTCGTACTGTAGGTTGAGGGATTGTGACGGATGGTGCAGGATCTGTGGTGCTTCTTGGCAGGGATCATGCTTGCTGCTAACTGTTTCAGGTAGGAGCTATTGGTCCACGTCACCTGTGCTTCTCTTCACGTAAGACAATCCAGTAATGCCTACTACTGCTGTCAGCACGGAACAATTCTGTCCCGCCGGCAAACTTGCATTTGCGTGAGAGAAGTAAGCTGAGGCTGCGTACTAATTAACTATACTATTATTGGTTAAGTCCGGCTGTGTGAAGCTTTCAGAAGCACATTATTCTGCTTGCTGCCTATAGGGCTGACAGCAGGTAGAAATGGAACAATGCCACGCCAAAAGATTGTTCAGCATTCCTTTCAAATATGGCACCGCCTTCTTTAATAGTATATATTTAGTATGCAAATGGGACCCGATCATACTAACGTAAACGTTGATGTAAGGTGCAATATTGCAGCCTATGCACTTACTAGTACTACTAGCCACTCGCACAGGACACAGCTAGTATTCTCAATGGCTAGTTTTGTAGATTTCACACTGAGTGCCCACAATTATTATAGAACTCTTCACCAGTGTTGATCCCGCATGGAAGTCTGATTCCAGGGCCCATCTTGCGACTCGGAGATAGTAACGCAACCAAACTGGAAGTTGTGCTGATCACAACCAACCAAAAGACCACACGACGTACATAAATGACTAGCTGAACCACAAAATACATAACCCACAATAAAAGATACATCCCCTCATTTAACAAGCAATATAAGCCCAAATGGCGGCTATCATCACCTCAAATGGAGAGATAAGCTACGCTGTGGACCATAATGCAGCCAAGCGGGCCGAACACCCTCGGAGGACAATACCGAGATACCATACTGGATATCGGCGCAACACCCGAAGAACATCACTATTGCCCTAACCATGGCCAACTCACGATAGCTGTATATACCCCGCACTGAGCATTGCAAACTATGACACTCTTCTAACGTGCAAGTCAACCAAGTGATTGATCTTGCACGTTCGATATGTCATCTGCTGAGGAATCGAGCGTAGCACCTGTGTATACCTCGGAATGGAGAGATACTGTCAAGGATCTGGTTGCGGGAGCGGCGGGGGGTGTTGCGCAGGTGTTTATTGGTGAGCCGTATACTTGTGATGATTACATCGGAGAGACGTGTGTTGTGCTGACAGGATTATAGGACAACCATTTGGTAAGTGCCATCGCGTTCAAGGTGGATGAACATCACCCCGCACCGCCATAGCTACTTCTCCGGAAGATTGATTTATCATTTAGACCTCGTCAAAGTCCGCCTCCAAACCCAAGGAGGCACAAACACCAATGCCCACTCCCTAACCCAGCAGATCTGGAAACGCGAAGGCCCATTATCATTCTACAAGGTGCGGTGTCCACCACACGTAGCTATACTATCTTATCCTAACCCTCACTTTAGGGATCCATAATCCCCTTACTAGGTGTTGGCGCCTGCGTAAGTCCCATCCCATCTCATGCCCACTATTAACCCTCGCCCACTAAATAACGGAAACACAACAGGTAAGCATCCAATTCGGCGCCTTCCACCACTTCCGGCACCTCATCGAGCACCACAACTATCAAACCCACCCAACCCTACCTACCACCTCGACGCTCCCCCAATACTACCTCGCCGGCTGCTTCGCCGGCCTAACCAACAGCCTCATCTCCGGTCCCATTGAACACATCCGCATCCGCCTGCAAACACAACCCCACGGCGCCCTTGCACTCTACACCGGTCCGCTCGACTGCGCACGCAAGATAATCTCCCAAGCGGGGATCCTCCGTGGGTTATACCGCGGCCAAGTGGCCACCCTCCTGCGCGAAGGCCACGGCATCGGGGTCTGGTTCGCCTCCTACGAGGGATTACTGGGTCTCGCGGCACAGCGACAGGGAAAGCGGAGGGACGAATTGCCGAGTTGGCAGATCGCCTTGTGTGGGGGGTTAGCAGGGGAGATGTTGTGGTTGTTGAGTCATCCGGTAGATGTAATTAAGAGTAAGATGCAGAGTGATGGGTTTGGAGAGGCGCAGAGGTATAAGGGGTTTAGAGAGGCTGTGAGGATGACTTGGCGAGGGGAGGGGATGAGAGGGTTGTTTTTTGGAATCGGGCCGGCGTTGGCGAGGGCGATGCCCATTTCGGCGGGGACGTTTGCGGTGTAAGTTTCTTTCTTGTTTTATCTACTTGGTTTTATTTATTGTGTGCTGATTGAGGGTTTGTTAGGGTGGAGGTGGTGAGGAAGGTGTTGGTTTAGGTGGTGGTTGATGGAGATAGATGACTTGATATGATGGAATGAAGTACGTAGATTGTTGTGGGAGATGAATGTTTGTTCCTACGTAGCAACACTGCATCTAGTTGCTCTTCAGACACTCGGCAATCGAGCGACCGACGTAATCCACATTCCCGTCGTTGAGCCCGGCTATAGAGACCCGCGAGCTGGCCGCCATGTAGATGTGGTATTGCACTGTATGGATTTGAGTTAGTAGGATATTCAGAGGATATTCTGAGGATTGTTCAGCTCACTTACCCTTCAGATTCTGGACCACATCCGGAGCGAGACCCAAGAACCCAAACATACCCGACTGGCGGACCAAATGGTCCCAATTACCAGGAGCGCCTGCACATTTGTCAGAGACTAGTCAAATGCATACCAACTCACATCTCACCATTGCTGTTCAACGAATCGTACAGGGCCCTCCGCATCGCCCGGATCCGACCACTCATGGTCTCGAGGTCTTTATACCAGAGCGCCTTAAGCTCCTGGTCCGCCAAAATTGTAGTAGCAATTTTGGCTCCATAAGCGGGCGGATTCGAGACTTCAGACCGTTGCAGCATCTCGAGCACTGACTGTGTGTTTGTCGCGGCTTTGTCTGTCCGAGCTACGAACAATAGACAGCCCGTGCGCTCTCCTGTGGGAGCGTTAACGAGTGAAACAACTGAAACGTCACGAAGGGATAGCAATCTCACCATACAGTCCCATATTCTTCGCAAAAGACAAACATACACCTGCTTCCACGTCCAATTCATCAACAAAATACCGAATGGCAAAAGCGTCATCATCGATATTCCCCGAATTGAAGCCAAGGTATGCTGCATCAAAGAGAGGGAATAGTCCCTTCTCTTTGACAATACGACCGACTTCCTTCCATTGCTCTTTGCTAGGATCGCAGCCGGTGGGGTTATGCGCGCACGCGTGAAGGATGACGACAGAGCCTGGTTCCGCCCGTTTAAGGGCAGAGTAGTAGCTGTCGATATCTATGTTCTTCTGAGCGTCATCATAGTATCCGAAAGATTCGCAGGTAAACCCGAGAGAGGAAAAGACCTGGTGATGGTTTGACCATGTGGGACTGGGGATGTATATCTTTGGTAACGGTGCACGGCAACTTCGGAGAAGTAGGCCTGCTAGATGCAGAGATCCAGTGCCGGAGAGGCCTTGGCAGGTTGCGAGCTGGTATTATTTGGTTCGTGTTAGATGATAAGATAAGACAGGTGGATGTGGGAAATTCCAGAATATTGAAACCTACCCTAGATTGGATTCTCTCGTATAGTCCAGAGCCTAATGCCATCTTACTCGCCTCCTGGCGAAACGCCTGAAGACCCAAGATCGGAAGATACTCATGATTCAGACCCTGCTCAACGAGCAGCTCGCGACTCTTCCGCACCGAAGGCAGAACCCATGGCTGTCCATTCTCATCTCGGTAGGTCCCTTGCCCGAGGTTCACTTTCTGGGGGAATGTGTCGGCATTGTACTCTGCTGTGAGAGCAAAGATAGCATCGGGAGCAATATATGGGGCTGTCTCGAAGAAGGAAGAGGGAACTGTTCCCGTCTGCGTGATGGTGTTGGTTTGTGTTGTCATTATGCCAGATTCTAGATGGAGAATCCAGAAAGCTGAGATGATTGCTACAAGTTAACTGTTTATTATGAATGACATGATTTGGAGGCAAATAAATGTTCTTAAGCACTGCCCGCAAGGCAGCTCGGCCTTGCCCTCCGAGATGTCGGCTCTCTCGCCCGAGCACATTTTTTTCGCGTTATCCAAGCAAGCTCGGCGATTGTTCTGGGCGATAAAGGATGCGTCACGATAGCGCGATCCGCTTATCAGGGATAATTATCGCGCAGTGGGTCAGTTTGGATGGTGAGTTTGACCATTAGATGAGGATGAGTGGATGGCTTCGTGCGGGGAATGAGGGGTTAACTCAATCTCCATCCTTTGAGGGGGAGAGACTTGAATTAGCAAAGACCTCCCTATTATTTTGTGCTTCTGGCACAGTCCCGGGCGGAAAGTTCTCCGTCAAGCTGACATAACATTCCTTTTACCCCCCATCTGAGAAGGTGCATGGGTTTGGTGCTCTATGAAATACTGCTGTGTAAGACTGCTAGCGACACGACAGGTTAGTGGACGCTGTTATACCATTTAGTAGGATTGATCGACTACATCAGATGTGCGTCAACATCCTGTGTAATATCATAATGTCTGCTTCGCTCCTGGTCTATAGCTCCGCCTATTATACGAAAAAGGCACTATGTATGCTGGATGCTGTGCGTTGCCCCACGCGCGACTTCTAGCGCCAAATGGCTAGAGCACTATACTACTAGTAATATGTCCCCCCATCAACCAGCATCCTACTCATCATCAACATCCTTCGTCTTCCATAACATCCATGCAACACAAATTAACCCCTTGAACACCACGGCAGTCCAAAGTGCGCCCGGCAATCCAACCTCACTCCTCGCCCACCAGCCCCCCGCCACAATTCCAATCAACATCCCCACCACAGCCCCCAACCGCCTCCACTCATCAGGAGCCTTGAGCACACTGACCGAGGTCAGTCCCGGCGATGAGAACAAATCACAATAAATGCTCGTAAGTACAACACTAGTCAAACTACTGCACTTCAGCACACGACTCGAGACGGCCTGACCACTACTCTGAAACGCGACCAATGCCAACGGCACGCCAATTTTCCACGTCAGAGGATCGCTCTTGCCCGTCTGCTGCACCGTGACAATACTCGCAGCGACAGCGACACAAATCATCTGCAGTGCAAAAGACAGAGTCAGTGCGGACCGTTGCCGCGGCGTGTGGAACAGGCGGTGTAACACGGCGAAGAAAAAGGAGCCGATGCAGAAACTGCCGATCGAGATGAGCGATTTAAGCCACCGTTGAGTCTCGTCCAGCCCGGCCAGTCCGAGTCCAAAGTATACCGTGTTGCCGGTCTGCATGCTCACAAAGGAGCCCCAGATGAAAACGGCAGAACTATCCAGGAGACCCGTGATGACGTAGCAGAAAATGAGGAGAAGGTCTGCTCGGTGCGGGTCGACTTCGGTGCGGAGATGGCGGCGCAGTTGGCTCAGGGGAGAAGGTTTGGAGCTAGGTCCCCGATGCCCCAGAAGAGGGTCGTTTTCATGGGCGGGGAATTCCTGATAGTGCGCGGTTTCGTGCGCCATGGTCGCCAGTGTGGGATGGCTAAAGGTCTGTGTGGAAAATACGAGAGGGGAGGGAGAGATAGATTGGTTGTTTTGGGGCCTGAAGTGCCCGGTCTGGCAAACTAGGCAGCAAGTATAATTTCAAATGAGTGTCTCAAATAGCGATATGAATAGCGACAGCTAGCAGGGACTTAATAGTTCGTCCACGGTTAACACGGCAGTGGGAGATGAAGGGGGGAAAAGAGTTGGAGATGAGTGGAGAAAGAAAGAGCGAGACTGGGATCCATCGCGCGTGACGTCGGCGCAGATCCAATGACGTTGAGTGCCCGGCCCTGTAGGGCTGAACTGCTGGGGCCAATGGACTCCCCCTTCTCCCCAAACAAGCATTGCTACCAAGCTTTGTTCGGGCTTTTTGACCCCAGACGAGGTCCCACCCTTGCGCCTGTTTCTTGCTTTCTGGATTCCACGTCACTGGCTGGCCGGAAGAGTCGGATATGAGAGATTTTCATTGATATCAAGGTTGCTCGGACCCACCCCTCAGCCAGGGAATATAAGAATGCTCGGTTTCTACGGTCGCAGCGAGAGACAGAGATCTGGAAGACCAAGCTTTTCTAGTAGATTCCAAAGATGCAGCTAACCCTGCCACCACGTCAGCTGTTGCTGAGTTTCGCGACCGTGGCCGCCCTCCTTGATCCAAGCCATGGAGGCCCGGTCCCTAACGAAGCGTACCAGCAACTACTGCAGATTCCCGCCTCATCCCCATCCATTTTCTTCCAAGACAAGCCATTCACCCCCGATCATCGCGACCCCTATGATCACAAGGTGGATGCGATCGGGGAAGGCCATGAGCCCTTGCCCTGGCGCATGGGAGATGGAGCCACCATCATGGGACCCCGCAACAAGGACCGTGAGCGCCAGAACCCCGACATGCTCCGTCCTCCGAGCACCGACCATGGCAACATGCCGAATATGCGGTGGAGCTTTGCTGACTCCCACATTCGCATCGAGGTAAGCCTTTCGAGAGTCTTGTGTACGACAAGCAGAATGGGCTAATGCACTGCAGGAGGGCGGCTGGACACGTCAGACTACCGTACGCGAGCTGCCAACGAGCAAGGAGCTTGCGGGAGTAAACATGCGCCTCGATGAGGGTGTCATCCGCGAGCTGCACTGGCATCGGGAAGCAGAGTGGGCGTATGTGCTGGCCGGACGTGTACGAGTGACTGGTCTTGACCTGGAGGGAGGCAGCTTCATCGACGACCTGGAAGAGGGTGACCTCTGGTACTTCCCATCGGGCCATCCCCATTCCCTCCAGGGTCTCAGTCCTAATGGCACCGAGTTCTTACTGATCTTCGACGACGGAAACTTTTCCGAGGAATCAACGTTCTTGTTGACCGACTGGATCGGTATGTCCATCATTATGCTGTTGTACAACCTCCACACAATTACTAACAATGCTATACAATAGCACATACACCCAAGTCTGTCCTCGCCGGAAACTTCCGCATGCGCCCACAAACATTCAAGAACATCCCACCATCTGAAAAGTACATCTTCCAGGGCTCTGTCCCAGACTCTATTCCCAAAGAACTCCCCCGCAACTTCAAAGCATCCAAGCAGCGCTTCACGCATAAGATGCTCGCTCAAGAACCCGAGCATACCTCTGGCGGAGAGGTGCGCATCACAGACTCGTCCAACTTTCCCATCTCCAAGACGGTCGCGGCCGCCCACCTGACCATTAACCCGGGCGCTATCCGGGAGATGCACTGGCATCCCAATGCGGATGAATGGTCCTACTTTAAGCGCGGTCGGGCGCGAGTGACTATCTTCGCTGCTGAAGGTAATGCTCGTACGTTCGACTACGTAGCGGGAGATGTGGGCATTGTTCCTCGCAACATGGGTCATTTCATTGAAAACCTTAGTGATGACGAGGAGGTCGAGGTGTTGGAAATCTTCCGGGCGGACCGATTCCGGGACTTTTCGTTGTTCCAGTGGATGGGAGAGACGCCGCAGCGGATGGTGGCAGAGCATGTGTTTAAGGATGATCCAGATGCGGCCAGGGAGTTCCTTAAGAGTGTGGAGAGTGGGGAGAAGGATCCGATTCGGAGCCCAAGTGAGTAAATGAGGGTCTACGCGTGTATTGTGCTATCGTGCATTGCAGGGAAAGGAGCAGTCATAGGCTGCCAAAAAAAGGCCATAGTTTGATCGCTTTACTTTAAGATGTATGTAGTAGGATCGTTCGAAATAAGCAACAGGATTTAATTCTAAGAGACAAGTCTGGACAATTCATATGAAAACTACAATATTAAGCAAGCCGGGATCAGTAGGTGGACTTGATATAGCCAGCATGTGAATCAATAACTATGACTGTGTATGGGATACTTCTGGTTTACCTGCAGCACAATGATTCCCACTCACCCAGTAGCCAGGCAAGACGACCCTGTCCTGAAAATTCCTTCAATAATATCCCGTCGACCATCATCTGGACTTGAATCGCGATAGAATCGAAGTGTCACGCTATAAAGTTCCGGGTTACCTTCCGCAAGTTCCCGGTCTCGGGCATCTTCCCTAATCAAGTCGTAAACACTGGTTTCGTGTAATTCAAACGGCCCATCACCATTATCGCGCAGATCTGAGTAGATACCACCTGTGGCGCGTCCATCTATATGGTACCGCGCCCAAATCGCATCACCGTAGCGCTTTCCAGAGATGGCTGTGCACTATCGAGATGCCCATGGCTCGACTAGTCGCATTTTCGCCGTTTTGTTGATGACGTCTGCGATGGGAATATCGAGAAATATCTGTTCAGGTAGAGATGATTCCATAGTCGCCGACAGGATTTGCAGGATATAGTGTTTTTGTGGTGTTTGAGAGAAAAATACCAAGATCGGAAACAATCTGTCCCAAGATTACGCTATCTTCGGCGCGCGCATGGAACAGAACGCAGGTCGCGGTGATGGTTAACGGGTCAGGGGCCTTCGGCGATGAATAAGGATGGAAGCCAAAGCACCAAAGAACGGCTAAAGATCTTCCAGGATGTCATCTCGTGGTCGGGCAGAGGCACATTAGTGGTCCCGCTGAATTGCGAGACACTAATTCATAGTCAACACCGACCGTTATGATACCATGGAATCATTGTTGACTGACACAGCCCCTTCAGCCACAGATGTTATTTATCTTCCATCCCTGAATGTCGCAGCCTAGTCAAAACAGCAACCAGATACGATTACGACATCCCGAAGGCTTAGCCACCCAAAATAGCGGGACCCACGGGTCGCAGATGCCCCGCCATTGTTGATGCCTTCATTTTTCGGTCTTTTGTCGCCCTACGTCAGTCAGCTCTATTCTCATATTAATATCCTGCTTACTCTCCCGCCTGTCAACAATCACACATAAGTACCCCGTCTCTCCTAAAGACACACTCTTCCTCATTATACCTTCCTATCCCCACCTACCCTCTCTACACCCTCACAATGTCACAACCATCCACCAACACAAACAGCCACAAGATGTGGGACAAAACCAAAACCTACGGCAAAATGGGCTTCGACAAAGCCTGGGGCGCCCTCGACAAGCTAGGTGCCCCCGTCAACCGACTCAGCAATAAGTTGGGCTCCGAAGCCTTCTGGCCCATGACCCTCGACAAAGAAAGCGAAAAGGTCGCCCGGATTCTCCGCAGTTTCTGCAAAGATGGCGTGTACGTGGACGAACCAGCCGCGGACACTGCGCCCCCTGTCAACAGCAACGAAGCATCATCATCGAAACAGAAGATTGACAAGCCTCGCGGAAAACAAAAGGTGCTGAAGAAGATCCCCTCGGAAGTGATTCGGCAGGCCAAGGGCATCGTTGTGTTCACGGCCATGAGAACGGGCTTGTGGTTCAGTGGAGCCGGTGGAAGTGGCATTCTGATCGCCCGGGTGCCGGAGACGGGGGAGTGGAGTGCCCCGTCGGGAATCTTGTTGCATACGGCTGGATTGGGATTCCTTGTTGGCGCGGATATCTACGACTGCGTGATGGTCATCAATACCTACGAGGCGCTGGAAGCATTCACCAAGGTTAGAGTGACGCTCGGCAGCGAGATCACTGTTGCTGCGGGCCCGATTGGCATGGGCGGGGTGTTGGAGTCGGAGGTACATAAGCGCCGGGCGCCGATTTGGTGCTATGTCAAGAGTAGGGGTTTCTACGCGGGGGTGCAAATTGATGGAACAATTGTTATTGAGCGCAACGATGAGAACGAGAGGTTCTATGGTCGGAAAATTCCAGTCAAGGAGATCCTGAGTGGCCACGTGCGCACGGATAACCCGTCCGTGCGAATGTTGACGCACACGCTACGTTCCGCGCAGGGAGATGCCAACTTTGACCAGGCTCCTGCTGGAGTGCAAGCGCCCATGGGACCGAGTCCTAGTGATTATGCACCTGAGGATCTTCAACATACTCATATGGTTAACACTGGGGCGGCTCCAGGCGAGGGAGCACCATATCAGCCCGGTCAATATCCTCCTGGGCCCCAAGCTGGTCCTGGTCCTGGTCCGCAATATCAAGCCGGTTCCCAGTACCAGCAAGGACCCCAGCATCAGCAAGGACCTCAGTATCAGCAAACACCTCAGTATCAGCAAGGACCCCAGTATCAGGGTAATCCGCAGTATCAACATGGTGCCCCGTATCAGCCAGGTCCTCAATATCAACAACCGGGTGCGCCATACCAACCTGGTCCCCAGTATCACCCGGGCCATCAGTAGCCTCTGAACCGAAATCGATGAGCTGCGCCCGCAACATATCTTTGTACCTGCTTCTTCCAGCGAGACAGATTCCCTATTGTTAGAACACTCAAGATAACGAATCACGATTGATAACAACTTTCCTAATCATAGAATTCTATATATGCCTTTCTGCCTATCATTACTTTGTAAACCCCATGCACATAACATATCACGGGAATCCTTCGCCCCCTTTAGTAGCTCTAACAAACCAGCCTGATGATGATCCCAGTGGCAGTGCCAGCTAACCCCGTTATTTCCGACAACCTGCCACTCCATATATCCCAAATAAAACCCCCACTCTACAATAATGAACACTTCAGGCCATTCTACACCCTCAAACTCGTTACAGGATTATAATGAAAATAATCCTCACCGGCAGCACCGGCTTCATCGGCCACCAAATCCTCACCCAATGTCTCCAAAACCCACACATCACATCCATCATCGCGCTCTCCCGGCGCCCGATCCCCACCAAGAACCCGAAGCTCACCGTCAAACTCGTAGAAGATTTCCTCATCTACCCTGAGAGTCTGTTACAAGAGTTGAGGGGAGCGGAGGCGTGTATTTGGTATAATTTCCCCACCCATCTACCTTACAGATAGGAGTAAAGTATACCTGTGACATTAATGAAAGAATACCGGAACAGGGCGATCGGAATCAACAGGACCCGAGATACCGAAACAGCTCGGAAAATCAATGTTGAGTACACGATGACTGCGATGAGGGCCTTCGGCACACATTTGTCTTCCTTGGTTGAGGGAGGGGGGAAGAAGAAGTTCCGCTTCGTTTATCTGAGCGGAGGCATGTCGGAGAGGGATCAGAGTAGGTCGCTGTGGATGGCAGGGGAGATGAGGAAGATCAGGGTACTACTACTATTCATTCTCTCTCCTTTATACATTCTAGATTTTATTATATATGTTGGGGAAGGTCTAAGGTGGATAAGCATGATACTAACGGATACGGACAGGGACAAGTTGAGAACGAGTTGACCGACTACGAAAACAACAACAATAGTGTAGAGGTGTATATTGCCCGACCGGGGATGGTGCTTGCACGGGGGATGAGCCTACGGACATTGATATTTGGGATGGGACCGTCGATTTGGGTGGACGATTTGGCGAAGGTGTTGGTAGATGTTGCTGTGAGGGGGGATGTAGATGGAGGGAGGGTGTTGGAGAATGAGGAAATGCTTCGATGGAATCATTGATTTATTACTGTGCTGATTGTGGGAACTAATAATTTGATATTCCGAGAATGTTCTTAATTCGTGAATTTAATTGTTATTTGGCTAGTAAAAATTTCCGATCGCAAGATATTGATATTGATATGGGTAGGGACGGGATGGTTCCTAGCAAGCGTTCATGTTAGCTTTTGCTGAAGTTGACACAATGAGTGTGACAAGTTTTATTAGAAGAAGCCTGTCAGAGACCCGTCTTGAATAGGTACAATGTTTTTTCACCACAGAGAAAAAAAAGTGAACAATATTTAAGTAAGGGATGTCGACATCATAGGACTGTAATGGTGTTGATCATGGAGAGGGAGAGGCGAATAGTGACATACCGACCAGTCGGGTTGCTTCCCTGGTTCTATTGAAAACAGGGAAGCAAGTCTTCCATGAAGGAAGAAGAAGTTTCGCCGAGCAAAGTATGTTAGTTGAATGATTTGTAGGCCGCTGATCATGACAACGATGGTCGCTGGTGTATTAGGGAGTATAGAATCATTCTCAGATTGTCCAGCTGCGATAATTGCAAGACCTGCATTCTATTTTATGGTCGCGTTTAAATAGTTACTCCTTGTGTTGAGACTAGGGTCGTGGCCCTATCCCCTGTTTTCATTGTTTTCAGTGTTTTCAACGTGTTTTCAGTGTTTTCACCAATGTTTTCATTGTTTTCAACTCGCGTGGACCATGTGGTTGCAGGCACCATGATGGCGGTTTGCACTGTGATGAAGACTACGGAGTGCACCCCAGCAAATACCAGGGACAACCGGAAAAAGCTTCCAGTGGAAATTTAATTTGCCAATCTCGTCTCCTAGTTGGCAGCTCATAAAAGGTGGATGAAAATACTGATCGTCTATCTCTAAATCTGAATTCTGCATTATGTCTGTTGGCATCATGTATGATTTCGTGTTCAACAGCTCAATCTCCGAGCTCCATCTTCCTTGCCATATCCGAAAAAGCACTCCATCCGGGCAAACACTTGAAAACGAACCTTCTCAGGCATTCTCCTTGTATATCTGCCGTATTAAATCCGCCAACTTCTCTACCTCGTGTGTGTTCCATGGCATGGCGTGATGATAGTCGACCTCGTACAATTTCTTGGTTTTCGAGTCATAGTATTTCGCGTACTGAAGTCGGCTGAGCGGCAATACCCAGTCCTTGAGTCCGTGAACGTGCAACGTAGGCAGCGAGACGATGTTATCTTCAAAGTTGAAGTCTGCGGCACGTCAGTATCTTCAAAGCAAACCCAGCAAAGCAAAGAAACCAAAGTCAGTGGGGCAAAAAGAAGGAAAACCCGGGCGACAAATACTCCGCGGGCAAAGCAAAAGATATATAGGAACAAGCAAACATACGCTTCGACACCTCCGATTCCAGCGGTGTTCCGGCACCCATGCAACACACTCCGAACTTTAGCTGGATTCCCTCATTCGCATCCCAGCCCGAGGCAGCTCTGCGCTGCTGATCCAACAGCAGTCCACCCACCACTCTGGTTCCCTGACTGAATCCCATCGCACCCACCCACGGACCGACTGGTTCATCTTGCTCCCGATCATTTTGCACCATTAGCTTCAAGACCCTCTCAATACCGTCCCGTCCAACATCATCATACCCACTTCCATCAACCAGTTCCTTGCCGTCGCTGTCATTTGTCACCCATGATTTGTATGGCTCGTAGCCGCGAAAGGCGGGGAGGACGCCGGGACCAGCGTCGCGGGTGTAGGGACCCTCGAAAAAGACGAGTTCAAAGTCATTCTCAAGAAGGCTGGCGAGGCGCGAGCATTGGATCCGGTAGATTTCGGCTTTGGAGCCACCGCCGTGGAAGCAGGCGATGCGGGGGCGGGGTTCGGGAGGGAACATTCTGGGGTGTTTGTAGGGCGAGGAGTGTGGACGTTGAAGACTGTTGGGATAGAGTCCGTCTCCCAGTATAGATAGAAAAATCCAGAGCGTCTGATGCTTAAATTTTTGGAGCAGAGACGTGTGTTTTAATGAGACGGTGAGAAGGATCGCGAGGGGCACGGTCATGTGAGATTTTAGCTGCAAGTTTCGGTCGCCGCACTCTCTTATTGGCGCCGGAGTATCTTTTCTGACAAAACCTGCATGGTGATCGGGATCTCATGTCAATTGTTGAAATGCCTTACTTGGTATATAGCTAACAGTGTGCCTACGATGTAGTATGAACCAGCAATCTACGGGACAATTCTGGGGGTATCAATGGTCCCACCGCGACCCAGAAATCCAATAAATCACTCCAAAAGACAGACAGTCCCCGGACATTCCCCGATACCCCACGAACCCCCGCACCATCAAACAAAACCACTGAGACCAAGGCAGCAGTTCTTGTTCACAACATGTCCCCAACTATCCCTTAACTTTATGAAATCACCCCCTTCACATCCACCATCATGTCCAAACGCATCATCATCACCGGTGGCTCCGGCAAAGCTGGCCAATTCATCATTTCCCATCTCCTTGCCCACAACTATGAGATTCTCAACCTGGACCTAAACCCGCTTCCCGCTCCCCTCAGCAACAGAGTCCACACCCTCAAAGTCGACCTCACCGACAACGGTCAAGTGCATGGCGCCCTGCACTCTCATTTCCATCTCACCGAACCATTTCGCGAACCCCTCCGCCAGGTCCCCGATGCTGTGATCCATCTAGCCGGGTACGCAAGGAATATGATCGTTCCCGATAACGAAACCTTCCGAGGCAATGTTCTCTCTACCTATAATGTGCTGGAAGCTGCGTGTCGAATCGGGGTACCCAAGATCATTACTGCCAGTTCACTCTGTGCGTATGGTGTTGCTTTTGCAGAAGGGGATGTCGATTACCCTTCTTTCCCGGTTGACGAGGAGGTAGATACGAACCCGATGGATGTGTATGGTCTATCGAAAGTGGTTGGGGAACGCACAGCGCGGAGCTTTGCTCGGCGATTTGGGACGGATATCTACGTCATGCGGCTAGGAGCTATTGTCGCGCCGGAGGAAATGCGGAGTCGGTTTGAGGAGTATGTGCATTCATCGGTGAAGTATAAGGCGCATGGATGGGCATATACGGATGCCAGAGATGTTGGGTTGATGTTTGAGAGGGGCCTTGTTACAGATGGATTGGGGTTCCAGGTCTTTAATGCGGTGAATGATGAGATTACGAACACTGCGAGCTCGACGGGGGAGTTCTTGCAGAGGACGTGTCCCAATGTTCCGATTACGAGGGAGATGGGGGAGAAGGAGGCCCCGGTGACGAATAGAAAGATGAAGGAGATGTTGGGTTTTGAGCAGAGGTACCGGTGGCAGGACGAGTATTTCCAAAAGTGAAGGTTGGGATCGTAGTGCGAAATCTGGTAGTGGATGAGTAGTTGGGTCTTAGACATAGATAGCTGTCTGATATAAGACCGTTATAGCAGTGATTTAACGCGGTACACCTGGGGGGTCAACATATCATTGCTTCATGTGTCTGCATATATAACTAACACCTTGGCTGAGAAAGCACTTCATTTCAGGTGCATAAATGGGACCCTTCAGGCCCACTGGCAGCTCGGAGTTAAGACAATCAGGCCATTCAGCGAAGGCGTCTTTGGCTGAGACAGTCCGAGGCTCCTAGATTAACGGTAACCCAATGCGGAAATGACTAAACTAGCCGCGGCTCAGGGCCCTCTTTTCGGCGGTTGAACCCGATATTGCCGAAAGGGGAAGATGGCAGTGCATCGATGCCAACGATGTATGGTGAGACAAAAACTTAGGCCGGCGAACTGAACATACTGGAATCAAGTATGATCCCTCTATCCCCCTCTAATCTTCACATTATCATGATACGGCATTTATTGGAAGGGTATCCCAATCCGGTCACCGGAGAGAATAGCCGACGTGCCGATGACTAAGCGGCAGGACCAAAGCCGATGTCTCGGTGGCGCGTCGAACCTCAAGGGATTGTCATGTTCCTGCTGTGCGGATATGCGCGCAGCCCCATTGACATACTATTGTTCGGTTTAGCTCTTGCTTAGGCGGTCCAAATAATCGGCTGTCATTTTCCTGATTGGCTCCACTCGCGCTTCTGTCCCTTGGATCGACCTTGTAACATGCAGGCGCGCGTGCCGGAGTCCAGCCCTACCCCCGAGGGGGATCGGTATGTGCCCCTTCGGCGGACTGCTCGGGCTTGTGACTCGTGCCATCGGAGAAAAGTAGGTTGCGCTTCGGGTGTCCACTTTCAGTCCAATTTGCAATACTTTATTAACTTCTCCCGTGGGTCAGATCCAATGTGATACATCGGTTCCCTGTAATTGGTGCCGCCACCATAACCTGGATTGTACCTTTGATAGACCTGTTGGCGGGAACAAACGAAAGAAGACCACCCAACCTGCCAATCCAAGGTGAGATTGTTCGTCCTCTTTTCATGTGGCATTCACTAACTACTCAAGACCCTTGAGACGACCCCACCAGGAAGACCTGGAGGACAGGGTGCGGAAGCTTGAGGAGCTTCTCACCCGGTCGATCTCCACTACGCAGCACCCAAGGAATTGTCTTTCTTTACTGGAGAAAGGCCATCTGGATACCGAACAGTCTCCGAGCTTGGCTGAATCGACGGAGCTGCCTGTTCAGACGAATACTTCGGGTTCCAGTAGTGGCTTATTGTTCGGGAAGATCCACTTTGCCGGTCACTATGTGGGCGAGATTCGCTCATATAGTGGTATCCCGTGCTTCTCAGAGTCCGGTCACGAGTGGGTGCGATCCTGTACTGGAGAGCCTGGCACATTCGAGGACGTCTGGTCGCACAAATACCCGAACCAGGTCCCCTACCTGACGACACCTCACCCGCAGAATGGTTACAACCACTCTGTCACACCAGACCTCCCAGACCGGTCGTTGGTGGAACAGTACGTGAGTCACTTCTTCACTTCTTTCGAACGCATGGTCTTCCCGGTGGTGGATGAGGTTCTCTTCCGGGATACCGTGGAGCTAGCGTATCGCCCATGTCAAGCACCGCCACCTATGGAATATACCCGGGCTAGAGCATGTATATTTGCATTCCTCGCTTTCATTGCCGAGCTGGATCCTTCTCCAAGTCTTCCCCCGCTAGAACCTCCTGTCTATGCCGCCAAGGCACAAAGTCTCCTCCCGTACATTCTGCACGATGTCAGTGTACCTACGCTACAAACCATGGTCATGCATGTGAGGACTGACCCCACCCGCTCACGGACAAGCACCAATCTCATTAATTGCAACTCCAGGCTATATACCGAACGTTCACTGGCGAATTACAACTAGCCAACCAGTTTCATTCCATGGCATGTCGGGTCATGTTCATGCTTGGCGGAGAGACCGGCGAGACGGTAGACGCGTTCCGAGAGTCATCCAAAGATCCCGAAGACCGGAAATGGCGCTCTCAACGGATGCTTCGCCGCTTATTCTGGATCTGCTATGGCTTCGACAAAGAGATATGTTTCCGTTCCGGCCAACCACCCGTTATACACGACGAATACTGCGATCTTACACTTCCGCCGAACTACACCGAAATCCAATACCCCAGCACGGATGGCCATCCTATCCGCTACGATGACATGACGATACCCATATTTCCCGGAGACCTGCGACTATCGATGCTCAAGTCCAAAACCTACCGGACACTCTACTCCGCTCAAGCGTTGCGCAAATCCGACGCCCAACTGCTCCAGGATATCCGCGAGCTTGACGACGAACTCGAGCAATGGCGCCTAAACGTACCACCCGGGCACCGTCCAACCCTCGGGTCCTTCCACGAGAAGCAACCCATTCCAGTATATGGCATGCAACCTATCGTCATTCGACTGGAATATCACTATATGATGTGCACTATCCATCGCGCCAGCGGACGATGTGACGCCTGGGGTCAAGCGTGGAGAAATTGCAAGACTGGAATGATGGAGGGAGTGAACTCGAGCATGCTCTTGGCTGTGGAGGCTAGTCGGTCCTCGCTGCATTTCCTTCGTACGGTCATCAGTTCAGTCCGCCCTGAGGCTTTTTGGTGCGTTCTCACATAACTTATCTTGACCTGGTTCATGCATACTGATGTACCACTCAAGGATGATTATTTTCTATCCCATGTCCGCCATCCTCACCATATTCTGCAGCATTCTAGCGAACCCACTTGATCCATATGTCGAAGAAGACCTGCATCTACTGACCGTGGTTCCGGACCTCGTCAGGGACGTGCGGCGGCGACGCACCTCGGAAGTAGAGATTGCACATATGCAAACAGTCACGAATTTTGTGGCCGAGTTGATCCGACTGGGACATTGCGCTATTGAAAAGGCTCGTCGGAGCCAGAGGCAGCTGACTCAACCGTGACTCCTTCCTTGTCTCTTGCTTGAGAGCTTTACAAATTTACCTTTTCACTGTTGATATTGCTTACTGGAGTCATTGCTCACGATACCCATGTTTTATGACTTGTTGAAGTCACTGCCATATCGTATGGCGCATATGCGTAAGTGCATATTGGGCTAGGTTTGGCTATTGGATCGCAATGTTTATGCTAGATTATATGTACATTCCATAGATACTTCGATTGATTCCCAGAATTTCCCTCTTCTGGTTCAGTGAACTAGGCGGTGTCGGGGACCCGCTTAACCCCATTTTGGGGATAGATATTCTCGATTTCCTGTAGCGCTCTAACATGCTAAGCGACAAAGAAAGCAATGGTGGGCACTGCGAGGCAACATTCTGACCCCTGAGTCACTATTGGGTGCCTACATAGTGCCTACTGGTCTCTGGCCATTTATTTCCTTCGGATTCCTCATCCTTTGCACTCGCTACCCGCTTTGTCAGCTTCACCGACACTTGGCCGAGGGGATACCCACAGCTGGACCCTTAGCCTTGCTGAACAGCACACCCGGATCAGCATTCGCGAGCTAATTATATGTGCCCACTGCCTCATACATTGGGTGGGAATGGAGACGTGCACGTGTCGTTGGAGTGTGTTAATTGAGACCACATTTCACGGTAAGGCCGCATTTCTACCCAACCATGATGGAACGAGAATATGCCCCTCACCCAGCTTTACCTTCTCCTGTCGATCTGCCTCTCTTTCTATGTTATAGAGTCCGGTTTGGTACATGCGACCGGGGATTTTGGATGTCTTCAGCACCCCAGTTCAGGGACGAATGGTCACGTGCCTATACTATTGCTGTTAATGTTGTAGTAGTCAAGGGGAGGCTGCCCGTAGTTACTTACCTTCCCCCACGTAACTTACTATTCCATAATGCATTCGCCTCTCATGAGATTTCATGATTCTGTGGCCCTTTCTCACCACTTACAGAAAGCTAATAAGCGACTTTGTAACTGGAGAACCCAGCATAGTCATGTTTCAGCATCAATTGGTCGCCTCGTTCCCAAAATGCTCACCAATGCCCACTCTACAACACACTGCAAGCTGATTCACCAGCTAATGGAAAGTGGACAACATCGCCTTCCTGAAGCCTCGACCCTCTTGGGTATCTTGGTACACCGGCCTATGCACAGTAATGCTAACGCAGCGTCCATTCCAGATAGTTATATAAGTCCCTGTCCTTCACCCTTCTGGTCTTATCCCAGATAGCACTCAGCTCTGACACAGTCTTACCTACTTACTACAAGAAAAATCCAATCTCGATCCACTTACAAAACAACAAAATGTGAGTATCACCCATACCACACACACAACAAGTCCATACCCAACTAACAACAAAAGCCACAAACCCCATCCAAAATGGCAATCTGGCTCCAAGGCCCCGGCTCCGGCGCCATCGCCGACCCCGCCCTCAAAATCCGCCCGGACAGAGGAGGCGCCATCGTGCAGCCATCAAGACCGGATGCAAAGCAGGGAGCTGTTCACTTCATTCTCCCCGCTCCACCACGCGAAAACCCGAACATCACCTCCGTCGACGTTGACTTTGAGACCGATTCGGCTTACGTCGACGCGGTGGCTATCCGCTTTGCCAACATGGAGGCATTCCGGGAACGGTTTCCCCGCCCGAAGACTTCGTCGTTCCACATCGATGTTCCTAGGGGAGAGGCGGAATATAATGGTAGGGGGGTTGTTGTGACTGTTTACGTTAAGTTTCAGGAGTATAGGGCTGTGGTTGACTTTGATCAGGTGAGGATTGCGGTTGAGTAAGGGGTTTATCTGTTGTTGCTTGTTGGGGTGTCAGCTTTTTGTTTCGGTTCTGTATTATGTATAGTTTAATGGGTTTGACTGTTTATTGCTTCCCAGACAGAGTGGGGAGTGTTGTTTGCTTATTCTTCGTTTCTGTATTTGTTCAACTCTACTTGCTAGAGTTTTGACCAATGTCTGACTGAACTGATCGAATTCCTGATTGTGTTGTGTGTTTTGCGTGCTTCATCGAGTAGCTGCGAGCCTAAGTATAGACAATGTCAAATGGCCCAAGTCTATCTGAGAGGCTTTATTACAGACAATATATGCAACAGACATAACATGAAATACTATTCCTCTATCAAACCTAACATGCTGTCTCATAAAGGAGACCAAAATAACGAAACCCACCACAATACTAAACCACCCAGAACACCTAATACTCCGACCAAACCAAATCATATCATTAACCTCATAACATCATATCTCATAAATCTCCCCCTACCTCATAGCCATACTTGCAATAACCACCGAACTCATATGACTCCCCGTAGAAATATACCCTCCCCTCCCCATATTCATCCCCATCATCCCGACCCCCAGCTGCCCCATATTCATCCTCTCCTCGCCTACCATCCTCGGCTCCAGCGCCAAACTCCTCTCATACATCCCCTCGACATCACCCCCGGCGGCTTGCACATTCCGGACAATAAACTCCTGTATCTCGGGGACAGGAAGCAAACTGTACCCGACGGCCTGGCAGCTCTCAATCTCGCGCAGGATCTCGGCGACTTTGACCCGCTTGCTGAAGTTTATCATGACGTTGGGCGGTGGGGTGTGGCTCGGGATGCCGTCTTCAATGAAGGTGAGGTCGGTTAGGTAAGTTCCTTTATTACGGTTTGGTGTGTTAGTATGTGGATGAGAGTGTGGGTTGGGTTATGAATGGTGATGGGGAAGGGACGTACCGAGGAAGGGAATGCATGGTGGGCTTGCCCCGTGTAGCTTATCTCGGTACTTGATGAAGTTCTTCTCGCTGGACATGAGACTTTGCATGTCTTCGAGGAGTTTGCGCGTCTTGGGGTTCACTTGCGTCCAGGTGCGGTGGAGACGGTAGATAGGGCTTGTGGCGAGGCCGGAGATGAGGGACATCATGGTTGCGAAGTTGCTTAAGGAGCGGCAGTTCTGTCATCACACCTGTATGTTAGTATGTAGGATGATAGTGCTGGGTGCAGGGGGGCATACATCGGCAATATTGACAATCTGTTTGATCAGCGAGACACGCTTCTTCATCTCATCCTGGGCCAGGATCATCTCTCCTACCCAGTTTGCGAGCTGGTTGGAGTGTAGAATCGTGGCGTTGACGCCGGTGGTGCGTTCGATGGAGCTGGTGCTACTGGTTGTGCTGGTGCTGGTGCGGCGTGAGGCAGGAACAGATGGCGGCCTATCGGTATCTTTCTTCTGCCATGATTTGTTGAGACACTCGGTAGGTTTGATTCGAGCGAAGAGACGGGATTCGATGATGGTGAGTTGGCGGGCGAGCTCCATCGGATCGAGGTCGAGGAACTTGAGCTTCTTCATGTTCCTCGGGGTGAGTGGTTTGGGCACTGTGCTGTTTGGGGGAGTCATGTATCGTTTGAGGATGTCTTGGCCCTTCAAGCGGTGTTCGATGATGGTGAGGAGTTGCGAGCAGGTGGGAACGTTGGTGAGAGGTTGGATTTGAGCGTGGATGTGGCGGAGGAAGTCCATAGTTGATTCGGTGGGTGGTTCCATCCAGTATCGCTCTAGCCAGGTCTTGAGTATGTTAATGACGCGGAAGCGGACGGTCTTCTGCTTCTGTTCTGTCCATCGTGAGAGGTCAGAGTCGGTAAGGCCCGGAGGAGGGGGCATGTTAAGTCGTTGGAGGAGAATCTCAAAGAGTTCCCTGCCGCAGACGAATGTAGGGTAGGTCATGAGGAAGGTCTCGTTGAACGAGACGTCTAGTCGATCATGGCGTGTCAGTTGCTCGACCAGCCCACAGATGGTCCCCTGTTTGATGCTTTGGCGTCGCTCGTCCTCGTAAACAACCTCATCCTCGAAGTCGAGGCTCAAGAACGGGGCCGCGTTCGTGTCGATCGGCATCGTCGACCATTTCCTGGCGTGCTGGGAGCTGGAAGACATTGTCGTGGGCGTATTGTTTCGTGCATAGTCGAGGTCGGATAGAGACGCTGAACTGGCCAGTCGACGTGCTTGGGGCAAGAGGGGGTTTATGTCCGGGGTGACACCGGCAGCCTGGTGCAAGTAGACAATAGTGGACAATAGTTCTCACGCGAGTAAGAGGGAAGCGAGTATAGCGCTGGAACCACGGGTCTGGAACCCCACCAGCCCACATAGGATGGACGTTGTGCGTCACTTCCCGGATGTCTTCAGCGAGGTAGGGCCAGGGGCGCACAGGTTCCGACATCGCCAGCATTTATCAATCTTATCACCGACGCGGATCGGCCTCATCATCTCCATATTGAGTAAGGCAAGGCCATTGCATGGCTCCACCTGAGCCATTTTCTGCGTATTAGCGCGTTCATAGTCTGCTCACCGTGCGTGTCTCGGGTGGGCTCGGTGCTGGTGGTTGCCTATGATTGGGCTGGCGCGCTTGTCGTCGGCCGATTCTCTTCTCTGATGGCTGCTGCCAAGATGGAATGCCTTCTAGGATGCTGGTGATGGGCAGCAAAGTGATCCCACTCGGGTCTCGGACTGCTTTTCCTTAACGAGAAGTGTCCAGAGTTTGATCTATCAATCTCTACTGTTACGTTATTGTGGAATTATTCTACTCCGGTGAAGCTTCGTGAAAGATCAGTGTAGCAATCTGACTATCTGACAGCTATTACTATGGTGGTATCTTGATTCCTATTACTCTATAAATCACCTATACACACATCCTCACATCACCTCGCCCTTGTTCTGTGGCTTGTTCAGCCGGAAGTTCTTCCACATGGCCACGCAGGGGATCCCCAGGGCCATCGCTACCACGGCTGCAATACACGCGTATTTCATGTAGACGCCGTAGGCCGTATTAATGGCATCACGAATAGCGGAACCAACGGGATACTTGAGCTGCGTGATATACCCGCCCACGTAGATCTCCATCGCTTTGTCCTTGCTGCCCTCGGGTAATGCATCCCTCAGTGCACCAGGGAAGGTGTTGGTGTAGATCGCAGCCGCAACTGCATAGCCTACGGCACCGCCCAGACTCGAGAAGAGACCAATCAAGGAAAGCATCATGGGGACACCCTCACGATCTGAGGCAGCCATGACTGCCATGTCTTCACCGATGACTAGGGTGCCACCACCAAAGGCAATGAATATCTGACACATCACAATATACCCGATGCCTCCACCAGCCGATCGAAAGTGGATCATCAACCCTGCCCCAAGTAAGACCAGGGGTAGTCCGAATCCCAAACAGGTATACTTGAACTGCCGTGTGAGATAGACAGCTATACCGAAGACAGCAGACCAGAAGCATGAGCCCACGTTGTAGATCTGCCCGACGTAGCCGGCCATGCCGATGCTCAGCTCGTAGACAACCATGCAGAAGTTGTAGAAGTAAAGCTCCCAAGTGTAGTAACTAAAGAAGAGGCACCCTGCAAGACCGCAGGCCCCTACTACCGTGGGCTGCTTGAATACTCGCCATTTGATGAAGTGATTGCGCGCCCCGAATCGCTCCCAGAGGCCAAACACAAAGAACAGCACAAATCCGATGACAATCATACAGATGAAAGTGGCACTCTTATACTCGGCGCGTCCGTACGATGCGAGACTGAATGGGAGGAGAAGGAGGAGGAAGGCAGCGGTCAAGAGAAATGCACCGATTACTACAAATTGATTAGTGGTGTCAATTGAGGCTAGGAATTGTACTCACCATCAAATTCGTGAAAGTAATGGACTATTGATTCAAGAACAGTCCGACCACTCGGCTCCCGACCGTAGATATACATACTCTCCGCCTTTCGTTGGTAGAATTTGAATATCACGGCCAGAGGAATGAATACAAATGGCATCACAATAGCAAAGACACCGTATGCCCAGCGCCATGATGCTGTCTTGATGAATGACTCTGCTGCCAAGGGGCCGGTGAATGCCGTGCAGATAAAAGGAGTGCTGGCGAAACCAAAGGCAAAGGCTCGGTTACGCATCCCGGCAGTATCGGCCATGAATACATCGAGAATGAGATAAACCGCATCATAGCCGACCCAGTAGAGCACATAACCGGCTGCATAGGAGCTGGGGTTGTTACACGCTGCAAGAATGACAAGTCCAAGGAGGTAAACACCGACGAAGACTAGAAATCCTTCTGTTCTTCCCCAGACGTTCAACAATTTCGCAGCTGGGAGTCTGACGACACCGCTGATCACGCTGGCTGCAATGCTTGCAGTGCTCACTTGAGGGGCAGCTTCAAAGGTGGCGTAGGCATTCTGGATCACATTGCTGCTAATTGAGGATTGTAGGGCTAGCATAAAGAAGGAGAGCCAGATCCTGTGGTCACGAAAGGGTCATGTCAGATATGGAATATCATTGTCGGGGTGGGTGACTCACAGGGCATAAGTGAGATAGGCAATCTTCTTACTCCAAGCCAACGCTGCAGCCTCTGCCTGCTGCATACCACGAGGTGCATCCTGGGTCACCACGTTGGCCGATTTTTGAGCCTCGCCTGCATGCCAGGTCTCAAGAGTGATCTCATCAGGGTTCTCCTCTCCGTTACTTGGAGAGGTGACTCGCACCTCATAGCTAAAGTCTTTGAAATCCGCTCCAGCCACATTTTGTGCTAGCTGCACATCATTGCGGCCTCGAGTGACGGTGGTAGGACCCATGACTGATGACCACTAAAGCAAAGAGGGGTAAGGAGTGTGAGTAGTTTGATAGACCTCAATACGTAGTCCTCCGTGATCAGGTAATGTGCGGCGACGAGGCGGCCATGAGTGCGGTTTTCAACATTCCGACGGAGCGGAAAGGCTGCGAGCATCGGACCATCGCATGCAGGAGTAGTGTATCCATTTTGCACGAGGCGCGCTTCCCGATGTAGATCTCTGGGTGAATCCGGCCATCATGCATCCTGTCTGGCACGAATGGGCGATGGCAGCGCGGATCAGATAACGTAGTGTGGGATCAGATAAAAATCTAATGGTGTGGTCCTGGCATTTCTCTCTTCCAATGAAATGGCGATCGACTTCAGCCTTTCCTTCCTTGGCAAGGCAGAACGTGATAGACCCTTGGCTGCAGCCTCTGACTGGCACAGTGATTGATTGCTGCGTGGGCAGGCCTTTTCACTGGTTCGATGGGTCCAGTATCCACTCAGGCACGGGAAGTCGTAGTCACACATTAACAAATATTCTTAGGCTTCAGAGGCAGCCTGACTGTAGTATTAAGCTCACGATGCCGATCATCTCGGGCGAGAAGTTCCAACTAGCAACAATGGTCATCGACACGAGTAATATTGGCATTCCTCTGACAAGAAGGACGATAAATTGTCAGCTATGACTGTATAAGACGCTTTTCTCAAGCTTGGATCGTCGCAGTACATCCGTTGGTCAACATACTACGCTCTTGGTAGTTTGTTTTGAGAATCAGTTGGCGCAAAATTCTTGGGGTACGGAGGCACGTAAGCACTGATTGTGTGACGCAGCCTCGGGAACGCCAAGAGACCATGTCCTCCTATCTGGCCCTGCACGAACTGCCAGATAGGTCCGATCCTGGTCAAGGGCAGAACCAGGGCGAGATTTGATCCAACATCAGCAAAATGATAGACATTAGCCATCTCGGACTGACCAATTGGGGCCTCAGAATTTATGATCTTGAGGGGTGAAGGAGTCGGTGGAAATGAGCTTAATAGATTGAATCAGTCCCTTTGTCGCGCACAGACTAAGAGTTCTAAGTTAAGGTTATCAAATTCAATCTCCTGTTCTCCAAGGTAAGAGTCCCTTCGTATTCATCATTTGTGTGACCTTGGAGAAGGAATTCTGGTGTGTGGGTCAGCTTCGGATCGTCGCTCGCAAGCTATGGCCATTTTCGGCCATCCGCCTGCTGCAACTCGACAGTGGGCAGCATATTCGTGACATAATTTCAGCTGTACTTCGTAGTGGGAAAAGAAACTACCCAAGCTTTGATTAAGTGGGTGAGCTGCGGCAACTTAGGGCAAAGTCTTGTAGCAATGTTCGTCTTCGGGGTTCTTCCAGGAATATGAGGCTCGATTTAGAAGACGAGAAAGAAACACTCTCCAACTCTCACTGACTCTCCCATAGCGTTGTTGCTGAATCTATCTGACCGCCGGCTATTTCCTAACTGATCTCACAATAAATGAATCAAAAGCCCAATAAAACATCCCCTCCGTGAAACAGTGAAAAATCATACGTCAGCTGGATGTATAGTGCTAGTGTTTCAGAACGATTAAGTAACGATCTGCTCGTTAGTGAATACAGCAAGTTGACTCTTTCCCAGCCACCTGAACAAAGCAGCCTAGCTTCTTTATGCAAATTCCCAGACATTCTGACATATCAACACTTTTTTCCTTATATTGGGTGCAGAACAATATTCCGTCTCATGTCCTCGCCCGGTACCACCTTGCCATGGCTTAGGCGTTTATAGTACTATGCGTAATACCTAGACAACTTCTAATTTTGCAAGTGAGATCCTTTCACTGCGGTAACAGACACAATCTATGGTCAGCTCGCTTGCTAGCAATGCTACATTAGCCTGGTCTATGTGATCATCATACATTGACCTATCCGTTCCTTCAGGGTCAGAGAGCCGTAGCGCATTTCCTTCCTGGTCAATTAGAAGAAAGCTCGGATCTGGTTCTTGCGCACGACCTTCATGACCCCCACACTATCAGACGCCAGGATCAAGCTCCTTCCGAACGCCACTATTTGGATTTTCCAGGCGCGAATACCGGCTATTGTTGGTCATTGGCGGCTATTATAATATTCCATGGATGCGAATTACATCAGAAGCCGTCACTAACATGCAGTCCCTGCTGCAATTCCGGTTTCAGGTTTATGATCGTTGTGGGTTATTATCACCAGATGTTTATCTCTGTAGGGCGTAGCGTCAATCTGGAGCATACTTTCGGCACCATGTAATGGTAATCCTGAGGACCAGCCTTATGCAACCTTCCAGGGCACCTTGCTGGAGGCTAGTAAGACTAGTATTGGTGGCTTGCGATGCTGCTCATGAATGAGCTGAAGATTCTTCTGTGACGGAAGGGTTGATTATCTGGTCTGGAGATCCATACTTTCTCGTGCATGGATTAGCTATTGCTGCTCTTCTACTGATGTTATTCTATGAACTCTTATCATTCTGGTTGTGGTTATATATTTATTGAATTTACAACTAATGATTTCTATATATAGTTGCCATCATCCTTTTCTGCACTACTCTCTGCTTTAAAATATCAATACAAATGTCTTCATAAGAAGGGGTTGGAGGAAGGAGGGGGCGAAGCGCGACCTCTTTTCATTTTGTCCTCGTACTATTCAGTGCACCTATAAATCCACACAGCTATAAGTATGGGACTGCATGTAACAGCATGCAATGAAGAGAATTACTAAAAATTACAAGTGAGGACTTCTATCTTATTTTATATGTTGATATTCCTATAATTTATGGGTGGGGTGGGGTGATTACTGGGTGCTGATTGGTCATGGCTTACAAATGAGTGTCAAATCACTGCCTCCCGGATTTACAGATTACAATTTCTTCCCCGCAGACTGGTGGATTAGGACCAAAGGGACTATATCATTGCTTGTCCAGACGCTCAGTGACGACCAATATCAGTGAGACGGGCATGAAGACGGTTTATGGTAAGAAATCTCTGCGATATCCTTTCGAGAAGTGGTGACCCGACATTATGGCTTATGTGAAAGTGTATTCGCATGCGTAGTATTCCTACACTGCACATTGATCTCCCTATTCATGTTTTACGCCAGTCACCGCATATCTTTGTTGCCAACACTGTCCCGCTCGTCCTTGAAGCTGCGAACTTATCATCCAGGCCGATTTTCGACGAACCCAGCGGCAACTCCCATCATGGCCAACGCCGAGCAGCAAAATGAGCCGCCCCTTTCGGCCAAGGACTTCAAGATCTACAATCGAGCAGCAGAGCAAATGGAGTACTATGTAAGTTATTATGTCAATCTCAGACAAGCAACTCTTTCATTCAGGATTAATCATTTCCCCATCCAGCATGGACTCCTCCGCCTATCATGGAACATGCTCTGGGAGGCCTCAACCAGCGGCCGACTACCCCCATATATGAAAATGCGGCAATTCATCACCGAGGGGCTGCGCTTTGCTCAGCATCTTGAGATTCATCATAGTATTGAAGAAAATCATGTCTTCCCTCATTTGGCGAAAAAGATGCCCGAGTTTCGCACGGGGCGTGGTCGCCAAGCTGCTGAACTCTTGCGGCAGCATCGGCAAATTCATAAGGGGCTGGAAGAGTTTCAGAAGTATTTAGAAGAATGTCAGGAGGGAAAGCAAGAGTTAGAATTTGATGTTTTACGGGGAAAGATGGAGGGCTGGAGAGAGGTTCTTTGGACGCATTTGGACCAGGAGGTCAAGACCTTGGGAGCCGAGAATATGAGACGGTACTGGACGAAGGAGGAAATGCCGCGGATACCCATGTAAGTCATCGTTGATAGTAAGTAGACAACATTGTCGAGTCTAGTCAATGCTTCAAGATACAACGATATGATGAATATAGAAACCTTGGGCGACTCAGCTGTTGTCGCTGTGCACCTTAGGATTCTAATGGAAGGCTGGATGCGCAACTTAACAGTAGGGATCTACAGGCTAAGCATTCCAGAGAATGAAGAGCCTTTCAGTCACAGCCAGTTTGGAATCCTCGCCTGAGATACTGCCATGATTCCAATACCATGAACTGCTAGTAGTAGTTGCTCCCACAACCTTGTGTTAACCCGAAGATCTAGCCCACTAGTGGTTTATATATCCTCCGGTCACCATGGAGTCAGACGAAGTACTACTGGTTACCACTTATAGTAATCACCGCGAGTTTAATAAACCTTATTGAAGAACTATCGAGTTTAGTTGACTTCATGTTCAGCAAATGGATGGATCATTTGAATGGGACGAGTGACTGTCAGCCTGAAGAAAAAGGCGGTCATCGTGGACTCACGTGACGGTGCCCGACGATGACATAAGCCGCCACAAAAGATTCCCCTCCCCCGCCGATCGCTGATAACCAAACATTCTGGTGCTGCCCATCCTTGACTCACGCGACTCACGCCGCTCGCTCTCTCCGGCTATTTAGCTCTAGGTAGCTTCTTCTGGGAATTGCTGCGAATCCCCTCTTCTCGAGGTTCTACCTACCTAATCACTTCCACCTGTTGCGCTCAGCAAAATCCCTCCGACAAAACGTCAAGATGGCGGACGCAATCGCGGAAGCCACTGCCAAGCTTCATCTCGACGAGGAGACCGGTGAGATGGTCTCCAAGGGCGAATTGAAGAAGCGCATGCAGAAGCGTGCCAAGAAGGCTGCCAAAGCCAGTGCTCCTAAGCCTGCTGCGACCCCTAAGCCCCAGGGCCCCGCGACACCCAAGCCGGAGGAGGCCCCCATCGACCCGGACGCGATGTTCAAGCAGGGTTTCCTTGCCAATGTCTACAACGAGCGACCCGTTACTCCCTTGACCCGATTCCCCCCCGAGCCTAATGGATACCTGCACCTGGGTCACTCCAAGGCCATTGCGATCAACTTCGGCTTCGCGAGACACCATGGCGGAAAGACGATCTTGAGATTCGACGACACCAACCCCGAGGCAGAGGAAGAGAAATACTTCACCGCGATTGAGGATATTATTGAGTGGCTTGGTAAGGCAGATGTGAGCATGATCATGCGGACATGACTGACCGACCTTGAATAGGATTCAAGCCGCATGCCGTTACCCACTCAAGTGACCACTTTGATAAGCTGTACGAGCTCGCCGAGAAGATGATCAAGATTGGCCGCGCATATGTCTGCCACTGCAGCGATGCCGAGATCAAGCTGCAGCGTGGTGGTGAGAAGAATGGCCCCAGATTCCGCTGCAAGGACGCCGAGCAGGACGTTGAAACCAACTTGCAAAAATTCCGTGATATGCGCGACGGAAAGTACGCACCTCAGACGGCGTTCCTGCGCATGAAGCAGGAGCTTGACAACCCCAACCCGCAGATGTATTCGGATCTGGCCGCCTACCGTGTCCTTAATGCGGAGCACCATCGGACCAAGGACCAGTGGAAGATCTACCCTACCTATGACTTTGCCCACTGCCTGTGCGATAGTTTCGAGGGCATCACCCACAGTCTTTGCACCACTGAATTCGTGCTGTCGCGTGAGAGCTACGAATGGCTCAACAAGACGTTGGAAGTCTACGAGCCCATGCAGCGTGAATACAGCCGCATGGAGGTCAGCGGAACGGTCATGAGCAAGAGAAAGCTCAAGAAGCTTGTTGACGAAGGTTACGTGCGTGGTTGGGACGACCCCCGTCTGTACACCCTGATCGCGCTGCGTCGCCGTGGTGTTCCTCCGGAGGCCATCCTTTCCTTCATCAACGAATTGGGTGTGACAACCTCCAAGTCCGTCATCCAGATCGCTCGTTTCGAACAGTCTGTTCGTACCTACCTTGAGACCCGTGTCCCGCGTTTGATGCTGGTCCTTGATCCCGTTCCCGTTGTTATTGAGGATTTTGAATCCCTTGAGGCCAAGGAACTTGATCTAGATGTACCATTCTCCCCCAAGGACCCTAAGATGGGCTCCCACCAGCTTCCCTTCACCAAGACCATCTACATTGACCGCTCCGACTTCCGCGAGGAGGATAGCAAGGGATACTTCCGCCTTGCCCCCGGCAAGAGCGTCGGTCTGTGGAGGGCCCCCTATCCCCTCAAGGCCACCACTTTCTCGAAGGATGCTGAAGGGAAGATCACGGAGATCCGGGCCGTTCTGGACCGGTCCGGCACGAAGCCGAAGACGTACATCCACTGGGTCCCGGACAACTCGCGCAAGGTGGAGGTTCGCATCCACGACCAGCTGTTCAAGTCGGATGACCCGAACTCTGTGGAGGGCGGCTTCCTGAAGGACATCAACCCCAACAGCGAGACCATCTACAACGACGCCCTGATTGAGGCCGGCTTTGATGAGGTGCGGCGCCGGGCTCCTTGGCCCGAGGCTGCAGGAGAGAAGACCAAGAGTGGACCGGAAAGTGTCCGGTTCCAGGCGATGCGTGTTGCTTACTTCGTGAGTATCCCAGACTATAGTCCCCCCCCCCTTTACTTTATCCGCTTTGTGCTCCATTGCTAACCGGTATGCCAGGCGGTCGATTCGGATTCTACGGATGACCGGGTTGTGCTGAACCGCATCGTTTCATTGAAGCAGGATGTGAGCAAGGGTAACTAAGATGTCTCTTGACGAATGAATGGGCTTGGATTTTACGCGTGATGGGATCAGGTACAGGGCAAGGGGAAGGCGAAGAAGGAGTTAGAGGGACGCCAGGCCACCTTTCGGTCGGCAGGCTCCACCGTGTGCCAGTTGCAGGAAACATAGATTTGGGTAACGAATGTCATGTGGCTGTGAATAGCGAGCATCATTGGCAGGCTTTGGTCCTGCAGTAATCAGCAAGAAAATACTACTTCCGCCGGCTCTCCAACTACGATTCTTCCAACGATTCCCGTATTATCAGGTCCAATATGATCTCCCGATTCTTCAGGGCCGTCGGCTCCGACCGACGTGACATCGGGGGTGTCTTGGCTGCATCGGATGTCTCAAACGTGGGTGTTTTCATGGACTGTCAGTGGCTGCCAGCATCCTTATCTTAATTAACCGTAATTTCCCATCCTCGCCCTCGATACGGTTGTCTGGTTGAATATCTACACCACTACTGCTATACCCTGTGACGTGACGGAGAAAGGCATTTTGATAAGGGAATGCATTCACTCATATGGAAACGGTCGCGATTTCACAAAGTTATAAGAACCCAGCGTTCTTTTCACAATGCCAGTATTCGCTTTCGAACAACAGTTCGCTGAGCAGCTGCAGATCGCTCGCCCACCATGCGCATGATCCCCTCGCTGTGTGCGGCAGCACTGCTCTTCCGGAGCGCGCTGGCCGTGACCATCCCCGAGATCAATGGCGACCGATACGTTTCTTCCTACCAAGGCAAACGAGTCTCCGGTCTCAAGGGCCTCGTCACAGCCAAAGGTTCCAGCGGGTTCTATCTTCGCGCCACGGATGCCGATTCGGACTCCCGCACCTCCAACTCCATCTACGTGTATGGAAGCAGTGGAGTGTCTCAAGTCACGGTCGGCGATATTGTCACTCTAAGTGGCAAGGCCACAGAATACCGATCCTCGTCCAGCTACGTCTATAGTACTGAGATCGAGTCGCCATCCGACATCCAGGTGCTCTCCAGCGATAATACCGTAACCCCCGTCGTCATTGGAAAGGATAATCTGGATCCTCCTACCGAGCAGTACTCTTCCCTGGACAATGGCGATGTCTTCAGCCTGCCCAGCAACTCCAGTCGGCTCGCCACTGCGAATCCTGTTTTGGAGCCGACCGAGTATGGCATGGACTTCTGGCAGAGCCTGAGTGGTGAACTGGCGACCTTGACCGGACTCACAGCCATCAGCAAGGCCAATTCATACGGGGATACCTGGGTGATTGGTGACTGGCCAGTGACGGGGAAGAATGACCGGGGCGGGCTGACCATGCGTGCAAATGGTTTGATTGCCTGACTCTGTTATCGCGCCAACTACTGACTTGGCATTCGACTGCAGACTCAAACCCGGAATCCATCGTCATCGGCTCTCCGTTGGATGGGACTAAGAACCCAACTGATACTAAGCTGGGTGATACCCTCGAGGATATAACTGGAATCATCACGCAGGCATATGGATTCTACACGCTGCTGCCTCTGACGGCCTTGACGAAGACCGGGTCCAACACCACGGAGGCGACAGCAACAACCCTCCAGGCAGATGGAACCTGTAGTTCAACCACCATCGGAGATTACAATGTTGACAATTTCTCTCCACAGTCGAGCACCATGAGCGGGATTGGGGAGCACATCGCCAAGTATTTGAACAGTCCGACCGTCTTGTTCTTGCAGGAGATCCAGGACAACAGCGGAGCAACCGACGACGGTGGTAATTTCAACCCTCTCCCCACAACATCATGATAAGATCATGTCACTGACATCCTTGACACCAGTCGTTTCCGCCAACGAGACACTGTCCAAGCTCGCTAGCGCAGTCAAAGAGCACGGCGGAGTCGCGTACAACTACACTGACATCGATCCGGAGAATGACACGAACGGCGGAGAACGCGGCGGTAATATCCGGCCAGCCTACCTCTACGACCCATCGGTGGTCCGATTGCGAAACTACAATCCCGGGTCCAGCACCGACTCCACCTCCGTCCTTTCCGACGGCAGTCTAAGCTACAACCCAGGTCTGATTGATCCCTCTAACGAGGCCTGGGATGACAGTCGCAAGCCATTGGTAGCCCAATGGGAGACCCTGGACGGCAAGAACACATTCTACACGATCAACGTGCACTTCACCTCCAAATATGACAGCACTTCGCTGGAGGGCGATCCGCGACCCCCCGTAAACGGATGGGTGGAGAACCGCGTGGACCAGGCTAAAGTGGTTGCTGTGAGTGCTTTTTTTTTTCCGCGCTAACGTTCTCTCTCATCTTGGTTGTGTCTGGAACCGAACAGCGTCTGACCGTGGTTGGTATAGAAATTTGTTACCTCCATTCTGGATGTCAATTCCGACGCGAAGATTATTACTGCCGGTGACTTTAACGAGTATGCATTTGTCGAGCCTCTAGAGGTGTTTGTCTCCGAGTCCAAGCTGCAGGACCTTGAGGAGGTCACTGGCATCCCTGCGACCGAGAGGTATACCTATCTGTATAACCAGAACTGCGAATCACTGGACCACATGTATGTGAGTTCTGCGTTGACGTCCGGGGCCAAGATGGAGCATATTCATGTCAACTCGTGGGTGTCGACGGATGATGAGTTGTCGGATCATGACCCTACAGTCGCGTTGTTCAATATGTGCGAGTAAGCACCAGCCCCTGGTTCTCCTTCCCCATGCCCCGAAGCTTCTATTTAGAAGCAAGCGGTTGCATGCCCATGCTTAATAGAGAAGGGTCCGCAAACCCCGATCTAATCGAGCTGGGACTCACATGACAGCACGATAAAATCTTTCATCAGTGGAGCCACCAACCCATCGGACAAGCAATACTTGAATAATTGAGTTTTGCTTGTCTCCAAATATTTATTAATCTCGTATTTGCCGCGTAGCGATATGTGCCTGGCATGGTTCGTTTCATTTTCATTGCTTCATCTGTGCTGCTCCACTCACTGCCGCATCCGGAGTTCATGACTCGAGCGGGACTATTAATGCCTGAGGCAGAAAGCAAAGACAATGAATGTATGTTGCCATGTTATGTGAAAGCTATCCAATCCATCAAGAAGCTTACGTAGACTTCAGAAGAGGATTTGTGGTTTACTCGTACTGATTAATTTTGGCGGCATCAAGAGATGACACGACGGCTAAGCGATGCAAGCAATCTTAGTAGTCCCTCCTGGTAATTCCCTAAGACCCTGGTCTAGATCTCAGCCACCGTCCTTGATATTCTAATTAACCGTGCAGCGTGGCATCCCCAGCGCACTACTAGCAGGACTAACCATGTGGCTGGCTGTAGCGTCTTCTTTCCCAGTCCAGTGAGGTCCTCGCCTCCCAAGGCCTGAGCGCTCGGGCAAGTGGACCGTCTTCCAAGGGAAACAGACAACAAACAGCAACATGTCCGAACCAAAGCCGATTCAGAGACAAGGTCGAACACTAGAATGACCCGAGTTCGACGGTAGCGACCAGTGAGTGGCTACTGGCTACATTCGACGGCGGATCCCACGTGGTTCAGCTGAAAAATTCGGCCTGCGCCCCGTCGCGAGGACCCACTGGCGCACCAGATGCTCGGATTTCTCTCTGAGACGGTGGACTCGAGATCGCTAATCTAAGATCTCATCTACTGCCCAACGGGTGCACAAGCACAGTTCGCCCCCTTCCCCTCACAGCATCGCTGTGTTTTATGGTTCTTATCCAGCGCAAGTGGACCACAAACTTTCCGTGCTATGCCGTCTCCTCCAGTCAGGCTTGTTTCCATCGGCGTCTCATCCATGGGTACCCCAGGAACCCTAACGCCCATGAGCGGCGTCGCTGAAATCGTCGGCAGTTGGTCTAACCCATTCTTTCGCCAGTCTGGTACGTCACGTTCGCTTATGGCAACTCTTGTTTCATAATATCTTTTTCCATCTCATCGGATTCCCGCAAATGTTGCTCTGTCGCTGCTGCTGTTGTCACCTCTTGCCTGCTGGTCAGCTCGCATCACCATCATGGCCGTGGATCGGTCATTAGAAGTACGGGCAGTCGCTGCTGTCTTCTTCGCATTGGCGTCCGTGACGACGATTCTGCGATGCTATGTCCGTCTGGCAGTTGTCAAGGCGTTTGGGTGGGATGATGGGGTTATGGTTCTGGCGTTGGTGAGTTACCCTCTCTTCCCAAGTTCAATGGCATACACTGACATCGTCAATAGCTCTTCTACGCCATGTTCTCAGGCTGCATGATCGGAGGCAGTCTCTACGGCACAGGGAAACACCTGACCGAGTTAACCAACCACCAGCGGACAACCGCAATGGAGGTAAACAACCCCAACCCCTAGCCCTCACCCTCACCACTGATCAATATAATTAATAGTACTGGTTCTACTGCGACATCGGCTACGCTCTCGCCTCCATCCTCTGCAAGATCTCCGTCAGTATCTTCATCCTGCGCGTAACCATCGACCGAACGCATCAGATAGTCGTCTGTCTCGTCGGAGGCATCGTCGTCATCGCCGGACTCATCTTCTTCATCATGGTCCTCGTGCAATGCCACCCCCTGTCGTACTTCTGGAATCAACTGTCCACCGCATACACCGGCCCCGGATCTTGCATGAACATGCACATTATCGTGGGCGGACTATACGCCTTTAGCGCCTCCTCCGCGCTGTTCGATCTGACCATCGCTATTCTTCCGATCTTGCTGGTCCGGAAACTTAACATGAAGCGTGATGTGAAGGTCGCCGTTGCTGGATTGCTGGGTATGGCTTGCGTGTATGTACACCCCCCATACCCTCTGTACTACTAATATCCTCTCCCCACACGCACACACATATACTAACCTGGTATCGCATGAATAGTGCCTCCATCGCCGTCTTCATCCGCATCCCTTACATCCACACCCTCTACAACGTTGACTACCTCTGTACGTCCATCCCCCTCCTCCTCCTTTCCACCCTCACAGACCCCCAGAAACAAAAACTAATGAAGTGACCAGGGGCAACAACCCCCATAGCAATCTGGTCCAACATCGAAACCGGCCTAGGCATCTTCGCCGGCAGCATGGCGACTCTCCGCCCCATCCTCCGCAAATTCAACCCCTCGACACGAGGCAACGAATACACGTCCTCCCCATGGCCGAGCACGCGCAACAAGCAGCGAAACTTCTCCGTACCGCTACGATCCCTCGATACTAGTACCACGAGAACGCCGCCGTCCGAATTCGATGATCGCATGGCGATACAGGGCCATGATGAGCGGTTGTACGGGACGACGATGTATAGTGTTGAGACGGGGGAGAGGGTGGATATGGATGTTGTTGATGGGGGCGAGAGCGGGGGGCGGGTGGATGAGTATCCGATTTTACCTAAGAATTTGAACACCATTAACAATGGTGGTGGTGGTGGTGATAATGGAATCGGAGTCAAGTTTCCGGGGATTATTAGTGTTAGGAGGGAGGTGTTGGTTACGACTTCTACTTAGAATCTTCCTTTCTTTCTCTTTATCTTTTTTTGGGATGTTGGGCTGGGTGGAGTTGGGCTATATACCATTTTATTCATTTAATTTCTTTCATCTATTATGGTTCACTTTTCATAGATATCATATTCGTGACAATGGTCGCACATGTTGTATGTTATTGGATATTGATCGGCAAGGGCGATACTCTTTCCGAGGTAGTAGCCGAAGGATCGTCCCAAGGGTCTGATTTCTGTCCGATCTGCAACGGTACGCAGGGCGAAGCGGAACTTTAATAACGGTCGGCTAGGGGACGTCGCATTGCTTGCTATCGTTGTATTGCGTTTAGCATGATCGGTACCGAGGTAGTAGATCATTCAACGGGCAAAGGTGATGGATGTATGCATGTGGTTGGATAAGGGTATTTTATGTATGAACGGAGTGGGTGTAAAGGACTGAGATTGAAGTTTGCATGTAGAACGAACACATTGTCTGCACGACTGACTAGGCTCCGTAATGAACTTATCTACAGTGTGTCTTGGTAGTATGTGAGACTATTCGAGAGCATTACCGCTAAAACGTAGACGAGGAAGAAGCCCCTGGCACCAAAATCTAATCTATTGTATTGATTTAATCTATCAATGGACCGGCCGTCTCAATACTTTTATATTATAGTGATATCACGTAGTCAAAAAGTCCTGCAATCTCAACAAAAGCATAACCTGAGGAAACAGACAACTTCCGACATATTATTTTCGATTCCTTTTTGTGCAGCGTCGTGATGACCTGATCGACCTGGGTGACGCTTCAGGTCTTTGTCAAGGGTATCCTCACGCGATCCTGCCATACGGCCTGAAGTCGTATAGATTGGGGCTGCCTCAACGGCATGAGGCAGCGCTCAAGACCTGCCCCAGACAGACAACAGAAAAACCCAGACGGTGTGTACCGCCAACAGTATCCTTCTCACCAGAACTCCAGCAAAATACCGCTCCTCCGCCAAAGAGATCTATTGCTTGCGGCCAATGCTCCGCTGACCCTGCACAACTGCCTTGGAGACCTCATCGAGGCATCCCGCAGCGGCGGCAAAGAAACCGAGGAAAGCCCGGCTGGGGCTCAAGACCCGACTGAGGTACTCGGGGTGGAACTGCACACCCACGAACCAGGGGTGGTCCTTGATCTCGACAATCTCCATACGCTCACCCTTGATGTCCTTTCCAATGAAGGAGAGACCGGCCTTCTCGATCTGCTCGATCATCTCAGGGTTGACCTCGTAGCGATGGCGGTGGCGCTCCTCAATCTGCGAGACGGAGGGTCCGTACAGACTCCGCAGACGAGACCACTCGGTGTTCTCCTGGAAGACGCAGGGGTGTCTGCCAAGACGCATGGTTCCACCGAGCTTGCCCTTGTCGACCTCGGGCATGTAGACAATGGCGTGGTTCTCGGCCTTCGGGTGCAGCTCCTCACTGCCGACATCCTTAACGTTGGCGACGTTGCGGCAGAACTCCAGCACGGCCAGCTGCATACCCAGGCAGACACCCAGGAACGGCTTGTTGTTGGTACGCGCCCATGTGATGACCTTCATCATACCCTCAGTACCTCTGTTACCGAAACCACCGGGCACCAGGACACCGTCGGCCGTGCAGACCGCGTGCCAGGCCTTGTGGTAATCGGCCGGGGAGGCGGTGTCATCTTCCAGATGCGACGAGTCGACCCAGATGATCTGAACCTTCTTGTGGCAGTACATGGCCGCGTGCTCCAGAGCCTTGGAGACACTGATGTAGGCATCGTGAAGGGAAGTGTATTTGCCAACCAGGGCAATGGAGACGGAATCGTGGAGGAAGTCCTGGCCACGAGCAAGATCGCACCAGTCGTTCCACATGCGGCTGCCCTGCTCCTTGCGCTCAGGGGTCTGCGGGATCGACTTCAAGTCGAGCATATCGGTGATGGTGCTGATAAGCTTCTGCTTCTCGAGGAGCATAGGCACGTGGTATGTCGTCGTGACGTTGTGAACGGCAATGACCTGGTGCTGCTCGACGGAGCACATATTGGCGATCTTCTGGATGGTGCTATCTTCCAGAGGTTGCTCGCAGCGACAAGCAATCAGGTCGGGGTTGAGACCAGCACTCCGCACATCGCTGATTGCCCTCTGCGTGGGTTTCGTCTTCTGCTCACCACCAGGTCCCGGCGGGATGACCGGCACGTAGGAGACGTGGATCTGGACAAAGTTGCCCTTGCCCGCCTTTCTCTGGAGCTGGCTCAGAGCGTGGATGAACGGGGCACTCTCAATGTCACCGACGGTACCACCCAGCTCGATGATGCAGACATCCGGCTCGGCCTTGGACTCGTCGACGGGGATCTTGGCTACCCGCTGAATCCACTCCTGAATGGCATCGGTGACGTGGGGCACGACCTGCACGGTCTTACCGAGATAATGGCCAATGCGCTCGCGGTTGATGACGTGCTGGTAGACCTTTCCGGTGGTGATGTTGTGATCGCGGGAGAGAGAGGAGAGGAGGTAGCGCTCGTAGTTGCCAAGGTCGAGGTCCATTTCACCGCCGTCGTCTGTGACATAGACCTCACCGTGCCTAGCATAGTGGGGGTGATGTCAATAAGGTGTGTGTCACCGAGAAGCCGAAAGCCACGCAGATACTGACTCAGTAGGTGCCATTGTGCCCGCATCGATGTTGATGTAAGGGTCGATCTTGATACTGGTGACGGCCAGACCGGTGGTCTTGAGCAGGAGACCGGTGCTGGAGGCAATGATGCCCTTGCCCACGCCGGAGATGACACCTGAGGGACGGGCGGTTCGTTAGCAAGAGGGCACGACGCGAGGGACCCTGGCAACTCCGCTGGTTTCCAGCCGAGTCGAGCAATTGAGCTTACCTCCGGAAACCAGAACGTATTTCATCTTTGCAGCGACCGACGGAGACGGAGTGGTGACAAGGGGACGTGAGCGATGCCGCAAGCAAAGAGTCAAAGAAGAGGCGAAAAAAAGTTCGATTGACCCTCCCGAAGCGGTGGGCCTGTGATCATGTGACTTCTTATCTTATCGGCTATCTTATCGGTTCCCCAAATAAGAAATTGTCTGGCTGAGACGTTCAATGCCTGTTGAGGATAGAGTTATAGCATCAATTGTAATAAGTAGCTTGAAGACTGATGTGCATTGTAGAGGCTTTTTATTCCAGCCGTATCACTGTTGATGTGTACTTCTCATCTGAGTCACTTCAACCCCGTCTCTATTGTAACCCGGCTCTGATTGGCAACCCGTGTGACGCCAAGCCCGCTCAAACGGTTACATCCGGACTTCTGCCTGCTGGTAGGCAGCACACATACATTGTCCCATGCTCTCCCTCTTCAGTAGACAGCATCTCGTATGTAGTCATTGTTGAAAACGTATATCAGTTTCTCAACTCGCAAGAAGATGATTCGATTTGCGGATCGTATTTTGGCGGAATAGAGACCATTGGGGTACCATGTCACAGACCTGCAATGAAATATATTTTCACCTGGAGGGGAAGTACTAGTAATATATGCTCTTCTCCTACTAGCTTCCAACACGATGGGACAGTACAGGAGAGGAGAGACCTATAGTTCAGTTGCGCAAAGGAGGGTGATACCTACTTAATTATACTGAGAGTGTAGATATTACATTCCAGGTACATAAGAAGTCAATACTATGACTTAGTTCAATTCTTTATTTCTCACCAGGCTGAAGCATCACCCGCCTTTTCACCACCGACGGACAATCTTTGTTCGTACTAGTGGGTTATGGCCCCAAAGAAAGGGGAGTTGTATTCCCCGGTACTAGCTATAGACGACCCATCCAATCCCCTTAAAGGTCACATAGAATCCTAGTCCTCTTTCCTCCTAGTTGGACAGATTAAAAGAGGGTCGGTGTAAGCACTAACAGTTAGCGACCAACGCAGGATTGCCAACGATTAATGCTTACCCTTGTCTAGCACTAATGATCCCCCCGATTGACACGGCCTCACGCTCCTATAACTAGCCTATAACTTCCCCATCCTAAAAAAATCCTAGTTTAACATCATTCAGTATCACGCGCCCTTCAATTCCTTACAATCAATTGGCCATTTGGCTGAGTTACTGCTCCCGAGCGACACGGATAAATAGGAGTTACTGCAACCATCACAATGGGACAAAAGGCCTCGGTCCCTCAACCAGGGGCTAAGCTCCAGGTCATAGGTGCAGGTCTCTCTCGCACCGGTACGGCATCTTTCAGCGCCGCCTTAAACATTCTCCTCGACGGACCTGTCTACCATGGGGGTACGCAGATAACAATGGGCCCATCAACCGAGATCAAATCATGGATCACTATTCTACGCAATTGGTTATCAGGAAAGAACCATCAGAATATTCTTGCCATGATGAAAGACCGCACAGATGGCTACGTTGCTATCACCGACGCGCCTGGCTCTCAGTTCGTACCAGAGCTCCTGGAGATTTACCCCGAAAGCAAAGTCATCTGTACAGTCCGCGACGCTGATGCATGGGTCAAGAGTATGACCCAGATTCAGGGATTGGCTACACTGTGGTTTCTACGCGCCGTTCTTCTCCCACTGCCTGGAATGCGGCACTTTGTTGACTATATCTCGCTCCTGCAAGCGCAGTGGGATAAGGTGTATGACGACGAGCGTGCCTTTGATATCATTTATGATCGACACATTGAGTGGTTGAAGGAGATAGTGCCCGAGGATCGACTGGTATTCTATGATGTCCGGGAAGGATGGGAGCCTCTTTGCAAGGCATTAGGGAAGGATATACCCGATGTTCCATTCCCACGGATCAACGACTCCAAGGCTATTGATCGGGTTGCGCAGTACCATATTAAGCGTGGGCTACTGAGATGGGCAGCAGGCTTTACGTTGGCAGGTGCCGCTACTGCATGGCTAATGCGCGGGTGAAAAACTAATATTGATACTCGAGGTTATGCTGTAATTAGTTGACTGTGGACATGCATATAAACTAAGCTCATCAACCATCACTCGCTAGAAATACTAGGGGGGTAGTGGTCACTCATATCATGTGGCTTTGTCAGTCATGGCGATAAGGGAAATGGTTGAGATTATTGACAGTAATTACTGGTTCGACACGCCAGGATATGGACAGAAATGAATGGAGCGACCAGGGATAAACAGCTGTTCGACCAAGACACCGTGCCTCGAGTGTCGAGATGCAAGAGAAAGAACCTTTTGCAAGAGTTCGCTGTATTGGGAGTGTGAAAGTAATGCAGAAAGGCAACCATTGACCGAAAGTAGAGGTGCACATCTAATGCACTGGCTTCCTCTTCTGGAAAAGCTCCTATCCGGTCTCATGAAAGAAACTGATAGGAAGGAAGGAAGGAGACAACGCTCGAATCATTCGAGGACATGCCTGTCCAGAAATGAAAGTTACCAAGGCTGCCATTCACACGGCAGGCTGCAGAATATTCGTCGATTTCCTTCCTACTGGTCGATCGGACACTGTACTGGGTCGGCTTCGCAAGTTATGCCTGTAAGGGGTGCGAGCATCTCTAGCCTCCCTTACGGCGGGCGGGCCGCCGAATTCGAGGTTTGTTTGGTCGAGAATCTGGCGAGAGCTGAAGAATCTTTCTTGCCTGTGGGGATGGCTCGCTGCAACTGCATGCATGTTGTAGATCTTACATCTCAACTTAGCAGTAAGGCTTCTCATCACACCTACCAATCCTGATCGCTCTTTTCACAGGTTACTTAGGACAATCGGGGCTCAGAAGTCTACTCGCCTTGACAGGATCCCCTTCAATATGATGATGTAAAGCTGTTAATTATCCAATACTTAGTTTGTGCTTTGACTCAGACCCGATGATATAATGCGGTTATATTGCCCATGCACGGAGTATAGTGGCCACTCACCGTTCGATTACGGATGAGAAATTCCGAGAGAGCTACAACCGTGGCTGACAGCGATCAAGTTTAGTGGCTATTCTCGCGGCGAATTTCTTGCAGTCAACGATCTGTCAATGATCGCGACCGCCTCCAACGCAAGCCAGCTCAACTCACCCCTCACATATTCTCTCACTGCTGTACCATCACCTCATGGTAGGACACTACAACACTCGAAGTAAGGGTTCTCCACGGTGAGTGTGGAAAATGAAGAAGCTGTGTGGAAATGCACGATCATCTCATTATAACTCCAGTACTGATATGCAATCGCTATAATTCATGCACTGGAATTCTGTTGATCATGGGTCCGTGAACTTTATCGGATCGTTACTTTTTTTTCTGTTCTGCAGGAGATAAATCCATCCTTGGGTCGACAGTTGTACAGCAGGCCGTTTCTAAGGCCTTTATATGACGATATCTCTAGTCGCACAACGCATAACCTCCTTGCAAAGATGTTTCGGAATATCGTACTTGGATAGATACGAACACTACGTGGAGCTAGCGATACTTTCCGCAGATGCAGAGTACGCCTGCTCATTTCTGAATTCTAAAAGTATCAGCTTCTTTTTTGGATATGCTCGATCGTAAGTAGAACAAAATTTTATTCGTGTCCCATTTACATCTCAAGTGGAGGCAGTAAATGCATGCTCAAGAGATCTTCATGAGGTTCACGATTGATACCTGATAAACCATCTATTTCCCGTGCGCTGAGATCAGCTTAAAATGAGGCTGATATTCACGCAAGTCAGCCAGTCATAGTTGAATCATGAGCAAATATGTCGCAACGCAAATAGCGTGACGCAATAGTAGTCACGATATCCCACAATCTCATGCACGATGCAATATGCCCGTGGAATTCTTTGTCAAGTAGATCGTTCAGATCCAACCACGAGCTTGATGAAGTAACAAGGAATGGCACGCATGTTACCATTCTAGCCGGTTCTCTGTATGTGCATACCTTAAAAAACGGATGCCAATCTACGATACTAGACATTCATCTGTCGTCATTGTGCGACTATAGAAGTGCTGATATAGACATCCCTTTCAGCGTGAATGATCCATGGCCCATCGCCTCATAGGCCACTTCCCTAGAGAACATACCCCTCAACACCATAGTGGCTCATGCTGTCCTCAATAGACATGAAAGCAATGGAAGTGGGCTCTGTTATCTGTTCAGCTATACAGGGATCGTCCTCGAAGCCAGCAAATCCTGGGTATAGGAAAGGAGAAAGACTACGGACGAATGAAGTCGTTTTGACATGAGCAAACCGCTGCAAGGGTACTTATCTACGCCAATGTAGGTAGCTCAGAAGAGTACTGTAGCTGTAAGCTACCCAGAGAAAGCCAAGTTGCTATCAACCCCTATATGGTGAGAATATTATTACTTAAAGCAGACTCGTCGTCTTCAAATTTTGACTTATGAGAGACACATCGAGCTACAACATATTCCTACCCAGAACAAGCCTAAGTCACTAAACACTGCATCGCAACATGTCTCTGTGGACAAACTACCAAGCCCTCCCCGCCACGCAGTGGGCGCATGTTTTCAGATCCCGGGGTGATAGTATGGACTTCCATATCAGCTAGCAGAGCTACGCTAAGAAACTCAGCCATCGAGCTCAAACAGATTCCAGTTGGCAACCCAGGCCCCGATGAAGTGCTGGTTCAAATGGAATACTCCGGGGTTTGCCATACAGATCTTCATGCCTGGAAAGGTTGGGATTAATTACCTCAATTCAACCTGTTGATGCTTATCATCCCAGGGGACTTCCCCGCCACCCCGAAAAGCAATCTCGTCGGCATGTCAATCAAAACCTCCCCAATCCGGCAAATTGGTTCTAACCATGACTAGGCGGACACGAAGGAGTTGGATTGGTTGCTGCAGTCGGCTCGCAGGTGAACGGCCTTCGCATTGGAGACACCGTCGGAATACAGGTATGATCTTTACGTATGTCTTCACCGAGATTCATAGAGTAATGGCATGCTAGTGGATTAATAGAACTTGCGGCGTGTGCGAGTTTTGCTCTACTGGGAGACAACCGCTCTGTCCTAAGCTTCAGCTGTCGGGGTATATGGTCGATGGGACCTTCCAACAGTATTGTATTTGCAAGGCTGACAATGCAGTGCGCATTCCGTCCGGAATTTCTCTAGAGGCCGCTGCCCCGGTTTGTTTACTACTGTCCATTCCAAAAGGATGGTCTGACTGAATGACACGTCTAGGTTCTCTGTGCCGGAACTACCGTATACAAGGCCCTCAAAGAAAGTGAAGTCCAGCCAGGACAGATCATCGGTAAGCATGACATTACCCTTAGCGACAAATCTCTCACCACTGAATTATGCAACCAGCCATTGTCGGCGCAGGCGGAGGACTGGGCTCTCTGGCCTGCCAATATGCCAAGGCATGCGGACATAAGGTCCTTGCCTTATCGTCCGGGGCCGCCAAGAGGCAAATGTGTCTATACGATCTTGGAGCGGATTACTTTGTCGATTACAAGTCTCCGGACGTTGCGGAGGAGGTGAAGCGCGTCACCGGCGGCGGACCGCATGCTGCGATGATAGTGTCATCCGTGGAGGAGCCTTTCCACCAGGCTACACAGGTGATTTGAACGTCTCTATTAAACCCTGAACAGAAGCTGATATCTCCTCCAGTACATTCGCCCGGGCGGAACAATCGTCGCTGTCGGTCTCCCACCTGGGAAAATCTGCACTGACCTCTTCCATATGATAACCCAGCGGATTAACATTAAGGGGTCCTACGTGGGGAATAGAGATGAAACCGAGGAAGCGCTTGCCATCATCATAAAGGCTGGCATTAGAGTTCAATACGAGGTGGTTGACTTTTCGGAACTTCCAAATATTTACGACCAGATGGAGAAGGGTATGTTTCAAATGCAAAATATGCTAGTCCGGTATTAACATTGCCCAGGAACGATGAAAGGCCGAGCTGTGCTCAAGATCGGAAAGACGCTCTCAAGGGGCCCTGAGCGACAGTCAAGTCTCTGCCGGGACCTACATTTCTCGCCAAAGCAGACAAATGGCATAACGGGCTTGACAGCTAAGGGAGCTGTATCAGGGGCCCTTGAACGCGCCATTGAGCGGGCCCGGAGAGACTTTCGATCCGATACCGTGACTGTCCCTACCGAGGCCGTGATGGAGGTATGTTTCATCTGGCGGATCTGAAAATTGTCAAATACTTACTATTTCAGGCAATTGTCAATGCGTCAACCTTTGGGGATGATATTTACGACGAGGAAGGGGACGCAACAGTGAATGAGTTCCAGGAGAAGATCAAAGCACTAACAGGCAAAGAGGCAGCGCTCTTTGTCGTATCCGGTACCCAAGGCAATCAGATCTGTCTGCGGACTCATTTGCACCAGCCACCTCATACAATTCTTCTTGACTACCGTGCTCACGTTCAAACCTGGGAAACTGGAGCAATTCCTGTTCTGTCGCAGGCAACAGTGACAAGCGTTGAGCCGAAGAATGGTGTTCATTTGACCCTGGAAGATGTGAAGGATCGGATTATTGAGGAAGGAAACTGTAACAAGTCTCGCTCTATCACAGGTTCCATGTTTTGCTGACAACCCTTGCAGTCCACTTTCCACCTACGCGAGTTGTCTCCCTCGAAAACACCCTGAGTGGCTCGATTCTCCCATTGAAAGACGCCAGAGAGATTTCGAACTATGTCCGCAGAGTTCGTGTGCCGCCAGGCCGAGCCCCAATCGCCATGCATCTCGATGGAGCCCGGCTGCTGGAAGGTATAACTGCAGAAGGCGTAACAGCCAGGGAGTACCTTGACTGCTTCGACAGTGCTAGTATCTGCATTTCCAAGGGCTGTGGTGCTCCAATGGGCAGCGTCATCGTTGGTACTCGCGAGTTCATCGACCGCGCGAAGTGGTTCCGGAAGATGTTTGGAGGCGCAACTCGACAGGTAAATTCCGTACAGTACAAACCGGTCAGAAGTATTTATACTGATAAATCTAGACGGGAATGATGGCCGCTGCTGCCATCGCTGCGATGGAGCACACTTTGCCCCTACTTCCGAAAGTGCATGCGCTCACCCGGCGCGTGGCCGACTATCTGCATCGGATCGGGTACGAATTCCTCATGCCAGTGGATACCAACATGATTGTCCTCGACTTGAAGAAGACTGGCATTACTGGAGATGATATTGTTTTCTACTGCAAGCAGCAGGGATTGTTGGTATTCCCTAACGGGCGGCTAGCCTTCCACCATCAGATATCGGACGACGGGGTTGCTCGGCTTCAGAGAGCGTTGTTGGAACTGATTACGGATAAGAAGAGATACTAAACCTTGACGAAGAGACTAAAGGTGGGTAGTAGATACTTTACATGGCAATTTCTGGAATTTACTGTTGATGTCGTTAAGAGTTCCTATAGACAGACTGCATGGCTTTCTCAGACAATCTGATAGTTGACTTCCCGTTTGTATTCAAGCCTATGATCCTCCATAGTACTATTGATCAAACCAGATTACTCCCCAATTTCCATCTCCTCAATCCCCTTCGCCGCCTTCTCCTTCCAATCGGCCCTCCACCTCGTCAACGCCGGCCTCCTATTCACCATATCCCCACACGACCACATCATCCTCTTCTTATCCAACTCCTCAGTAACCTCATTGTCCGGGCAAATAATATAAAACCTCCCCTCCGCCATCCCCTGGCTCAAATACTCAACCACCTGTTCCGGCAACCACGCTCCATTCGGCTTCTCTTTAAAATGCCTCCTTATCATCCCCGTGTACGTAAACCCCGGTACCAGCAAATGCACACTCACATTGGGATGTTTCTCATACAGACTATAACTCAACTGCTCGGCAATACTCTTCACCGCCGCTTTGGAGGCATTATACGCCGGGTCCCCAGGCGGGTTGGTTATCCCCTGCTTGGAGCCAGTGAGGATGATAGCCCGCGGGACTGTATCGCTTCCGCGAGTGATGTCGTCGATGAATGTCGCTATGCCGTTCGTGTAGCCTAGCGTGTTCACTGCGAGGGCTCGTTGGAAGTACGTCGGATCTGTCCAGGTGGTCTTGCCTTCTGTGGGCTGGACCATGGTGCCGGCGTTGAGGAAGAGGAGGTCGATTCCCTGAGGGTGGGTGGGGGTGATGGATGAGTAGAGGGATTGCCAGTCTGAAGGGTTGGAGACGTCGATGTGGTGGGTTGTTGTTGTTGTGGTTGATGAGGTGGAGGGGAGAGTGGATGCTGCTGTTTCGAGGGCCTCTTTGTTGTTGTCCACGAGGACGAGGTTCATGCCGTGGGTGCGGCAGAATTGGGCTGTGGCTAGGCCGATGCCTGATGCGGCGCCGGTGATGAGGGCTGTTGCGCCGGGGCGGAAGACAGGGTGGAGAGCGGGGGACATTATGTTGTGTGTTTTATTTCTGATATATATGGGCGATAGTGGGGTTGTTTGTTGATGGGGTGAAGATGGAGAGAAGGGAGGGAGAGAGGACGAGGGGATAAGGTGAAGGTGAAGGTGAGGGGTTGCTAGATTGCGGAGACGGGAATCCGGATACCGCGGGGTTCGCTGTGTGTAGACTCAACATATGTGAAGGCAAAATTAACCGCCGTAGTGGTGGGTGGTGGGGAAAAGAAGTCATCCGAGCAGTAGTACTAGTTTTACTGTAGATCAGCGTTATCAATAAAGGCCAGTTTGAACCTTGAATAGGTCGCTCCATATGCAATGCCCCGGTAAACTGCCAGTTGCATGCATGTATTGATGTAGGCTAAAGAGCCTGAGAGACAATTAACTGTGAATGGCAACCTGAACAATGGACACCCGGCCATAGCCAATCATTACTAGAAGCATCGTGGATGGGTATCGAATTCGCAGAGATGATACATTGCACGGTTTCAATGAACAACCTGGACGTCCTGAAACGGGCGGAACCCCTCTAGGCAGACGGATATGGAGCTTTGATAACGATCGGAAGCCATGAGAGAGAATATCTTGGATGGAGCAAAGCATTGATGCGTATGGATATATCACATATGGTGAACGCCCAGATCACCTTATGCCTCAATGCTCATCCAGGTGATATGTTCATTTTAGTGCATGGCCGCTCTTCTGGATAGGCTTTGTTTGCCGACAAATTGTCCACGGGCGCGTCGGACGGCATCCGCGGACTTCCCGTCTCTACTTCCGAGCAAGAACACTGTCGACCGGACATAACCCTCGTGTCAAGGGGCCAGACCTTACTTCCACACCCTGTCTATAACAATCATTATGACAGGAAGAAAGAAATCAACTCATTAGTTATGAATGAGCCCACTGGACGATTTGTCATCACCGCTCGTGGACGGAGCGCGAACATGCCGAACTCATCAACCTCTCCGCATTCGGATAGACAGCTGTGCTGCTTGTGGTACACCACATACGGGATATTCACATGGCGGAACAACTCATGCTTGACGCCTTGAGATACCCAGCGTATCACCAGCAAAATGGCGTGGTAATCAAGACACAGCATGAATCATAATGTCTCACGCGGACGCCTGCATAAGCCCACCCATGCCAGACCAACCAACTAACTAACCGCCTCACAATTCAACACCGACCTTCCATAGCTGTGTCATATGCGGGGTCCGCAATCGCACTTTCACTATCCACCCCCCTGATCCGGACGAAAGGCATGCAGCAAAATATGCCGTCATATTAATTTACACAAAATTCCCGTTGACGGAGGTCCGGGCCCCTCCGCGTAACACATCCGATTTTATATTTAACCCACGACATGCAGCCCACGGTATGACGTCCACACTTCCCAGGAAACCATCAGCAAACTCAGCTACTCCGAACCCAACAAAATGAAGATCCTCATCAGCGGCGCCGGCTGCGCCGGTCCGGCCCTCGCCTTCTGGCTCTCCCGAACCAACCACCAAGTCGTGGTAGTTGAACGCTTCCCCACGCTGCGCGACAAGGGAGCCCAGATCGACCTCCGCGAGCAAGGCATCGAAGTGGTCCGACGAATGGGTTTGCTCGACACTATCCGCCAGCACTGCGTCCACGAAGATGGATTCACTCTCGTCGACGGCAATGACCACGTCACGGCCATGATACGACCGAATACATCCGGACAGGGCGCGCAGTCCTTCTCCGAATTCGAGATCATGCGTGGCGATCTCGTCCGGATCTTATACGATGCTACCAAAAAGGACGTGGAGTATCGGTTCAACACGACCGTGGAGCGCTTCGAACAAGATGATGAGAAAGTCATCGTCAACTTCTCGGATGGAACGTCTGAGACGTTCGACCTTCTTGTGGGTGCAGATGGCCAAGGCTCGCGAATTCGACGGGGGATTCTGCCACCAGACACAGCCGATCCGTATCTCCATCTAGGCATTCACGCGGCGTACTGGTTCGTTCCGCGGGAGAAAGGAGATACCAATACCTTCACGACATACATATCTCCTGGTGGACGGGCGATATTTCGTCGAAGTCACAGTCCCACGACGTCTCAGGTGTATTTCATGCTGAAGGACGACGATCCGGCGCTTGCGTCTATTCACCGCGCGGCGGTAGACGCGCAGAAGGAGTTCTGGATGCGGCAGTACCGGGGGGCAGGGTGGCAGACCGAGCGATTTATAGAGGGGATGAAGACGACGGATAATTTCTACTCGCAGGAAATTGTGCAGGTGAAGACGGAGACGTGGTATAAAGGACGGGTGGTGTTGTTGGGTGATGCAGCTGCGTGTCCGGCTGTGGTGACGGGGATGGGGACGACAGGGTGTCTTGTTGGGGCGTATGTGCTGGCTGGGGAGATCAATCGGCATGCTGGGGATGTGGGGGCAGCGTTGAAAAATTATGATGCTACATTGCGGCCATTTGTGAAAGAGATCCAGAAGTTGAATACGTCGGTGGTGAGGTTGTTCTTCCCAACTTCATGGTGGGGGATTTGGTTGCTGCATTGGTTTGCAGCTGTCGTGTGTTTCTTGAGGATTCCGGAGTTGCTGGATAGGATGGGGAATGAAGAGGTGGGTGGGTGGAAGCTGCGGGAATATGAGGAGTTGATAGGGGTCGTTTGATGCGGTTGCTGTGTTATAGTATGGTGTTTCGTTTCGTTCAGCGGGCCATTTGTGTTGTTGAATGATTAAATGTATGCTCTGCAGAATACTGAAAGAAGATTCTATAAGGAGTCTGGAGGCCCCGCAAAGATTAGGGATGTTTTATATAGATCGAAGTAATATTTTATAGACTCTCGCGAAAAAGCTTAGTGAAGAAAATACTTTGTAAGAAAGTATTTTGTGAGATATAGAGAAAGAATATTCATAAATTTATTCTGATCCTTATCTCTTGCGGGTAGCTAGCAGCTTGTGAGGATGCTACTTGTCAAGATAGAAGGCCTGTTGACTAGGTAAGGAATTGACTATTAAATACTATAGGTTTATATGATATAAATAAAGATAATCTATATCTATAAATAGACTAATTCTTAGGAGATCAGTTATCTGATATTGAAAAATTATTATTTATATTTATTATTAGTTATTAATATGGGACCTAGACAGAAAGAATCAAAGAAATAAATATAGTATGTCCTAAAAATCATCTAAATATATAATAAGTAAAAGATATAGCTAGTCAATATATACTACTAACTTTTTTCTTATTATTTTCTATACTTAACTCTATACTAATATTATATTCCCTTGATTAAAGTTATACGTGAATTATATTCCAACATATCATAAAGCAATACAAAAGTCTTTTCTTATACTGCTAGCCGCTCAGAAATATTATTTTTGAACTAAACTAGGTTATGAATTTACTAGAGTCTTAGATAAAGCTATATATATATATACCAGTCCTGAGAATGCTGTTACATTTCTCAAAGTGACATAGAATAATAATATCTAATAGGAGACTTCGGCTCATATTCGGCCTGATCTAGCACTTAAGAGACTAATAAAAGAAGCTGCTTGTCCTTAGTTAGTTTCGGCCTCGAGCCTCTGCTCTTCATGCTCGGAGATCAGGAATATCATATTATTACCGTCGAAAATGGCTGCACAATAATATTGAACGGGGTTGTGGGGAAGGATCCACTTGGAGACGGTCGGACTGCTTCTACTTGTCTTGTTCAAATCTCCAGAAGGAGATATTAATGAAAGCTGGTGGTTGTGATGCCTTTATCGAGGTTGGAGGCTCAGCATCATCTGCAGGAGAACCCTGACCAAGGGGGTTGCTGGTATTATTCTGGGTAGTCGGTGCTACATGTTCGAGAATCTCCACTGGGGACTCCGGCTGTTCTTCACGTTGAGAAGCTGGCGATTGGTCTTGAGTCGGTTCTGGAACAACAGCCTGTGCTATATATGGGTTCCTATTATGCGTTACGTCCGCCGGTTGGTCGAGTATGCGCGAGAACATAGTATAAGCCTTTCTACCATATAGCTGCGCCAAGTAGCCTGCATGCAGAAAGTGCCCTTCCGCTCTCCGCTTTCTGGCCCCAGCCGTATCCACACAACGTTCAAGAAGCAAAAAGTCGGGTTCAGGATCATCCTGGTAGAATATCCACTTACGTCTAATGAAAGCCTTCAACGTAGCAAAAACATTCCTCGATCGGATTCAGGCCAGCCGGATATAGCGCAGGTATACGAATCTAACCCTTCTCGAGGCCCATTTGCTCAAGAGAATGATGAAAAGACGATTTGTCCATAATTAAGGCCGTGGGCTTTCCCACCTTTGATATCAGGCGTTTTAAGGATGAAGTCGTGTTGTGGCTCTCGTAGTGATCTTGGTAGTGCTTGTCAATATTTCTCAGAGAGATGGCCTGTCACAAAGCTAGGGCAAGCTTCGAAGAATCCTTTGTGGATTCCTGGGACCAACGAAGGTTCTCCTCGGGGCCCCGCCACTCCGGTTACTGCCGCCGCCATTCTTCGAAGCAAACGAACATAGCACGGAGAAGGACGATCAGATCTGTCATAATGCAGCATCTCAGCGGGAGACCTGCAATGGTGTAAGATGGGCTTCGGCATTGGGCTCAGCGGCTTCGAGATTTGATGGTGCATCACATGACCGTTCACGTGGTAGTTCGAATAGTGGACATTGCAGGGATTGGCTCATTTACTTCTAGTTAATGAAGAGGCATGGTAGAGGTCATAGTTACAGCCTTGCGCCACAAAGTCAGCTCCGCCTCATTCTCAGCCTTATCAACACCTAAGCGCCATCCCCCTCCAAGTCTTCATCTTGTCCATCATTTTTTTCTTCCGTTTTCAGGATATTATTATCTGTCTCAGACACACCGCTGTTGCGAAAGTTAACACATCCCAATTCACAGATCATGGAGGATGAAACGCCAAACAGACCATTCCCTGGAATGTTCGACTTCAGTTTCTTTGAAAACATGGCCCAAGTCAACGAATCGATTATGTTTTCGGGACAAATTAACAGTACAAATACCTGCGACAGTTACGACAGTGCAGTAGGGCTTACGGAGCACCATGTTGACCCTCGTCCTCGTCGCCCAGTATTTCCCTACAATTATGAGAACGCTGTTCCGACGCTTGCATCTGAGTTGCGGCTGCAAGCCAACAAGCCAAGGTTTACCTGTCAGCTGTGCCCGGAGAAAAATAGGAGGACTTATGGAGCTCGTAACAGTCTCAAGCGACACATATCAGAGCAACATTATCCACAATCTGAGATGAGTTGTCCATATAGGGATTGGGTAGGCACAAGTAGAGAGAAATTGCGTCAGCATTTCAAGTCTGCACATTCAGACAAAACATTGCCCACACGGACAGAATTGGAGGCCAACTTCAGGCCATATAAAGCTCCCATATCATGTGCTATCTGCAGAAAAGTTGTACGAAGCTGGGACGAATTTTACGACTGCTTGTTCAAGCATTGCGAGATGAAAGATATGGACTCCATGAGACAACGCCCCCCCGAAGAACAAACAGAGCTGCTAAACGGGTTAAATGTCCCTCTAACTTCGGCTGTACTACTGGAGATGCCAACAATGCCACCGAATGAACTGATAGTGAAAGCGGATGGCGACCTGGCCTGCGATGAACTCCTCAACAACTATCTCGACATCTCGGAATTTGTTTCCACATTTTCACTGGACATCTTTAAGAAAGCTCAAATCCCTTCCTATGATGTGGAACGAGCGGCCAGGCTGTTGTCGGATCTACCTGATGCTCTTTGGTATTTTGCGGAAAAACTGAGCTACAAGGGCTCCGAACCCTGCAAGAGGTTTGGGTTGATGGTTTGTAACCATTCAGTGTATGTATTCAGGACCAAGTCCTGCCAGATCACATACTGACAACAAATTTTCAAGCGACATCGCCGAGGCCGTATGCAATTACTTCACTGACGGAATCGCTGACTGTCCCTCTAATACAGGATGGTCTCTTAACTTAACAGCATCAGCGGATCTCAGCAGCTCAACAGCGAGCGGCCAGCTAAAATTACATTATTCAGAGCTCCTCGAACAGTTCCCCGCGTACCGATGGTTGATTGGCCGTGCTCGGAAGATTCTTACCTTAGACACCTTGGGCGACAATGTGATGCAAGATATCGCGAGAGCGTTTTCTCTCCAGTCTCCATCAAGCACAGTTGGTTGTATTCTTCCACCGACATTGTACGACGTTGATTTCGTACTTCACTGGGATCCACGGTCATTCCTCCGCGTGCAGGAATATGCGGGTGACCCAGTCAATATTTTCGACCATGTCATCACTTTGACTGGGGCCCCGAATAATGCACAGGCACTGACTTGTGTTCAATACATGCGTCAAACATGGCCAGAGAGTTCAGACTGTGTGGTCAACTTCTTGCACAAGTTGTTAGAAGTCAGAGAAAACCCCTATAGCTCAGGTTCGTTTGCCTCTTTGATTCTTCCTCGCACTAAGACGCCATTGGCTGATGCTACTAATAGGTTCGCTCCAAGATGGTACTGTTCTTACAGGAGCATTCGATGGTTCTGGGGTTGTGGTTCATGCTCGGGGACTCCAGCACGCCGTCGTCGAAATAGGCGAGCAATTGGCCTGGCTAGGCGCGGCGTTCCAGTCAGCACCCGATAATGGAATTGCGTACTGCCGACCAGTGTTGACAAATAAATATACCTCCATGACAAACCTGCGATATGAGCTCAAATTCACTTTCGAGGACAGACAATGTGAAGAGTCACTACGCAGCGGACGGTGCTGGCATACTCTATTCAGAAACCCCGTTGTAGTGTATGGCTTTCCTATTCGGCGACGACAATTGAGAAATACTGGCTTGGATATTCCACTAAACATTCTGGGCCGCCTCGTGCCATCGCGTCGCATTGCGCACTTCGGGGGAAAAGTCTGTATCAAGGGTCATTGCACGATCCTCGTGCCCACGAAGGTCGTAGATGATGCTGTGGTATGGCATATGATATGCAATGAGCATGGAAGCTATATGGATTATACCGACTCTCGTATTGACGCCATCCCCGGATTATACCCTGCAGGCATTGACACCAACCTCGTAGGTTTTCGGCACATTGTAGGTTGGTGCCCGGAAGTGCAAGTCGTCACAGGTATGCGGTGAACAAAATTGTATTTTTTGCCCTAATTTACTAACACTGCGGAACGCACAGCTTCACCAGGGGCAGATTATGGCGTCGACTGGTCTGGGTTGATTAGGGCCGACACCGGGTGCGATCTCCAAGATGTCATCATTTCCCGTGGTACCGTAATTCCAAATTATGAAACTCCGGCGATAGGGAAGAAAGATAAGCCTTCTCATTCTGAGTTCGGTGAATATCTCCACAAAATCCTGTCAATTACCAAGAAATATGCGGTCTTCTACGATGTGTCTACCAGACGAGCTTGGCTTGTCGATGGAGCGAGTGCTCTGCTACACCTGGTCCGGGCATCCCTATTCTTGAGTTCCTCTGAGGACCCGATGCAGGAGTTTGTTTTTAGAACCGAGTTGCTGGAGCAACATACTGGCCATGAGGGCGGGCGCGCTTTTGCCATATCCGTTCTCAGAAGTGAAAAGATCCTGAACCAGCGGCTGCATCGCAACATGCCAGAGACGTTCCAAGATAGGGTTGATGCGATATACCACTTATTAGAACAAGCATATGCATATCAAACCCGGACAAAACTTCATAAGGGCGCCGGAATAGCCCCTGGTCGCCAAGCCCGGAGACTTATGGAAGGATTTGACTTCATGGACTTGGCAGCAAACGAGGACCACTTCAATGCTCGTACAATGAGCGCATTTGACGGCCCTCCGAGATGGCACAGACTCACAGGAGCAATAAATGCCATTACTTTATTCGGCAGGGGCTTTGGTAATCTTCTGAAACCAAAAGAGATGGTGCCTGTCTGCTCCTCATGGACCACTGTCCCATCAGGCAAGGATTACCTCGCTGCGAGGGTTGAAGACATTCTAATAATTATGAGAAAGAAGGGAAACAGCTTGGGCTCGCCATGGCGCGTTATAGACAACGTCTATTGGCATATGCCTGACAAACTATTCGAGAATTGCCAATGCATTGAAGACGATTCTTCGAAGGAATACTGCAATCACGCCCAAGAACTACTAATTGGCCCTGAGATCACCAAGCACCCTTCTGGAATTATTAGTCCACTTAGATTAGAACCAGAGGGTGCTATTATCTTTGATGGCTCGCCTGAAACCGATCTCTTCCCGACTCCAGAGATATCGTTTTCCTCGACCTTGAGCGGATTCAAGAGCCCTGCCAATGACAGTGCGATCAGTGTTGGATACAGTCCCGATTCAGGCACTCAAGAAGGTAGTTCCTCAAAGGCTGAAGGGAAGCGACCAGTAAGTGACTGTAATACTGTACCAAATTCTCGGAAACGGATTCGTCGTGTTTCCTCAAACTCGAGCGGCGATATACTTCGTACAGAGAGAGCGCCAGATTTCCGCGGCCAGTCCCGCAATGAATTTTTCCTGACGTCCGGGTCGTCATCCCAGTGTTCTTCAGCGGACAGCCTCCGGGGGTCTCGAGTTGAAAGCAGCATTTCCAGCCGCATCACAGCGATGGAAAACGTGGAAAATATGGAACTGGACCCGGTTGAATACAAAGTTGGCTGGATTTGTGCACTGCAAACAGAGCTGGATGCGGCGCAAAGAATGCTGGACAGAATTCACACTAAGGGCTTCGGACATGGAATGGACTGCAATCTGTATATCCTAGGGCAAATCGGCCAGCTCAATGTCGTGCTAACCTGCCTTCCAATGGGCCAATATGGGAATAACATCGCAGCTGTGGTAGCCACGCGCATGATGAATCGGTTCCCTGAGATCTCTATAGGGTTGATGGTCGGCATTGGAGGAGGATTGCCAAGCGCAAAAAATGACATTCGGCTTGGAGATGTGGTTGTTAGCATTCCACATCTTCAGTACGGAGGTGTTGTGCAGTACGATATGGGCAAGTTTACCAGTGACGGTTTTATCACAACTGGCTCCCTCAAAGCTCCTCCAGAGAAGTTATTGCAGGTGCTAAACTTCATGCCCTCCCATGGTTCCCCGATTCCTGGGCTCCCTGATATCGAATACCCGGGTGTCGAACTAGATCAGCTTTTCGATTCATCTTATACTCACACCGTGGATGCCGATACTTGCATCTCCTGCGACGCTCAACAGGTCGTGCCGCGACCAAGGACCCGGACGACCACATCTCCTCGCGTCTTTTACGGGACAATTGCCTCCGGAAATTCAGTAGTCAAAAACTCGAAGATAAGGGAGATACTAATCCAGAAACATGGTGTTCTGTGCTGTGAGATGGAAGCCGCGGGCTTGATGAATACAAAGTTTCCATGCCTTGTTATTCGAGGGATCTCAGACTACGCTGATTCGCACAAGAACGAGATTTGGATGAAGTACGCAGCCGCTGCTGCGGCTCAATATGCTCGGGATCTTCTTCGGACAATGCCTGCAGATATTGCGCTTGCGAGTAAGTGAGGGTATACTGCACTGATCCTAATCCACTGGGGTGGTGCCCCGCATATGCGGCGACATTAGGGCTAAGCAGATTTATGTAGGTCAGATTTCTTGAAATTAGTTATAGTGGAAATAGAGTACAGTACCTTTTCTAATCCTAGGATTGCTTCCATGTCCCTGCTAGCTTAGCTTCACTGGTATACGTACCATCGAATTGGATCGAGGAGGTATCAGGCTGATGACTATCTAAGGAATAACTGGTCTTGGACAAAGAAGAGAAGTAAGGCCAAATAGTATCGTGCAGCTATTCGTAAATAAGTGCAGACGAGTGTTCTGTAGCTAAACTTCCAACTGTATGGTTACTTGAAGACAGTAGTAATGAGCACGAAGAACAGAACTAGCTAAATACATGAAAGAGCGTCCTTAGATAGATAGGTACATACATAGATAGTGGATTACGGTAATACTAGCGCGGCCAGGGCGCTCTTGCAGGGCACCTGTGGCCGGAACAAGTCTCTAAGCTGTGAAATCTAGCTGAGCAGGACTTTATTTCTATTTCTTATAATCTAATAATCTGAACACTCTTGAATAGCGACTGCATCCTCCCTCAATCCCAATAAAGTGATATGGAACGGTGGTTTGTGATACCCAGCAATGTACTTGGGAGATAATCATCTCCTCCTACTATCGGTTCACACGCAACCATTCACAGAGTGAAGTGAGACAGCCATCAAGTGGTGAGGAAGCGAGGGTGTATAATATCTCTTCGCAGGGAGGCAGGGGATATCTTGGCGACCAGAACCCAGATATACACTCAAGAGCGAGATTATCCGAAATGTGTTCTCCTTGATATATTACTGATATGGAGAAGGGCAGGGTAAAGATAGGATTTCTGGGGCTGACTTTGAGGGAACTCAAGCCCCCATGAGGAACTCGAAGTATGTCATCTTTATGATAGACTAATTTGTCTTGATCCGAACCCTGATTGCCACGAACGTGGTCCAAAGTTATTCAATAATTTTGATATAGCAGAAACATGGATATTTACTACATAATTATATATATATATATATATTACCGCTATATTTTTATACAGAGATCTGCTAATGGTCTCCGAACTCGATAATTTAATATTTCTATACTTGTTTAATTGAAAGTAGTTGTATAATTAGTTCTACTACTCAGCTTTCTTATATAGCCCCTGGAATAATTTAGAACGCATATACTAATATAGTTTGCTGGTAATATGATAATGTAAGTTCTCCAGTTATTATATTTAATAATATAACTTCGTAAAGACATGTAACCCTTATTAGTGTTGGATTTTTGACCCGAGAACCTACCCCAGCCCAACAACCCACGGGTGCAACCCGACCCAGTTCATCCTATATAGTTGTATTTTTGAGTCCAGAGCCAGTATAGGCTTTCTAAGATTTATAAACTTTCTCTATTACTGTATATTAATTAAGTACAATTTACGTCAGCAATTCTTGTAGGGGCTTTTTACAATTATTTATATATACTGTATATTAGCTATTATACGAGTTATATCTATATATTACACTGGTATTATCCTGTGTTTAAGCCAAGACTTCAGACAACAGAGAATAATGTTTATGTACATGTATATCAGGGTTTATCTGATATTTCTCTGTATTTTAGAGATGAAATTCCCCAGGCTAGGACTACTACAGCTAACTAGTACTGTAGTCAAATTGTTGAATCTAATGTTTTAACTGGGTAATATCAATCTTCAGTATTACATATTTTAATAAGAATAGATAGTTTATTATTTGATCTGGTAGTTATTTATAATTGAAAATTAGAGATGTCTCGATTAGATAGCGCAGTTTCTACTTCGAGATTTCCTCAACTCCTGAGATAATTAGAGGTTCTCTTATAAGTTTCTGGGCTTTGTGTGATCTGTTACCAGATAAGATTTACTGAAGTATTTACTATGCTGATATAAAGTAGTTACTACAGCATTAAGGAAAGAGACTATATGGTAATGCTGGACTTTAGAGAAGTATAGCGGGTAAGAGTAGACTGCGAGTGGAGAAGCAGACAAGGGGATTGTGAGTTGGGATACAGTTTATTGAGATTAATTGCTCAGTGCACTTAGTCTCCTGCTTGTCCTGTGCTTAATTACTTTAAGCTGCTCAGGGCGTGCTCAGGGCGTGTTCAAATCTATTCAGTAGGCAAAAAGCAGCGAAGTGTGAGTATCAAAACGGAAGGAGTAGGCCGTTGAGCCTTCTAGAAAATTAAGCATATAGGTATAATCATAGCCTATTCCCAACTCCGTCCAATCATTAAGTGTCCATACGCCATCTTCCATTATGACCCATTATTCCCTCATCCCCCAATCATATTTCCCCGTCCCCTCCGGCTCCTTTCCTGCCGGCTCTGTCTCAATCACCGTCTCTTGAGTCACCGTAATATCACGTATCTTTCCTTTCTTTCCCGTACCCACCAGCCCCTCCTCATCGCTTCCATATCCCGCCGTCGTCGTCCGCTCATGCACTGACAACCTTGTGCGAGACTTCTTCGTTGTCGTCTGTGTATGCCCTTCCCGACTCGCCAGCGGATACGACTCGCCCCGTCTGCGGCCATAGCTGCTCGTCCCCCCTCTTGCTGAACTAAACAGCACGCTAAGTCCAATCTTGCTTGCTCCCTTGCGAAGCAAAGGTTGGATGATGGGTAGGTTGGCCACGACAATGGAGACAAATGTCTCGCGACATGCCCATTGACTTCCTGCGACGGCGCCGTCGGGGCCGGCCTGCGGTAGTCAGCGTTTGGTTCGATGAATCATGGGACAAGAGTGGGTGATAGGGATGGTACCGTAAGGATCGTCACGGCGCGGATTATACCCGCCATGATGATAAAGGCCGCGCTGCTGAACAGTGTCATGAGTGTGATCTTCTGGCGAATGCTGATTTTGACTGCCCAGAGGAGGGGAAGTGGGATGGACATGAGGTAGAGGTCGGTTATCACGTTTGGAATGACGACGATGAGAACGCTAAGGGTCGATTTGGTCGGTTGGCAGATATCTAAGGTAGTTCGCTTGTTAATGGATGATCTCAACGAGGTAGAGCTGCAGCAACGAGTGGATGAGGAACTTACTCCCTGGGTTGGGGTTGATTTGCCAGTTCTTGTGCATCGGCTGACAGCCTAGCACGATGGTCAGACCGACAACGAGATAAGTCACGCCGAGTAGGATGTACGCAAAGCGAACGCGTGCAGGGAGATGATTCAGTCCGGACCTAGACGGTCAGTTAGTTTCGTCGACGTGAAATCGGAGCAGATGCCATACGTGAGGCGAGAGTAATAAATGGCGACGCAGAACTTGATCAACCACAGTATCATGGCGTACAGCGACCATCCAATGACCTGGATCTTAGATCCCCATTGCCGATCGTAGTGCTCTTTCGAGCTCGGGTCCAGCGCTGCTCGTTGCTCATCGGTCATGTAGCTGTTTGTGAGACCGTTGAATTTGCTGCGGACAAGATGCGCTGCGACAGTTTCGCCAATAAAGACGGCCTGCATTGGTCAGAACAGAACGGTCGGATTGTCGGTGTGAGTGAACATACTCCTGCCAATGGCATCAAATAGTCATCGACAGCAAAGTTCAGGGGCCCGCCGACTTGCGACCAGCGGACGTAGATTCGTATGATGATGAAGAACAACCCCAACGAGAGGAGGGTGAACGCCTCCGTATCCCCATTAGCCATGGTGAACTGGCAGACAGGATGGATTCCGACTAAGTGCCAAGGAGGCCGCGCCAGTGCGAGAATTTGTGCGCATATTAATTTTATAACCCATCCCACAGTCGGTTGTTTCTGCAGACCAGAAAGGGGCAACGCCAGGATGCAAATCATCCATATTCTGGAAATGCCAAGGTCATCGAAAATAAATTTTCTGACCGACACTCAAGGCAATCTTACAGCGAAAACCTAACCTTAAGTGACAGCCTGTTATTGGACGTGTGTTGGACCTAGGGGTGAAGGTTAGCTCTACCGCGTGCGCTAGAGCCACGATCCGGGGAACGAGACAGTGGCAGCGGCCAAGGTGAAGCGGAAGTCAGTCCGGTGAACTCTATCAGTGCAACGGACACGCTGCTATGAGCACCAAAGTGGAGTCAATTTCGTATCTCGGAATCGGGCAGTTGTTCCAGACACGCTGATCGCGACCCACGCGGCACTGGATTGACGTTTTTATCCCGTAAGAGGTAGGGAGGGGCGACACACCAAGCCCATTGTCGACGACGGCGTTTACGTTGACAGATAAGTTCCCCTGTAGTGGAAATCCTCTGAGAGGTGAGAAAGCTTATCTTGTCGTACTCGTAACAATGCTGGATAGGGCTTCTGATTGAGGAAAATGCTGAATACTTGCGAATCGCGCTTGAAAAAAATTCGAACCCTAAATGTCAATAGCTCGGGATTAAACCGAGACAGCCGCCATGATGGAAACAAAAGCCATTCCCGCTCTCAAGTTTGGGTCGGTCGGGAAGCGCCCCTGATCCATCAATGGTCAGAGCTCATAAGGAAGCGGACCTCAGTGGGTCTGAAGCTGCCGGATTTGAGGCAGATGGATTCCGGGAGTCGGAGAACGACAGGATGTTGAGAGCAGAGATAGCGGTTGTTGGGTGATTTGCAGCTAAGATTGGTCAGTTGCTGTTAGACGCTAGACGACGACTTCACCATCCAAGTTATATAGTGTGTTGCCTGGAGATATAGAGGTATAGGTCAGCATTGACGATCTTAAGTAAGCTCCTTGTGGTCCGCGATGGTTTCACTTTGTTAGGGTGCCAAAGTATCACCCTTACGATCGAATTTTCAACCATGGTTTAGAAACTTGGCAGCACCGTAAGTGTCGATGACCACCGTACTCCCTGTTATATAGCGATCTTTTCCAAGGACGGAGACGCTTGAAAAGGCAACTCACGGGTAGCAACAGACAAGGTCGCATGGTCAGTAGATTGGCCTCATGGGCAACGAGGTCGAAAAAAGAAGTAGAGACCTTACCGTTCAGTTGGGCGCTAGTTCTTAAATAGTGTGAGGGAATAAAGAAGACGGAACCAGACGGAAATAGCTCTACTATTGGATCGACAATGAATAAATGCAAGATCTACACCTGCAAGGATTTAGCGGACCAACAGTTCGGGACTGGTGACACCAGGAATGGGTAAGAGGAGATGAGCAGACGGACAGCTGCAGTAATTGTGGTAGAGGACAGGGGTCTCTTCCTTTTGGTAAAGTGGATACCTTGGCATAGGACCACAATGAGAACTGAGAATTAGGCATTTACTGCCAGTGCATGAGCAATTGACGCAGTACTTACGAACTAACCGTACAACGACAAAGCAACCCAGAAACCTAGTAGTTTATAAAACTTGACAAAACACACCAAATACCACAACCACAGTTTACCCACTTTCTGGCGTGCACAACAACCCATCCCATCAATCTAGATAGCCGCGTGTCCATGTGTCTCGAACGGCAACCCAAAGCACACTACCCCAACAACAACCCACAGCGCAGCACTGGCATATATCGGCGCCGGCGTGAACCCAGTCTGTGAGGCAATCAAACTAGCACAGAGCCCACCAAACCTCAACAACGAAGCAGCAGTTCCAGTACCGGTTCCACGATGCGGAGCGGGGAAGGATTCGGGAGTAAAGGCATACATGATTGCGTATTCTGCGATGATAATCAGTAAGCTGGAAAGTTATAAAGATGTAGGACTGAGGTACACGTACCGAAATTCCCCAACATGCCTGTTACACATGCGAACGCTAGACTTGACGTTGGATTACTGACGCCCACATACGCGAAGAGGAAGACCCCCGTGATGATGGACGAAATACCCATCATCCAACGCCGGCCGAAGAAAGTGGTTACCAGGTAAGCTGCGGAAAGGGGCCCGACTACGCCGACGGCGGATTCGATGCAGTAGTTTCGGTAGGTAGTGTAGAGGGAGTCGGAGGAGGAGAATTTTGTGTCGAGGTAGGAGGGAAGGAAGTTGAAGTAGAGAGGGTAGGCGATTCCTGCGTACTTGATTTAGTTTACATGGTTTTAATGTTATAGAAGGCGGATGCGACACGTACCGATTGTCAACCAAATAAGCCAGATGATACCAGTATGAATACCAAGTTTCCTCGTGGCAAAGAGAGCTTGGTAGTGTGTCGACCGGAAGTCTTTCATGTTCTCCTTAATGATCTCCTTGGTGCTCAAGCCCGGGCCTTGTGCTGAAGTGTTGGATTCATTGGCAATTCCCAGTCGGGCATCGATCTCCTGGAACATGCCTATAGTGAGAGGCTCAGGCTTGCCATTCTGGCGTGCGACGTAGTTGACAGACTCGACGGCGGCTTGGTCCTTGCCTTTGGAAAGAAGGTAGCGGGGGGTTTCGGGGAGCTTGAAGATGAAGACGCGGATGATAGTGAAGGCGAGGGAAAGGGCGCCTAGAGTGATAAGGGTGTATCGCCTGCATCTATTAGATGCTTGAAGTAGCAGATCAATATTTGGAAGACATACCATCCCATATTGTCGCTGCGATGGCATGTTGCTGGTGTAGAATCGGTTGGACAGCTATAGTTGGCAAGGAAGACCCATGCCAGGAGCGACACGATTAGTTGGCCTAAGTTCCACCAGGCCGAGAGAGCTGTCAGGAGGTATTGGTGACTAGTGGCTTTATTAACGTTCATTCTTATCAATAGACTGAAGGGATCCTTACCTCCCAGGAACAAACTCCAGAAAGATCATCGAATCCACCGGGACATTCCCACCCGCTGCGGTGCCGATGACGGCCCACATAGCACTGAACGCTAGAAAGTTCATAGTACCAGCAGCACCACATAAGAATATACCTGCAATCAGGAGGGTCGAGTTGAACGCGGGCTTCCGGCCGATCAAGTCACTAGAGATACCCCAGAACGAAGCCCCAAGGATCAAGCCTGTATAGTAGGCCACGGAGCTGTAGCTGACCTGGACGATGCCGGGGAACTCGAGCTCGATAGGAGGCTGGACGCTGCTTATGCCTTGTGATGCGAACTATGTCTCTCGTCAGTGGAAGCAAATCCTCATTGTTGAATAGCGACACGAACGTTATCCACAATCCATCCGAACCCCGTCACGACGAAGAGCTTCCACTGGAATCTGCACTCATCAATACCCATTTCACACTCACTACCACGGTGAATAGGAGCTCATACCTTCCCATTCCAATTTCCTCCATACATTTACCCACCAACTCCGACTTCAGTCGATATGCTTCTGTCGTTGAGGAGCCATAGAACTGCTGCACATCAGGGTCATCCAGTATGACCCCCTTCTCTTCGCCCACAATACTGTTAGCATATTGCTGAGCTGGATCACGCTTCTTCTCCTGCTGTATACTGTCCATTCTGATGGATGCGTGTGCACTAATGTGAGCGTAATGGCATCAGACTCCGGCGATCAAATAGGACTCGACATAGGTAGGATTAGGGTTGCTGTACGGGTGCCTGGACCAGGTTCAGTGCGCTGACGCAGCTGATTACGGCTAGTTACACGAGATCAATATCTTATCGATTGTCAAGGGTGGGGGATCGCTATCAGTGCCAGCTCGTGTGGCTGCCGTTTAGACCTTCACCTCCACTCCTGAGTTTAGGTATCCGGCCACTGGTTATCGAGGATTGGTAATCAGTTATTGGGATTGACAGAGGGTATTAGCCACAGGTTGAGTTTCTTGTGTAGCTTGGTGATACTACGACATATGATGAGGTTCGTATAGATGATAATGTGGTTAAGATGGTGGTCATAATTCATTGGGATTGAAGCAAGAAAGCTATGGACAAATATACAACAGCTAGTACATGCATTGTTTAGGCACCCACCGCCGCTGTAGCCGGGGCCGTTTCCATCTTCATCTTCGCCTTTTCCTCCATCTCCTTCTTATACTGCTCCGCTCGTCCGTAGCTCTCCTTGTACGAAGCCGTCACCATGTCTTCAACAGTGATGGGTGGATACTTGGGTGCCTCACCCTCTGCGCGGCAGTTGGGCAGACACTCGCACAGGTAATCCGGGTTTCCACTGAAGAAGAACGGAATTGAGTACCGCTCGCGGCCGGACTTGTTAATGACGCGGTGAATATTGGATTTGTACCGGTCGTTGGCCATGCGCATGAACAGGTTGCCGAGATTGACTACGTAGGCGCCGGGGACTGGTTGAACCTGCATTGTGGCCCCGTCAGACTGCGCCCCTCTAATAAAGAAAAACAGGGAAGTAGCACTCACATCAAGCCATTGACCAGTAGGTGCATCGAGGACCTGCAATCCATCCACCTCATCCTGCAGAAGCAGCGTAATGCACCCGAAATCAGTATGTGCGCCAATACCACGGTTTAGCTTCTCATCTGCATCCTTAGGTTGCGCAGGGTAATGCAGCATGCGCATAGTTGCGACCGCGCCATCGGTGAGTGGATCGAAATAATCCCCAGATACATCGAGAGTCAGAGCCAGAAGAGACAGGACGTCCTTGGCCAACTCAAACACCGCATTGTAGTATTCCATCGAGGTGCGCTGAAATTCTTCCTTATCGGGCACGGTCGGTGGCCACTGGTTTGGACCGCTGTTGAGCTTCTTCTGGATGTAGTAGGGATGGTCTTCAGGAATTTCCTGGCCGATGTACAAGCCTTCTTTGAGTTCGGGACCGGTGCCGACTTCGAGCATCTGCGAGCGGAGGAGTTCATAGCCGCGGTTGAAACTATTGTTGTCTAAATTCAAACTCTTGGTTAGTGGGGCTTAGGACGAAAGTTGAAAGGAGGTGGTTACTTTTATCGATCTTGAGCTTCTCTTCCAGCGGGAGTTCGAAGAAGCGCTCGGCACAGCGCATCACACGGCGCTGTAAGTCGAGTGGCACGCGATGGCCGGTGATCTGAAAGAAGCCATTGTACAGGCAGCAGTTGCGGACAGCCTCGACCAGTTGGGTTTTGGCCTCGCTGTCGACCCCGTAGAAGGCGGAGAAATCGAGAATAGGGGGAGCGCTGGGAGCCATTGCGTCGGTTGGTGTTCTTGCTGCTTGTTGCTGATGCTATTCTGGTATCTCAGGCGAATATATCCAGCATCAGTAGGCTTTAGCGATCCATAATTCGAGCACAATCTCGGACAAAAGTCCGATCAGCTTGCTGATTCCCTCCATTTTCGGGAATGGTATAGACAAGAGTGGGGGTAGGATGGGGAGACGATAAAGCTTGCAAAGGTCGGGTGATAAGAATGCGGAGAAGCTGAAGGATGGCCACTTCTTGCCACTTCTTGCCACTTATCGCGGGATCCTGAAGCTGCAGCTCGATAACCCCAGATCGGCACGGGTGGCCCAATCGGGCAATGCCTGTGCCTCCTTGCAGGTTACACGGATAGCAGACAATGTCATTGGTATATAGAATGCAGCCAGCTGGCAGCTGATCGGATCTGAAATGAGCGCTGTCCCAATTTCATTCTCGTAATGGCTGCCACCGATACCGTGAAAAAGGAGGAGGCCATTTCGGCCGAGCCTGCCATGAAGTCCGGAGAGAGTAGTATCTACATCGACCGCGATGCGGAACGGTCGTATGGTGAGTAAGATGAGTTACTTCTTGCTGCGGATACTGAGTTTTCCAGTGCGAAAGGTGGACTTCTTCGTCCTGCCACTCCTCTGTTTGGTGAGCATGGTGTGCATGGTGTCCAAGATGGCGACCAGCTACTGACAGTGTAGATGTACTTTTTTGACTGCATGGACCGCGTATGTAGTATCTTTACGTAGACTCGGGTCTACCGCTAATGAAATCTACTCAGAGTAACCTGGCAAACGCGAAAACTGATGGTCTAGACGAGGATATCCACCTGGTCGGGAATGACTACTCGCTGATGGTGTTGTTATTCTACATCCCATTCGGGCTATGCGACTTGCCATGGAACCTGCTTCTTAAGCGGTACTCTGGACGCTATGTGCTGTCTTTTAGTAGGTTACCCTATTGTATCCTCTGAACTTAGCTAATTTGTCAGTGACTGTGGTCTGGGGAATACTCGCCCTCTGCCAATGTGCCGTCAAGAATTTCGGGGGGATGATCGCTGTGCGGATGATCCTAGGGTGAGTCTCCTGCCATTAATCATATCACGAACTAACATAGTTAGAGTATTTGAGGCAGGCTTCTTCGCTGGGGCTACATTCTATATGACACTCTTCTACACGCGCGGCGAGATGGGCTTCCGGCTGGCCATCATGCAGTCCTTCGCTGTGCTCGCCTCTGCCTTCAGCGGACTTATCTCCTTCGGCGTGTTCCAGATCCATGACCCCGCCGTGAAAGGCTGGCAATGGCTGTTTATCATCGAAGGCTCGATGACCTTCCTCATGGGAATTATCTCGTTCTTCTGGCTGCCCGGAAATCCGCGTACTGCATGGTTTCTGAGCGAGCGTGAACGGGCTGCGGCAACGGCACGGCTACTGCGCGACACCTCCGCCGAGGTGGACACCAAATTGGATCTGAAGGTAGCTTTCGAGACATGGAAGGACTGGAAGTTTCCTATTTGGTGCATTATCACGTTTACCTATCCAGTGGCATATGCGACCGCGATGAACTTCTTCCCGTTGGTACGGACCTGACCTTGCTCACTGCCAGAGACGAGAGCTAACGGAACAGATTGTCGAACGGCTGGGCTTTTCAACTGTCAAAACAAACCTTTGGACGGTCGCTCCAAACCTTGTAGGCGCGGTGGTGCTTCTCTGTGTGGCCAAGTCGTCGGACCACTTCCGCGAGCGAACCTTTCACATTGTGTTTTCGCTGGTGATATCGCTCGTCGGAATGGTCATCCTGGCGACAATCGATGTCCTGAGCCACAAGGGAGTAGCGTATTTCGCATGTTTCCTCATGGCAGCCGGGTCGTATATCCCGTCGTGTTTGGTGCACGCATGGCATAACAACAATAATATGCATGAGAACTCGCGTGCTGCCAACACGGGTTTCTTCGTAGGGTTGGGCAATTTGGCGGGGATCTTAAGCGCGGCGACGTTTCGCACGCAATACGCTCCAAAGTAAGTAGTGCCACTACCTGGTACGTAGAGACGACTGACTGTCTAGGTATGTCCCCACGTTGGTGGCCACCTGCTGCTGCAATGGGGTGTGCATTGTGGTTGTGATCGCATTGGGCCTGTGGATGCGACGGGAGAATCGCCGACGCGATCGCCAACAAGGCCGAAGAGTGCGTCCGGGAGAAGTGGATACACGTCAGTTGGCAGAGGGGGAAAGCAGCCCGGACTGGCGGTACTTTCTGTAAACCTAGCACTTAGCAGCAAGTAAGGTTAGAGATCTAGATAGGCCTATCTCGATTGGTGTGGTTTCATTGATAGCTCCGGGATGGCATTCCTGAATTAATAATAATGGACTAGCGATAAGTGAAACCTTGTCCCCGCAGAAGGTCATTCGTCGATTGTATCGCCAGTCCGCATTCCTGCTTCTCCTCTTTTTCCCTTCAGCTTATCACCGGCTTCGGCCTACCCGACCGGCAGATAAATGAGGTCTTATCCCCAGGAGAAGAATCCCTGCATGTATTCTTCTCCTCCTGTATCGCTATATCATGAGCCCCCATGAAGTCCCACGTGTGCCACTGGCCCAACTGCGGCAAGACCTTCACTCGCGCAGAGCATCTGCGTCGCCATGCCCTCAATCATGACCAGGCAAGGCAAGGCTATACCTGTGAGCGGTGCTCCGTGCATTTCCACCGCCCGGATCTACTAAGTAGGTGCTGTGCTACTGCAAGCTATCTCGACTCCTTGTCTGACCCGCCAGATCGCCATCTGATGCGCCATGCCAAACGGGACGAGGAAGCTGGAGGCCCTGGTCAAGGAGTGCTGGAGACGAGGAAACGTACTCGCCGTGCGGGAGATGGCTCCATCATTACTCGCCCTCCAAAGCGTCAGTCGCGCGCTCGTGCCAGCCACAGCTTGCCTCCATCGTCGTCGGCCTCTTCCTCGTCGATTTCCGTGACCAGCGCCCAGGACTATGGTGCTCCTGTGTCCCCGCCGACGTCAGCGAGCGACCCATCGTCCATGACGTTGGACGAGCCCGATCCGCTACTGGCTCCGATGATGCCCAGCGGACCATTCGAGCCCTATGTCGAGCCTATCCCAGGGCAGTTTGATGCGGCAGATGGCTCCTGGAGTCTGGGACTGGACGGGATGGGCGATTTCTTCAGCCTTGACACTGGTAATTCCCCCTGTTCATACTTAATCACACTCCAGCTGACCAAGCAGCTACCGATTTCAACATGCCTTTTGCGGCCACTCATAATTACAACTGGCTGTTCGACGTCGCCTCTCTGGACGACGCCTTTCCGCCCTTCGACCTCCCACTAGGTCCAGACATGGTCACCTTCGCCGAGGATGCCCTCCCTGTCGATGATCCAAAATCATTCCTCGACCGCGACGGCTCCTCAGTCCTCCTGCAGGCAGCCTCTTTCGTAGAACGCAGCGACCCGCTCGTCTTCTCCGCGCCCATCCTAGATCCTCCACCAGATACCATCAACCTCGATTGGATGGACGCGCCCTCCCTCCTCCAAACCACCCCCCAGCCCCATCTTCCCATCTTGACAGAAGAATCCCGTCAAGGCATCCTCAACCTGATCGCGCAAGCACCACCCCTCGCCATCGACGGCCAACCCACCCCGCTGGACTCCCCTCTCCTCTCCCTTCCCTCCCTCCAATCCTACAGCGACCTTTTCTTCACGCGCTTCAACACAACCTACCCCCTGCTCCACCAACCCACCTTCGACCCATCATCCACCACCCCGGTCCTTCTCGCCGCCATCCTCTCCATGGGCGCCACCTACAGCAGCCGCGAAGCGCACCAACTCGCGGTCGGCATCCATGACTCCCTCCGCAACCAACTCTTCTGCCACGCGGACTTCTCCCCCCAGCCTGACCTGTGGGTCCTTCAGGCAATGCTCCTAATCGACTGTTTCGGCAAGATGCGCGCGGGGCCGAAACAGCGCGAACGCGCCCAGCTCTTCCACTGCGTGTTGATCAAGCTCATCCGGCGGAGCGATTGCTGCGCTATTCGCCACACCCCGAACCCCACTACCACTACCGACACAGACATCGACACCCTCTGGCGCACCGCCATGCACGACGAGCAGAAGAAGCGCGTCGCATTGCACTGCTTCATGTGGGATACGCAACACGCCGTCCTCTTCTCCCAGTCCCTATGCATGTCAGCCTTTGAAATCAGATCCGCTCTGCCCTGTTCCCAGGGGACATGGGAAGCATGCACGGCCAGCGACTGGGCGCATCATGCATCTATGGAGCCTCCACCGCGGATGTTTCTCTCCGTGCTGAAAGGGTATATTACCCCCTCTGCGATGGCTCGACCCCGCGATCTGAATACCCTGGCGCGGATCGTCATCCTGCACGGGCTCATGTCCGTCTCAGCGGACCTGAAAAGACGGGACCAGACAACCTTACGAGCGGAGACGCCCGAGCGGGTCGGTGCGTGGACGCGACGCATGGGGAGATCATATGATCTATGGAAGGTGGATTTTGATGCGGATTGCTTGGCGATGAAGTTGAATTTCGGACAGCATCCTGGGGAGGATGTGGCTGGGTCGAGACGAGGTGGAGGGGTGTTCACGGGGCTGAAGATGGCAGCGTGTGCGCTGTACCGGGCAGCCTGGCTGGCGCTGCAGGTAGAGATACTGGATTTGCAGGTCGCTGCCGGGGCGGGGAGGATACTGGGAAGGACAGTGACGGAGGGAGATCGGGAGAGGTCGCGACGGGGATTGAAGAAGTGGTTACTTGGTGGCGGGGAGGGGGCTTTGGGAGCTGCGAGACAGGCGGCGAAGCTGCTGGAGGAGGCGGTGCTGAGTCTGCATGATTGGGAGCAGACGGATGCGTTTCATTTCCCGTGGTGTTTGTATTTGGCGACGTTGACTTGCTGGGCGTTTCATGGTGGGGTGGGTGGTGAGGGCCAGGGAGGTGGTGAACGTCCTGGGGAGAGGGTTACGACGGATCTGGCGAGTTTGATCGTGGCCATGACGACGTGTGGGAGTTTGGGGGATATGGCGGCGCTCGGGGGAAAGTATGATACGAGGGGGTTGGTGAGGACGATGGCGCAGCAGCTGGCCACGGTGAGGTGGGCGGTGGTGCATGATGCGATGAAGGTGTTGGTGAATTTGGGGAATTAACTGTAGTTCTCTAATCTATTACTGATCCAAATATGTATGTGGGCTACCTACTTGAGCTTAAACCCTTGATTCTCGATAGCTTGCCGAACTTTCTCCCTCCCACCCTGGTCCTGCGACGCAACCATGCCCGCAACGAACTCTCCCCAGCCCTTTCGCCCGGACTTGGCCTCTTCTTCGTAAAACGTCCCCAGCGCCTTATCATACGACTCAACGTTGTCCTTCTGCCCCTCCTCGTTCCACCGTTCGAAATGAAGTACCTCCCGCATCGGCAAGCGCGGTTTGATCCGCCTACCACAGCGCCTATTCTCCGTATCCGGATACCCAATAGCCATTCCAAACACACCCCATGTCAAAGGTGGCAGATTCAGCAATTTACAGACCTCCTCGGCATTGTTCCTCAGGGCACCGACATAGCAGATCCCCAAACCTAGTGATTCCGCCGCGATGGCAACGTTCTGCGCCGCGATGGCCGAATCCACGGTGCTCATGACAAACATATTCATGCTATCAAGCGCGTTGGCAGACTGGTGACCATACTGCTCCGAAAGGTTCTTCAGGCGGCGGAGATTGGGACAGAATACCAGAAACAGAGGAGCTTGGCGGATGAAGTCCAGGTCGGCTGCAAGCGATGCGACGTTGGATTTATGCTCGGGATCTTGGATAGCGATGACGTCCCATGTCTGCATAAGGGAGGAGGAGGAGCCACTTTGAGCTGCTGAGATGAGTGTTTCCAGTGTTCCTGGGGGTAGCTTGGAGGGGAGGAAAGCCCGACAGGATTTATGAGAGAGAATTGCGGACAGGGTAGCGGGCAAAGGATTGGAAGGGTCGGTTGGGAGAGGAAAGTTAGAGGATTGTGAGTCGCGGTAACGCTCTTCAGCGAGGGATGAAATTGTCCTGGTCATTTTGAGGGTTGTTTGTAAGGCATGTAAAAGAAATAAGATCGAAAAGGAGGGAGGAGAACGGTAATGTGCTCATCTTATAGAGCTTTTGAGCAAGCCCAGGCAGTGTCTTCCATGGGGTGGATATCATTTCAATGCTGTGGGGGCGCGCAAATATCAATGATTGGTGAGTTCTCGTTCAGTGGGTCTCTAGAGCCGCGGCTGAACCAATCACAACACACTGTCTTCCCATAAATGGCCCAGAGGCTCGAGGCTGCCTTTAGATGGTCCAAAGAGAGCTGCAGATATTGTCTTGATCGCATTATTAATCTCTGTCCATCGGAATCACCCCTGATCAAGCAGAAGCTGGAGACCAACAAGACTGGCTTCTGGGTCTTCAGGTGCAGAACCGATAATTCTCCAAACCCTGTCTAACCTCTTCTGTACCCAAGCTGCATGTCCACCTAGCTTTGCAGCAGATATTGAGGCGACAACATCCTGGAAAACTTCCCTCTCCTCAGGCCTTATGGCAACAGAGCCGAGAACAGCCACGGGCCAGAGTAGATATACGGGTGGGTAAATATCTATTTCCAACGCAGGTACCCGCTGTAAACCCCCTGCTAGACAAGAGTGCACTCGCCGGACCCGTTCACTGGAGGTGATGTTCGGATTCACCTTTTGGAGTAGGATTTGAAGTGCTAGGTAGCATAACGCGAGAGACATATCTGCTGAACAGATGAGATGACTCCAGCGCGACAACTTAGAACTTAGACTTCGCCACTTGGCCACTTCAGCACTATCAAGCGGTCTTGATAGCCGGGATAGTTTCGTAACATCGGCAATGAGTAAAAAGAACTTGTAAGACGCCTGCAGAACAGTCTCTCCTGGCGTAGAGTCTGACTTTGTGGACTGATCAAAATAAAGCGGGAGCTCCAGCTGCTCTCGATTATCCGGGAGCGCATCAAGTGACGGGTCAAAGATCATCATGAGGCATGCTTGGTATAGAAATGACTCGACGCATATGCGATCAAACGTGGCCGCAGCCTTAGTGCGAAACTCGCAGGGTCGGCGTTGGGTAAGTAGGAGGCCCGCGGCCGTGACATGCGGCGCCACAGTGGGTGTCGCATCTGATCGGCAAGACTACAGTTATGGAAGTTAGCTTGTTTACACGAATTTAGGAAATCTGGCACATGCCTCGAAACAGGCGAGCAGAGACACAGTTGCGAGGATCCGATCATCACAGGCAGCTTTGGTAATATCAGTCAGTGACATTTGAATGGCATGAATTGCATGCAGATAGCTCTGCAGGGCAAGATGGGCAGGCCACCGGTCTTTGGTTGGCAGCTGCATTCCGGCCACAGCCACCATTGCCCCAAAGAGAGGAGAAAATTGGAACGCGAGGCGGAGCATGTGTGTCTTGTCTAAAGAGTTGCGTCGAACAAAACGCGGTAAGATCGTGGAGGCAAAATATCGATATAGGTAGGTGGACTCCGATGATGAAAAAGGTGCCGGCATCATGATGGGCGGAGGGAGTTGTATTAGCGACACTCCTGGTGGCGCTACTGCGCGCACCATGGTCTTAATACTCTTGTATTGCCGGGATCTGCCATCTGGGAGCTGATTACCCTCAGAGGGCCACTTGCATTCCAGCGAGTTTCGAGTGCATGCGGTGCAATGCGGACGAGACTCGTCACACTTCTTGCGGCGCTTTCGACCTAAATTTGCCTGGATGAACAAGAGACCTTCTTTTTTGATTTGATCATGTGGGGATCCTAGCTTACATGACAAGCAGCCATTTCTGGTTCGCAGGCGGGCTGGAGGCATTGCAGCGCGTGGTGCAATTCCACGGTGGTAGTGTCCTACTAATCTTTGAATGGGGCGTGGGTGTTATTTAGAGGTATGTTTTCATTGTTTTCGAATAACGGGTTCATCGCAACTGATGGCAAGGCTAAAACACCACAAGGAAAATATTTTTGGAAGCTGGTAGAGTTGTGAAGGCTATTAGTAATCGGAACAAAGCAAAAGCTTCGACATCTGGAGAGGCAACATCTCGGTTCGGGAAGCTTAAGCGTCTTTCCGCACATATTCCGCAGAAAGGGCCACCATTTCGCGGCTTCTTCTGCCGGCAGCACTTCGCTCATTGTTTCGATGTACATATCGAAGAGATACTTGTTCAACTTGTTCGTCTGTTTCCATCGCTCAAGAGGCACCCAGCCACTGTTATCCGTGCCGAACTGGTCCTTGACAAGATCCCACAGATACACACTATCTTTGAGTCGCACCTGTTCGTCGTGCCGCTTAAGTTCCTCTTCACTAGATTTGAATGGATAGCTACTGGGGAGACTAAAATTGCTCCCAGTCCTTAGTAATTCGCATTAAGTCATTCCGTAGTGGAACCGAGGACCGTTTCCAAGCAAGCTGACAACGGGTGGAAGGCTCCCATAGCCGTCGATCAAATGCCATTGCATTGAAGACTGGATTACGCTAAGCACAATATTTCATAATCGACGACAAGTAAGTATACTACAAATTCAACTTCGGGTTACCTGCTACTATACATTACAATTCAATCCTGTTGAACTGGCAGTGATTTATATATATTTTGGAGGCTACTGAACCTGAGTAACAGGAGTAGGGCGCTAGTATTTCGCGGTAATGAAGGACTAGTACTGCCCAAGGTTGCTACAATTATATTGTTCCATCGGATAAGTCATCCAAACATTCTCCAACCATCTCGAAGCTCTTTTGGTTGCCACTGATTGAGTACTGGTATTATTATAATAGCAGGCCCCTTGAGTGTGAAATGTCTCACTTAGGTATCTATCTATAAGATCGTCTATACACTCAATGCCGGATAATCCGTATACCCCTTCTCCTTCGGGTCAGCTCCATAAAATGTCGCCCGGTCATACTTATTCAACTGTGCACCCTCCATCAACCTCTTAGGCAGATCAGGGTTGGCAATGAACCACCTTCCAAAAGCCACCGCATCCGCCCCATCCTCAACGACCTTCTTCTTCGCTCCCTCCCCATCAAAGTTCCCAGCCGCGATGAACCCAATTCCCGCCTGCTTGAAGATAGTCCTGAACGGATCCAAACTGACCTTTCCTTGTCCAGGCAACGAGCCCATTTTGGCCCCCTCATCCAACACCTCATCAAATCGTGGTTCGATCATATGTGCGTACGCTATTCCGGGGGTCTCTTTGGCAATCATCTGACAAACGACCTGCCAATGACCCTGCGGATCCGAATCCCTCGTGTCTTGGAAATAGTTATACGGCGACAAGCGCACGCCAACCTTATCCGCACCGATAGCATCACATGCAGCCTTGATCGCCTCGATGACAATTCTCGCTCTCTTCTCCACGGTTCCTCCGTACTCATCTGTACGGTTGTTCACGTTATCGTGCAGGAACTGATCGAGTAAGTACCCGTTCGCAGCATGCACCTCCACGCCATCGAATCCTGCCTCAATGGCACGCGTCGCAGCAGCGGCGTACTCTGCCACAGTGGCCTGGATTTCAGGGATGGTCATTGCGCGGGGTGGAGTAGCCGAGTATGGCTCCCCGGTGAGTGCATTCCCGGTCATGGGAATGTCGCTGGATGAGAGGGGGGTTTGGCCCTCGATAAAGGCCGGCACCGTTGCGCGTCCGACGTGCCATAGTTGGCAGACGATGAGGCCGCCTTTGGCGTGGACAGCGGAGGTGACATCTTTCCAGGCGTTTATCTGGGAGCGGGTGAAGATTCCAGGGACACCAGGGTAGCCAGCTGCCTGTGCATGTACAAATTAGGACTTATGTATCAAAGGTAGGAATGTGGTAGCATACATGGCGGCTGATGGGGGTTGCTTCGGTGAGTTGAAGACCACCGGGAGATGCTCTCTGGCTATAGTATTCGGTCATGAGGGCGTTAGGGACATAGACGCCCTCTGATTCTTGTGTGGCACGCATCCGCGTGCATGGTGCTTGGACGACGCGGTGAGATAGGGAGAGAGACCCCAATTTGAGGGGGTGAAAGAGATGGTCAATTGGCGTGATGGAGCCCATTCTGCAGGATCTGATCTATGTGACTGTCTGAATTGATTGTTAATTTGCTATAGGATTGGGTATAGCTACGGTACATATAGGATGACTTTTTGCAGCACTTTAGAATCTCTACTCGCATGCCCTCCATTCTTGGATTACTCGCAACATGCACTCTTGACTGAGATTGATCTGTGAACGTACACTGGTATAGATGAGTGGAGACAATGTTGCAGATAATTAATCTATTGTGTGATTGTCGGGCCACCCGATAAGCCAACCATAACTGCTGGAATTTAATCGGATCGGCAAACCCCCACCCTTGAATAAGGCCTCCACTCCCGAACACTCTGGGCCTCCACTCCACTTCAAGCAGCGTTGCAGCCCCAATGCATCTCTGACGCAGTGGCGCTTCTTCACAGGCTCGATCTTCTGCAATGCCAGCTCAACCCCTCATGCTGGGTAAGAATGGGGCCTGATGGATGCCCTTCAGGCCCAGCTTCACGTGCACAGTGCCCCCCTCGCAGTACAATTTCCATCCCTTGAACTTCTCCCACAATGTGCTTGCCATTGTTCTCTCATTCTCATTCTCCTTATCTGCATTGTAATTATGCAATTCTAGCCACATCATGGTTCTTCCAACAGCACTGCAAGACTTCCTGACTACTGCTCTCTCCACCCCTAATCTCTCCTTCTACCTCAACGGAACCCCTATCGTCCTCGCCAATCCTAACCCCCACTGGACCCTCCTCGACTTCATCCGCTCCCAACATGGCCTGAAGGGCACCAAGCTGGGCTGCGGCGAGGGCGGTTGCGGTGCTTGCACCGTTGTGCTGCAGACCCGCGACGGGCGCGCGCAGATCCGCCACCGTGCTGTGAACGCCTGTTTGTATCCGCTCATTGGAGGTATGTGTGTTGGTTCCATGGGTGCGATCGCATCTGACAGCCGTAGTGGCCGGAAAGCATGTCATCACCGTTGAAGGGCTCGGGAATGTGGATCATCCCCATCCGCTTCAGGAAAGGCTGGGGAAGCTTCACGGGTCGCAGTAAGTTGACCGTGGTCTGATGGACGAGCAATGCTGACAGGTTAAGATGTGGCTTCTGTACCCCGGGTATAGTCATGTCGTTATACGCTCTCGTACGGAACGCATACGATCCCCAGACTGGCCAATTCAATTTGACGGAGGATGAGATCGAAATGAAGGGTCACTTGGATGGCAATCTGTGTCGGTGCACGGGCTACAAGCCCATTCTGCAGGCGGCGAAGACGTTTGTCCAGGAGGATCTCCAGGCCCGGCTGGCTGTGCGCACGCGACCCTCAGATATGGAGACTCCGATTGAGTCTGAGTCGGACACATCGCGGCCACAATCCTGCGGACGTCCAGGTGGCTGCTGTCGTGATACTCCGGGGTCGTCCTGCTCATCTTCTTCGGATCGAGACAGCTCGCGCACCAGTATCTCGACCCCAGATACAGAGCCAGAAAAGGACTTGGCCAACACAGTACCACAGTTCGACTTCAAGCCGTATATTCCCAACACCGAGCTCATCTACCCCCCAGCCCTGACTAAGGCGACCCCTCAGCTCGTCTGCTACACCGACGACCGCAAGGCCTGGCTGCGCCCGGTGACACTCGCCCAAACCTTGGACATCCTGGCCCGCTGCCCATCGGCCACCCTTGTCGGGGGTGCCAGCGAGGTCCAAATCGACATCCGCTTCAAGGGTGCCGAGTTCGCCGTGTCCGTCTTCATCGGCGATCTAGACGAGCTGTCATACATCAAGCCCGTTGAGAAAGATGACACCATCACCGAGCTGGTAGTCGGCGGCAATACACCCCTCACCGACATCGAAACTGAATGCAACCGACTCATCCCAGTCCTTGGCCCTCGAGGATCCGTCCTCTCAGCCACAGCCAAAGTCCTCCGCTACTTTGCAGGTCGCCAGATCCGCAACGCCGCCTCACTAGCCGGTAACATCGCCACGGCGTCGCCCATCTCCGACATGAACCCTGTGCTCCTAGCCATCAACGCCACCATCGTCGCGCGCACCCCAACCCAAGAATTCACCATCCCCATGACCAACATGTTCCTCGGCTATCGCAAGACCGCCCTCCCTAAAGACAGCATCATCACCTCGATCCGCATCCCTCTTCCACCGCCAGAAACACGCGAACTCACCAAATCCTACAAACAAGCCAAGCGCAAAGACGACGACATCGCCATCGTAACAGCCGCCTTCCGCGTGCGCCTCGCCCCAGACAACACCGTCAGCGAAATCGCCCTCGCCTATGGCGGCATGGCTCCGACAACCCTCCTAGCCAGACAGGCCATGGCCATCCTCCAGGGCAAGAAATGGGGCATACAAGCCGCCCTGGACAGCACGCTCGACGCCCTCCTCCAGGATTTCAATCTGCCTTACTCGGTCCCCGGTGGAATGGCGCACTACCGACGCACTCTGGCTACATCCCTCTTCTTCCGTTTCTGGCACGAAGTTATCTCCGACCTCAACCTCACCTCCACAACCGCCGACCCATCCCTCGCGACCGAAATCCATCGCCACATTTCCCACGGCACGCGCGACAACCACAACCCGCACGAACAGCGCGTCGTCGGCAAACAACTCCCCCACCTGTCCGGTCTGAAACACGCCACCGGAGAAGCCGAATACGTCGACGACATGCCCCCGCAGCACCGGGAGCTCTTCGGCGCGATGGTCCTCTCGCAACGTGCCCACGCCAAGCTACTCTCCGTGGACTGGACGCCCGCATTGCAGCCGGGTTTGGCCCTGGGATACATAGACCATACGAGTATCCCCGCAGAGAAGAATATCTGGGGCCCTGTGGTGAAGAATGAGCAGTTCTTTGCTGTGGATGAGGTGACTTCGCACGGGCAGCCGATTGGGTTGGTCTATGCGGAGACGGCGCTGCAAGCGCAGATGGCGGCCAGGGCTGTGAAGGTAGAGTATGAGGATCTGGAGACGATACTCACGATTGATGAGGCGATCGAGAAGGAGAGTTTCTGGCCCCATGGGAAGGAGTTAAGGAAAGGGGTGGCTGTGACGCCGGAGAGGATGAAGGATGTTTTTGAGAAGTGTGATCGGGTTTTCGAGGGTGTTATTCGCATGGGCGGGCAGGAGCACTTTTATCTCGAGACGAACGCTGCGGTGGTGATTCCTCATTCGGAGGATGGGAGTATGGAGGTTTGGTCGTCGACGCAGAATACGTATGTCTATCCCCACTTTATGCCCATTTGAGTGTGAGCGATGCTAATGGCTAGGATAGGATGGAAACCCAAGAATACGTCAGCCAGGTGACTTCAGTCCCCGTATCGCGCATCAACGCCCGAGTAAAACGCATGGGTGGCGCCTTTGGCGGCAAGGAATCCCGCAGCGTGCAACTGGCGTGCCTACTTGCTATTGCAGCCAAGAAAACGCGACGCCCTATGCGCGCCATGCTCAACCGCGACGAAGACATGATGACCTCTGGCCAGCGGCACCCCTTCCAATGTCGCTGGAAAGTGGGTGTCATGAACGACGGAAAGCTTATCGCCCTCGACGCAGACGTATACAACAACGCGGGATTCTCCTTGGACATGAGCGGTGCCGTGATGGACCGGTGCTGCACGCACATCGAAAACTGCTATTACTTCCCCAACGCGCACATCCGCGGATGGGTGTGCAAGACGAACACGCATAGTAATACTGCCTTCCGGGGGTTCGGTGGGCCGCAAGCCATGTTCATCGCCGAGAGTTATATGTCTGCTGTTGCAGAGGGGTTGGGGATGGATATTGATGAGTTACGGATGAGGAATCTGTATACCCAGGGGCAGAGGACGCCATTCCTCCAGGAAATCGATCAGGACTGGCATGTTCCAATGCTGCTGGAGCAGGTTCGCAAGGAGGCGCGGTACGCGGAGCGCAAGGCAGAAATAGCAGAGTTCAATAAACGCCACCGTTACAGAAAGAGAGGAATCTCACTTGTCCCGACGAAATTCGGCATCTCCTTCGCCACAGCAGTCCATCTCAACCAAGCAGGCGCGAACGTCAAAATCTACACCGATGGCTCAGTACTTCTGAACCACGGCGGCACTGAAATGGGCCAGGGCTTGTACACGAAGATGGTGCAGGTCGCAGCTCAGGAGCTGGGTGTTCCGGCAGAGAGCGTCTACACGCAGGATAGCTCGTCGTACCAGACGGCGAATGCGTCACCGACTGCTGCCTCGTCAGGGAGTGATCTGAACGGAATGGCAGTTAAGGATGCGTGCGATCAGCTGAATGAGCGGTTGAAGCCGTATCGGGAGAAATTCGGCAAGGATGCTGATATGGCGACGATGGCGCACGCCGCGTATCGCGATCGGGTGAATTTGGCGGCGAGTGGCTTTTGGAAGATGCCCAAGGTGGGGTATCAGTGGGGGACGTATGATGTGGAGAAGGTGAAGCCGATGTATTATTATTTTACTCAGGTATGTTCCTTTTTCCCCTGTGCGAATGGAGGGGGGTATGCTGATGGGGTCATAGGGCGTCGCGTGCACTGAGGTCGAGCTCGACCTGCTTACGGGTGATCATACTGTGCTGCGCACGGATATTAAGATGGATGTGGGAAGGTCCATTAACCCTGCTATTGACTATGGGCAGATTGAGGGGGCCTTTGTTCAGGGACAGGGATTGTTTACGATGGAGGAGACACTCTGGACGCAGAGTGGCCAGTTGGCGACACGGGGTCCGGGCACGTACAAGATTCCCGGATTCAGTGACATCCCGCAGGAGTTCAATGTTAGTTTCCTGCAAGGTGTATCGTGGAGCCATCTCCGCTCGATCCAGAGCAGCAAGGGTATCGGTGAGCCGCCGCTGTTCATGGGGTCGACGGTGTTATTTGCGTTGAGGGACGCGTTGAAGAGCGCGAGGGCGGATTTCGGTGTACAAGGACCGTTGGTCCTGGATAGTCCAGCTACGGCGGAGAAGTTGAGGCTGGCGGTTGGAGATGACTTGGTGAGAAAGGCAGAGGTGAAGAGGAAGGAGGGGGAGAAAGGGTTCTTCGTTGCTGTTGCATGATTTCATCCAGAGCTAAGTTAACATAATGCTGTGGGGTATTCCATATAAATCATACATGATGGTACCTTCGAAGACGAAAGGTAAGATGGTTGGGGGATATCTTTTCAGTGGATACACGATATAATTTCCTTAGAGTTAAAAAGGATATTTCCAGATACTCACTCTTCAATCGTTATTAACACTAGGACATGGACATAGATTGGTGGGCAGCCAGAAAAGCCTGACTATTCCACATATCTGCAATCTCGCTTGTTCAATATATAATATAATATTTCAGCAGTAAAAAAATATACACAATAGTTTTCACCCTCAAGCTCACTCGATAATATCTTTATAAGCCTCTAATAGCTGCCAACCCTTCAGCCAGAGCAAATCACACAGCTCTAATGCAGTACTCACAACCTCGCTACCACCTCATCCACCTTCTCCCCTACTGTTTCCCAGTTTGCATCCACCTAAGACCATTAGTATCGATCCTCTCCTTTTACAAGAAAGACTTACATCCGCAATATGATCATATCCCAGCAACTTCGGCGCCAATCCCGGATCCCTCCACGCCAGCGCCTCCCCTTCTGGCGTGGGCACCATGCGCATTTTCCGATCGCGCTCTTCCTGCTCCGGCCCATCGTGCAGATGATACAGATACTGCTGTGTGTTTCCCCGTTCCACAACCATCTGCGTGCGCTGCTTGCGACACTTCTCAAACACGGCCAGGGCATGACGCTTAGCGGCGATGAACTCGGGTGACGATTTCGAGACGTTAGGGCCAGACGGGAGGCGCGAGAGACATTCGCCGAGGACGGCCCCATCTTCGAAGGCCATTCCTGCACTGTTTGAGAATTATTAGCATTCCGCTTTGTACAAACTGGTAGGGAGGAGGTACCCAGAAGCAAGATAGGGGAGTGTAGCATGCACAGAGTCACCTAGCATGACCCACGCCCCGGAAGGATGCGTCCAGTCGTAGTCGCCGAAGCGGATGCAGAGACGCCATTTGTGCACGGATTGGCAGAGTTTCAGGAGTTTTTGGATCCTACAAATCAGTCTTCGCCCTTTGAAGCAGGAGATAAGAAGTACCTCGGATCCCATCCTTCGAACAACGCACACATCTCCTGCACATTGCCCTCGACCGTCGAAGCCAGCGACTCTTCGGGGATATCATCAGGCACAAGCAGCACCATATTAAACAGTTCCCCTTGTCGCAACACATAGTTCACTGGCATCATTAGCCCATTATTTCAGAATTGGTGAACTGAATACGAACCAGCATGTTTATCCGGCCCCAACCAATAATTCACCTGCGGGTCCGTCACAAACCCCCTCAACTCTGGATCCTTCAACATCTCCTCCGTTGACAACAACAACCGATACGCCAAATCGCCGGTCTTAATTGGCGGGTCTGGCCTCTTAAGCATAACCTCGGTCAACTTCCCAAACACCCCATCAGCACTAACCACCAGATCCCCTCTCCACGACCGCCCATCACTCGCCACCGCTGTCGCCATGCCGCCATCCCCGTCAGGGATGATATCCACGACCCTCGCAGCGCAGGTGATCTTTGCCCCTAACTCCTCCGCCCTTTCCAGTAGACAGCGCTGTAAATCCGCACGGTGGAAGTCGCGATACCACGTCCCGGGGTACTGCGCCGCGGAGTCAACGAAACTCAAGCTGGATATGATCTCGCCCTTCCAGTGTAGAAAGTTGCAGACGCGCGGGTGCGTCATGTGTGGCGTGCGAGCTGGCTCTAGGCCCCAGTGTTTGAGGACTCTCGAGCTGTTGGGGAGGACTTGGATGCCGGCGCCTACTTCGCGGATCTCGTGCGTCGCTTCGAGGACGTGTACGTCATGCCCGGCTAGGAGGCAGGAGATGGCGGTGCCGAGGCCGGCGAGGCCGGCACCGATGATGATGATCTATCATTAGCTTAGACAGAGGAATAGAATGTAAGGGGAGAAGGGGATGTACCTGCAACCGACAGTTGTCGGGGAGGGAGCGCTTCTCTTTGATGTGGATAGGGGGCGCCATGGTACCAGTTCTGTAAATGTGATAGTAAGCAGAGAGTGTATAATTCAGTAGACACAGCTTCTACACCATCATATAAACCTACCTCAAGATCTAGCTGAGTGCATTTGCTACTCCTAAAAATGGGGGATAAGCGCGTGCCTGACAAGAATGGGGGTCGGGCATGAGGGGATGCATCAATCTTATCATATCATTTGCGGGGGAATAAGTACACCCTCCGGTCGGAGCAGACAGTATTCCAGCAATCACCAGCAGATCCATCCCAGTAATACCTGCACTATGTCTCGAGTAAGTTGATTCCTCTAGGAATAATCCCCATCACAATAACTTATTGTACAGTTCTCCCTACACGGCCGAACTGCCCTCGTCACCGGCGGTGCCCGCGGCTGCGGCCTCGCCTTTGCGCGCGGTCTCGCCCAAGCAGGTGCAAACGTAGCCATCTTCGACCGGATACCTCCTGAAGAAGGATTTCTGTCGATCGAGAGGGAGTATGGTGTGCGGACTGCATATTACGAGTATTTTTCCCTCCTCAATCAGCTTCTACATATCATATCAAGTCCTAACCGAGTTTCTAGAGTCGACGTATCCTCTCCCGACTCCCTCGCCACCGGCTTTAGCGCCTTCCAAACAGACTTCGACAACGCCCTAGACATCTGCGTCCCCTGCGCAGGTATCAACCGGCACCAGACGTTCCTCGAGTTCAACTACGCGGACCACCAGGAGCTGCTTGGGGTGAACGTGCTGGGACTGTTCCATACGGCCCAGCTGGCAGCTCGGCAGATGATTGCCAATGGCACAAA